AGGGAAATGAGCCGGAATACTCTGGGCATTGATATGAACGACATTAAAATTCCTAGGAACACCAGAGAACCGTGAAGACAATGTTTCTGCTAAAGAAGGCACACTAATATCGCTGTGACTAGCACGTGTACTTCAAAATAAATAAAAAATATTCAATACCAATAAAGTCGGAACGTATCAAAGAGATCTCAGGCCGATTAATTTTAATCACGATCTGCTCAAAACAAGTGAGATCCGATTTAATTGCAGATAAAATTTATCTAAGATAGTTAAAGCAACACCGTTAAAATATTGTCAAGTTTATCAAAGCCATGAGAATGCCATTTTTTTAATCTCCAATTTGGAAATTTTATAAAATGAGATTGCATATCATAACAAGGTATTTGTTATTTCTAATGGCTTTTGAAACTACGAACTACAATCAAGTATGTTCTTGTTAACTAAAGCGTGTATTGCAAGAATATCTACCTACTAAGATTCAATCAAGATCCATTATACGTACTCTATGGTCAACAACGTCATTACGAATATTGTTTTTCTCATTACATATAATCTTCCCAGTTGTGTCGGGAATGATTGAACTTATTTAGTTTCCAAATAAATAAAACTTTTATTTACTTAAACGGATAGCCAAGCAGAGCCAAGAAGTTTCCTTTCGGTGTGCTTAGTGCGAGTTTTTTAATGTTCTCGAAATGAAAATGAAATTTGTATGCAGTTGGAACAGCGCCTCTAGCGGCAAACGCAGGCAAACTTTCCAACTCCATACAAATTTGACTTAACTTTTACACTATAGAGAACGTTAAAAAACTCTCACTAAGCCCACAGTTCATCGGAGTTAATAGACAAAGCAAAGTGAATGCATTAAAATCTTCAATATAAAGAACGGTTTCCAAACAAAACGTATAAAATCTTAATAAAAAGGCGAAGTTATTTTTTTCTTAATATTCTGACACTTCTTTTAGGTCTAAAGGATATGACGTCCGGTACATTTGTGTCTTGGGACGCATCGGTGTTCGTATCCCGCAGGCAATTTTTCTAATGAAATACGTACATAATAAATATTTACGATTGACTTCCACGGTGAAGGAATAACGTCGTGTACCTAATAAAAATCAAACCCGCTGTTCGGTGATATATTACCGAACATCTTTGTCAGCATAATTCGCGTGACGCGTTAACTTTATTTCCACAAATCGTTAGTGCACGATCAACAACCGCGTCACCCGGGTACATTCATAACATTAACATTTAATTGATTTACTTAATATTTTAACAATAAACATTTTTAAGCAACATAATCTTTAAATAACAAACTCACACCGCACCCTACACCCGCCAAAATTATAATTTGCGTAAGTACTGGTGGTAGGACGTCTTGTGAGTCCGCACGGGTAGGTACCACCACCCTGCCTATTTCTGCCGTGAAGCAGTAATGCGTTTCAGTTTCAAGGGTGAGGCAGGCATTGTACTGTAAAAACTGAGACCTTGAACTCATATCTCAAGGTGAGTGGCGGCTTTTACGTTGTAGATGTCTATGGGCGCCGGTAACCACTTAACACCAGGTGGGCCGTGAGCTTGTCTACCCATCTAAACAATAAAAAAACACTCAACATTTGTATGTATTAAATTAGCTTTGTTTCTGAGGCAAAAGAACGATAGGTTACATTCTGTATTCCTGTTGATTTCGTATTGATCCTGCATGAAATCTCTAAGCCTGTACTGTGACATAATAAATAATATGCATACATATTTTAGGGAATCACATTGAACAAATAAATAAACGAAAAGATGAAAATTAGATTATTAAATATGCGGCAGCAATTTGTAGACAGTGGTTTGGTTCCGCCCCTGCCAATAATGAAGTTCAATGGACGACGGTAACCACTCACCAACAGTTATGCTTCTACAAGGGCAATAAAATAAAAATGCAGAGCGAGATAAGACTATCGGGTCTTATTTCAAAATTTGTCTAAATAAAAATATGATGTACGTTACCATTGACGATGACGAAAATAATATAGACAAAGGATTTATTTAGATTTTAATAAATCAGCTGTAAACACCAGCAACTAAGGTCAGAGATGAACTGAATATTATTTCTGATTGTCGGTAACTACAAAAAATTAAGAGATGCTTAACTCTAATTATATTAATACAAACGTCATTAAAATACTCAGAACTGTTGGAACCGGGTCCGGATTTCTTATACAGGTAGATGTTTTAGATTTTTCAGAACGGGTTAAAAGGTCGCCACCACTTTTTCGTGAGTGAACTAATTAAAGTAAATTGTTATTGAATGCTATTTTTCCAAGCAGTATATCGAGCGGAAAGGTATTCTAAGAGATATACACTTTTTTTTTTATTGCTTAGATGAGTGTACGAGCTCACAGCCCACCTGGTGTTAAGTGGTTACTGGAGCCCATAGACATCTACAACGTAAATGCGCCACGCACCTTGAGATATACGTTCTAAGGATTCAGTATAGTTACAACGGCTGCTTCACCGCATTACTGCTTCACGGCTGAAATAGGCAGGGAGGTGGTACCTTCCCGTGCGGACTCACAAGATGTCCTACCACCAGTAAAAATCCACCACGAAATCAACGTCTATAATCAAATCGCCTATTTGCATTTTATTTTTGAAAATGCTTTAGACAGGCAGAAGAAACTCTCGACCGACTTGGTTAGTAGTGATTACTGGAGTCTACAGATAATCTCAAGATAAATGACTATTAACCTTATAACACAAAATCTAATTTTCGATTTTATTGTCCGACTAAAAAAGCAAAAGGCAGGGTTGCTTAATGGCAGAAACACACTATGGTTGGATCTACCCGTGCGGATTAGTAAAGTGCCCTAACATGAGTAATTAAATAATCACGCCAATTCACGCCATCAATTAAACTGTGGAAGGCTTAATGACGGAGGGAAGATCTTCCACCGAGCGGGTGATATCCGGTCCGATGTTGCTGTTCGGAGCTTGTATATATGCAAGATTATCTTGAAAATGTCGTAAGCGAGATTCAGGCATCTGTCAAATATCTTGTGTTTTATGGCAACCGTCATAGCACTAAAGTAAACTTTGTGAGTTTAATTCTTAGTACATGATGCGATTCTTTTCTAATAGAAATCATATGCGAAAACGTGGTAGGCATGTATTTACAATAAAAATGCTTCTAGCCGTAAGATTAGAATACAGAAATAAACTTTATTATCTAACAAATTTATGAAGTTTAGATGAATTTGCACAAAAATAAAGAATAAATGGGAAGATTATTAATTATTTAAGCTATTGTTTACTTTGTTGTTATTATTAAAAAACAGCAGAATTAATCCTCATATGTCAGGTTATCTGAGAATATATGTTCCATAATGGTAATTTATAATAGTTTCCGAATCAATAAACAGCCTGTATAAAATCTAGTTTATAATCAAGTTCATCAGTTTTGATTATCGGTAGCGATGAAAGAGCCTAACTAAATTAAGTGCTCGTAAAATCACCAAACCTAAAAACAGAATTTCCGATATCAATTTTTAATATCAATTTTGATACGAGTATCTTCTAGATTTGACTCAAATATCATATTGCGCATTCGCAGACAGGATGTCTGCAGTTTTTATAAAAAAAAATCTAAACATTTTTTCGGAACAATGAATTTCAAACGAAATCTTTCTGTAAATGAAAAGTATAGATTAGAAATAGTTTTGGAAAAATTACATTTAGAGCCGTAGCACACGGTTGGAGCTTAAAAGGTAATCCAGTAGACAATGCTAATTTTAAGTTGTGGATTTTAAGATAGTAATATTTGTTGGTAATAGCTAAAAATTAAAATAATGTCTCATAGAAGACATTATTTTAATTTAATTAACATTAATAATATTTTACATACTTGATTATGATCGGATTATTAATAATGGCCTTATTTTATTCATTAAGCACCTTAACATTATCTCTATTTAGGTCTTTCGGATTAGCAGATTCAGTCACTAATATGTATTAAACCATACGGTCTGATGTCAGTCAGGGCATTCAACTAATTAAACGGTGTATCTAAAACCAAGTTTATTCCATTGCTGTAGTATTAATCGGCATTATAATTTTAACATGATGCCGGAATTGGTCTGTCATTTAATTATCTAAAAAAATGTTATCCCCAAATTACAAGTGTCTTCGTGAAATTTGATTTAGTCTATTTACTAAGACGAGACAGCGACCCCAAGATCTCTTGCCGTCAACTTTACCGTTAATTTTGAATTGCTTACGCAAAGCGTGTTAGAAACTTTGAGAATATCCAAATGGTAAAAGTGAATTTAAGCTTATGTCTCTGATATCGGCTGATCAAGCCACGGCGTATAATCAACGAAACGAAATCAACTGTTGCGATAAATGGCAATCAAACTACCGTGGAATTAACTCAGACACTGTACTACACTTACATGTATTATCGAAACATATAATTTCGTGTGAACGTTACCTTGCGGCTGCCCATTCAACCGTGCCCGTTACGAAAACGCAAGCAAGCAACTTGCTTGGATAACTCCTCGAGTTCACGTAACCAACTGTTATGTGCCGTGAGCGAGGATAGCTGGACGTGCGTTCAAAATGATGAATACCTGGTGGAAATGTACTTGCACAAACGTCGCGTACAATTTTTCGGTCGTAAGTGTAAAAATTAATGAAATCGATATAGTTTTTTTATGAAATCCTGTTAAAGTCCTGTATGTCCTGTATAAATAATCAGTAATAATCGCAGCATAGATACAACGCGTTTTAATACGTCAATCTTTTGACTATTAACTGCGCTCCTCCTAACTGTGCTTTCTGTAAATTAAACGGTTGCCTGGAAGAGATCGCTTTTAGCGATAAGACCGCCTATTGTACCAATGTATCTTTTTTTTAATTGTTTTTTGAATGTAAATTGTGTTTTGGTGTGCTATGAAGTGTATTCTCTCTCTCTCTCTCTCTCTCTCTCTCTCATTTTAAAAATGCTTTATCAACAGGAGCGTATGTACGAATTGGAAAGGCGTGAAGCTGAATTAGCTCTGGAAGAGAAGCGACAATTGGAAGCCAAGAGGACGTTGCTGCAGGAAGCGGCCCGGAAGCAAGACGAACCTGTCGACGACAGTAAACTCGTGGAGGCCATGTTTGATTTCCTGCCCGACTCTAGCAGTGAAGCCCCAGCGCCTAAGGACACATCCATTTTCAGTGACTTGCCGCAAATGAGAGCTGATCAACAAGAAGTAAGTTGATTTATTTTTACTAATATTTATCTTCTTCAAATGAGGCTCGTGGAGAGTAGTTAACGGTAGGCAGCGGCTTGGCTCTGCTCCTGACATTGCTAAAGTCCGTGGGCAACGGTAACCACTCACCATCAGGTGGACCGTATGCTCGTTTGCCTACTAGGGCAATAAAAAAATATATATCCTGTTGTATTTCATCTTGTCGAAGGTATATTGTAAAGAAATATAAACATTGGTTTGTTGTATTTTTGGGTCACGTTACAAAATACAAGTGTATCAAGTTACAATGGTCTGGTATGATAATGAACAGAAGGTACATAGAGCCGTATCGACTAAGAAATACATTATTAAAATTAGAAAACAGTTTTAAATTATTGCTTATATGGTTGGACGAGCTCACAGCCCACCTGGTGTTAAATAGTTACTGGGGCCCATAGACATCTACAACGTAAATGCGCCACCTACCTTGAGAAATAAGTTCTAAGGTTTCAAGTATAGTTACAATTTTTCCTATAATTTCAATGTAAAACTGATAAAATTGTGATTTTAAGGGTAGGGGCTGAAGTTTAACCATAGTAGCGTTATCTCACTTTGATTTGCAGATGGTGACACCAATGCAGACCACTTCCGAAGATGAAGAGGACCTTTCAGAGTTCAAGTTCCAGAAGTTTGCCGCAACTTACTTCCAAGGAAATGTCACACATCAGTACTCTAGGAAAACACTGAAACATCCATTACTGCCTTTATTAACGCAGGGAGATCAATTGGTAATTTCATATTTTTTAGGGTTATCAAACTTTAATTTTTTTTGTAATAAGTAAGATTTAGAAATTTTTAACTTAAAAAAAACGAGCGCAATTCTTTTTGGTAAATTTAAATACGTCATTCGTGTAATGCAGATTAGTAGCACTGTTAAGGTACACAATAAAGATTTGTGTCACTTAATTTATATAAAAAATTAAAAAAATATTTTATATTAAAGAAACTAAGAAAATACGCTTTTATAGAAAATCTAGACTAGAAAATCAACTAAAAAATAGAAAACAAATTTTAATAAATTTGAATTAAAAATAGTGTAAGAAAAAATGATTTTATTGTAAAATAGCGTGGTCCTTAATAAGTATACCAAATTTCGAGTTAATCCGACGTTTTGAAGAGGGTCAGAATCATGTTCAAAGATTCCATTACAAACATACATACGTTAACGATAACAAACGTTATCGCTTGTGTTGTATTAGCAGTTTATCTGCCATATTCATCGGACGTAACTGCGAAATCTGATAACAATTGCATTGCAGGCAGCGCAAGCGTTATGGGTCACGATTCTGCGTTTCACTGGAGACCTGGCGGAGCCTAGATATCACACAATGGATCGCGACAATACGTCAGTCATGTCCAAAGTCACGGCTACGTTGGGCAGGAACTTCATCAGGTCCAAGGAGTTTCAAGAGGCGCAGATGATGGGCGTCGACCCGGATGCTTACCTAAATAAGCAAAAACCAAGGTCGATCAGACACAAACTGGTGTCTCTAACGTTGAAGAGGAAGAATAAACTGGGTGAAGACGTCAGAAGGAAGCTACAGGTAATTGATAACTAGAATGCACAAGTTCAAGTACACTGTCCATGCTACTTTTGATGTTGTTAGTTGTAACTAAAACATTGACTTACCTTTTTCAGGATGAGGAATATACTGCAGACAGCTATCAGTCGTGGCTGGAATCGCGTCCAACTTCGAACTTAGAAAAACTTCATTTCATAATCGGTCACGGCATTCTTCGCGCAGAGCTAAGAGACGAAATATATTGTCAGATCTGCAAACAGCTGACTAACAATCCATCGAAATCCTCTCACGCCCGAGGATGGATCCTCCTGTCGTTGTGTGTTGGGTGTTTTGCACCAAGTGAGAAGTTTGTCAATTATCTCAGAGCCTTTATCAGGGAAGGCCCTCCCGGCTACGCGCCGTACTGTGAGGATCGATTGAAAAGAACATTTAATAACGGCACGAGAAACCAGCCCCCCTCGTGGTTAGAACTTCAGGCCACTAAATCTAAAAAACCCATAATGTTGCCAATAACGTTTATGGACGGCAATACAAAAACTTTATTAGCCGATTCTGCGACAACAGCCAGAGAGCTTTGTAACCAACTCTCGGACAAAATCGGCCTGAGAGATCAGTTCGGTTTTTCGCTGTACATAGCCTTGTTCGACAAGGTGAGCTCGCTCGGCAGCGGGGGCGACCACGTAATGGATGCGATATCACAGTGCGAGCAATACGCAAAAGAACAAGGCGCACAAGAAAGAAATGCGCCGTGGAGATTATTCTTTAGAAAGGAAATTTTCGCTCCCTGGCACGACCCTACCGAGGATCAAGTAGCGACGAATTTGATTTATCAGCAAGTCGTGCGAGGGGTTAAATTCGGCGAATACAGATGCGATAAAGAAGAAGACCTGGCCATGATAGCTGCCCAACAGTATTACATCGAATACGGGCAAGACATGAACGCGGAACGACTCTACACGCTGTTACCCAACTACATACCGGATTATTGTTTGACAGGAGTAGAGAAAGCCGTTGATAGATGGGGCGCACTCGTCGTGCAGGCATACAAAAAGAGTTATTACGTCAAAGAGAAAGTTCCCGCTTACAAAGTCAAAGAAGATGTTGTGAGTTACGCAAAATTCAAATGGCCCCTGTTGTTCTCTAGGTTCTACGAAGCCTACAGAAATTCCGGGCCGAATTTACCTAAAAACGATGTCATAATAGCCGTTAATTGGACCGGTGTTTATGTTGTGGACGATCAAGAACAAGTCTTGTTAGAATTGTCGTTCCCGGAGATCACAACTGTCGCAAGTCAGAAGACAAATAAAGTGTTCACTCAAACGTTCAGTTTAAATACCGTAAGAGGTGAAGAATTCACATTCCAAAGTCCGAATGCAGAGGACATACGAGATTTAGTAGTTTATTTCTTAGAGGGACTAAAGAAAAGATCAAAGTTCGTGATTGCTTTACAAGATTACAAAGCTCCAGGCGAGGGGTCCAGTTTCTTGACATTCCAAAAAGGGGATCTAATAGTGTTGGAAGAAGAAAGTACAGGTGAATCGGTCTTAAATAATGGATGGTGTATTGGTCGTTGCGAAAGGACTATGGAAAGAGGAGACTTCCCTGCGGAAACAGTATACGTGCTACCCGCTTTAACGAAGCCACCGCCAGATATACTAGCTTTGTTCTGTCAAGAAGGCGCACAACACGGTCGAAGACCCCCTACGAGTACCTTCAATGGAACTGAATCGAAAGACAAACCTCATACGCTGTTAGAATACGCTCTTGACCATTTCAGATTACCACCAAAACGCACAGCTTCCAAGGGCCTAACATTATCAACAGCCAAACGAGGGGGCTCTGAAGAACTGTGGAGGCACTCCAGAGAACCAATAAAACAACCTTTGCTCAAAAAGTTGCAAGCAAAGGAAGAGCTGGCAGAAGAGGCCTGTTTCGCTTTTACGGCCATACTAAAGTACATGAGTGACCTACCTTCCAAGCGCCCCCGTATCGGCAACGAATACACCGATCATATTTTCGATGGACCTCTGAAACATGAAATATTACGCGACGAAATTTACTGCCAAATAATGAAACAGCTCACTGATAATAGAAATAGAATGTCTGAAGAAAGGGGCTGGGAATTAATGTGGTTGGCTACGGGGCTATTCGCTTGTAGTCAGGGGCTGCTTAGAGAATTAACTTTATTTCTGAGAACCAGAAGGTACCCTATTGCTCAAGACTCACTTCAAAGACTGCAAAAGACGCTCCGAAACGGACAGAGGAAGTATCCGCCGCACCAAGTGGAGGTGGAAGCTATACAACACAAGACAACTCAGATATTTCACAAGGTGTACTTCCCCGACGACACCGATGAAGCTTTCGAAGTGGACTCGTCTACTCGAGCGAAAGATTTCTGCCAAAACATCGCTCAAAGACTGAATCTCAGATCTAGTGAAGGGTTTAGTTTGTTCGTTAAGATAGCTGATAAGGTGATATCGGTGCCGGAGGGAGATTTCTTTTTCGACTTCGTGCGGCATCTGACTGATTGGATTAAGAAGGCGCGTCCTACACGCGACGGAATCATACCACAGTTTACGTATCAAGTAAGTTTGTAACTTTTTTTATTGCTTAGATGGGTGGACGAGCTCACACCCCACCTGGTGTTAAGTGGTTACTGGAGCCCATAGACATCTACAACGTAAATGCGCCACCCATTTTGAGATATGAGTTCTAAGGTCTCAGTATAGTTACAACGGCTGCCCCACCCTTCAAACCGAAACGCATTACTGCTTCACGGCAGAAATAGGCGGGGTGGTGGTACCTACCCGCGCGGACTCACAAGAGGTCCTACCAACAGTAATTACGCAAATTATAATTTTGCGGGTTTTATTTTTACTACACGATGTTATTCCTTCACCGTGGAAGTCAATCCTGAACATTTGTTAAAAATACATATTTCATTAGAAATAAGAAAAATTGGTATCCGCCTGCGGGATTCGAACACCGTTGCATCGCTACATACGAATGCATCGGACGTCTTATCCTTTGGGCCACGACGACTTCTGAACTTAAAATAATTTTCAAACTCGTAATGATAAGAGTTCTAAATTAATGAATTAATTCCAGGTATTCTTTATGAAAAAGCTATGGACCAACACAGTTCCGGGTAAAGACAGGGCAGCAGACGTCATCTTCCACTTCCACCAGGAGCTTCCGAAGTTGCTGCGCGGCTACCACCGCTGCGGCCGCGAGGAGGCCGCCCGGCTCGCCGCCCTCGCCTACAGAGCGAGGTTCGGGGACAACAAGCAGGAGTTGCAAGCTATTCCGTAAGTCGTCGCTCTCTTCTTGTTAATGTCTCATAAATATTAAGTTTTTATAACTAGTGGTAGGACCTCTTGTGAGTCCGCGCGGGTAGGTACCACCGCCCCGCCTATTTCTGCCGTGAAGCAGTAGTGCGTTTCGGTCTGAAGGACGGGGCAGCTATTGTAACTGTACTGAGATTTTTGAACTTATATCTCAAGGTGGGTGGCGCATTTACGTTGTAGATGTCTATGGGCTCCAGTAACCACTTAACACCAGGTGGGCTGTGAGCTCGTCCACCCATCTAAGCAATAAAAAAAACGAGTGGTCCACTGGTAGTCGAAATTCGACTATAATTAATTGAAATTGTTAGTTTGTATAACTATTATGATTCTATTGTCAAAGACTACTTCTATAATCACAGATTTCACCAAGACTACACTATAGACAAATATTAATAAAGACAAACAATATTAATCTATTTTCAATTTGACCACAAACTGTAAGCCGTAAGAAAAGTTTGACAATAAACAAATATTATGCATGCGTGTGTGTATCAAATACACGGTAGTGTGTGTAATGTTTTTTTATTGATTTAATGTATTATTAATGCATTATTTAAGAAAATACTAACATTCTGCACTCCTCTATATTTTCTATAAGTTTTGGTAATTTCATACTCTCCCGTCCGCGCAATTTTTGTAAACAGGGATACTAAGTTTTGCTTCACGTATTAATATATAGATTTTTTATAAAAAAAAAGGTAGTTTAATAACCAAAAAGTACATATTATCATCCGCAACAGTCTTCGTCAGATTATAGAAACAGAGTTATCAGCAACGTGCTTCGTCAAAAAGTACAATACTTACCTTCAGCTACAAGCGTCGTCATAAGTAACTTAATTGAAGACTTGTCGCTCACAGATTGTCATGACTATGAAACTTGGGTTAACTCCCATCTAGAGCATAACGCCTCCGTCTCCATCGAACCAGCCCCAATCTCTAGTTGCTTCTATTTGATTTCGTATAACGAAATTTAGATTATCTTTGTATTGTACTGTTTATCCCCTGGGGAGTGCTCCAAGTCTGGTTTCTGCGTATCATATCGTACCAATTCTAATTCGTTTGAAACCATTTATCTCCAGTAGAGCATTCTTCACACTTGAGCTGGAAGTTTCCATTCTTTACAAATGGCACATCTGTATTAACAAAAATAAAATTAAAAGTCTTTTATTTCTTGCTTTTACACGGTACAATTTCAAAGAAAAAAAACAGTGTGCATAAAGAATTTTTCACTAGTTCAATTCTTTTTTTTTGTTTAGTGCATCTAAAAGAACGATAAAAAATATTATGTTTAAGTAGTAAGTGTTTAAGTAGTTTTATTAAATATGTTTCCATGTCGAATAATAGTGTGATTGAAAATATTAGTAAAGTTATGCTAGATAACGAGATACGAGTATAGTTAAATTTTAATGTTAGACTAATTTTTTATTTATTTTTAAATGTAGTTTTGTTAGCAAGAGCTCTCTCGATGAAAGCTAAAGGCCTCCCCTCCAGAGATTGTCTATTCTAAACTCGTCGTGTTCTTCAATATCTGTATTCGTATGTCGTATCACTCTTGTCAGAGCGGTCGTGGTCGTCATCCAGTATCATTGGTGTGGGCAGATGTTATGCGCCTCACGAGCAATCGGCACTCCTCGCGGTTTGTGGTGAGCCTGGTACACTCATGCAAACTGCCGCCAACTGTCCACTTGATCTGGTCGGTCCATCGCATGGGCAACCTTCCACGCGGTCTGGTGCCTTCTACTTTGCCCTGAACGACAAGGCGCTCTATGGAGTCATTTCCTCGCCGGGAGACATGTCCAAAAAATGATAGTATGCGCCCATGCACGAGCGCCGAAAGACGCTGCTTAATGCCGAGTTCTCGAAGAATGTAGATATTGGTGCGGAGTTCGGTCCATGAAATAACAAGCATTCGTCTCCAGCACCACATCTCCAGAGCATCAACCTTCTTTCTCTCGACCTGCCGCAAAGTCCAAGTCAACATCTGTAATATAATGTAATTATGTTACAGACAAATGCTCCGCGAGCTGGCGCCGGCCGACCTCATCAAGCTTCAGAGTTCAGCGGATTGGAAGCGCGCCATCGTGGCTTCGTATAACCAAGACGCCGGGATGACACCCGAAGACGCCAAGATAACGTTCCTGAAGGTCATATACAGATGGCCAACGTTTGGATCCGCGTTCTTCGAGGTCAAACAAACTACGGAACCAAATTACCCTGAACTTTTACTTATAGCGATCAATAAACATGGCGTCAGTTTGATTCATCCTCAAACTAAGGTGAGTTTCACTGTGACTGTTTCCAAAAGTAATTGATGTAATAAGGTAAATAATAGAATAATTTATTTCCGGTTTTTTTTTTTAATATTATGAATTGATTATGTTATAGTATGCAATAGCTAAGAATAACTTGAATCTTAAAAATTCTTTACATTCCAGGACATTTTGGTGACGCACCCATTTACAAGAATATCTAACTGGTCGTCCGGGAACACATATTTCCACATGACCATCGGGAACTTGGTCCGTGGCTCTAAGCTTCTCTGCGAGACTTCGCTTGGGTACAAAATGGACGATCTTCTGACCTCTTATATATCGCTAATGCTGACAAACATGAACAAACAACGTTCCGTTAGAGTTAAATAGATGCTTCAGCTGAAATATGTGTAATACGTTATAGTCAAGGTTTAGATATTACAAAGATAATTCTCGTGAAATGTAACAAACCGAATATGTTACGAATTAGGAAATTATAAAATACAATACGAACGAAAAAAAAAAAAAAAAAATACGTAAAACAATGACCATTATGAAACAGGGCATGGAGGTTTTAAAGCAAATACAATGTATGTAAGTAATGGTTTTGAAACAAATTAATCAGAATTAATTTAGGATGTGACGTATTTTAGATTCAAATTTCGAGCAATGCGAATTACATATTGGTTTTTTTTTATTATTTCAAACACAAATTAAAAAGTAATTGAGTCATTGTTCGGTGAGCCTATTGCAGGTAGCATGATTGCGCCAATTAAAATAGTAACGATTTGATTTTCATTACCCATTAATTTTTACTTTTGGACCCCTCAGATCATGCAATTTCAAGCATGTCAAGTTCAAATAAAGTTCTTTTCCCAAAATTACATATTATAATACTAAAAACAGAAATATACTTTCCAACTTACGCTTTTATGCCAATATTTTAATATAATATTTAAAAAAAAAACTTTAACCACATGGCATATATCCGTCCAAATATTAATAAAATATTATGTAGGTTTTGAACCGTATTTTTAAACAATTTAGTCGAATGTGCTTCTTAAAATGTTTTAAGAATATAATACATTTATTATTTTTAATTTATTCAATATTGTATCTGTGCATTATCTTAGAAATGTTACCGTCAAGTAGGTGGTTGTCAATTTTATAGTTCGATGGTAGTTACTAGGTAACTAATTCTAGATAACGGACAGGTAGGATATACCTCAAGTAAACAAATAATCGTAGTAAACAAAGGATGGAATTGTAATAATTATCAAATAATATTATATAGATAAACTAATTATCATACAAAGATCTGTTAAGTATTTTTTTAATGACATAAGGTGATCGGAAATTATGAACTAAGAATATAATAAACTATGGCTTCGCTATAGTGTACAGAGACGCACTAATCACATAATCAATGTGTTATGAAGTTAGTGATGTTATGTTACTTTCAACCATAGATCTTAAAGGGATGGGTAGATAACAGAATCGTTTCTTGCCTGACATGTCAATGTCAGTCAAAGTGCACAATATTTTGTTTTCGTTAAAACCTATTTTTAGCTAAATACCCTTTCATTGTATGCTTCCCAAGACCGGAATATTGTTTAATCTATAAACTATCTTGTATTTATTTAGTAGATAATTGATATTATATTAAGTGAAGTGAAGCATTGTCGTATGTTATGCCATGTTTAAGGAGACATATTGTTTGTTCTATTAATATAAATTGCTTTTATAAAGTCATATAGTTGCATTTGTGAGTGGTTGTAAACATGAGTCACAATGAAATTCGGTGTTTTATTTGAACAACGTAAACCCATTCCCGTTTCTATGCGACTATCGCTATGAATATTAAAGACGAACCAGGATCCCAGCTGTTTTTAATCCTTTACCGGAATTCATGGTAACAAACGCGATTGCCATAGATTATACATTAATATATGCTAATGGCGCCAAAATGAAGGTCGAAGTCTACTCTGTATTAACGGTTGTCTAGGGTTATTTATGAAGATTACTTTTCGAAGATGAAGACTAGCGTGAAACAATAATCTCAATACAAATATTTAAGATGAATGAAGTTAGCCCCTCAAAAAAATTTTTTTTTCCTATTTTATACTTATTTTCTATTAATTCGTTTGTTCATCATTTGTTCATGATTGTTCACTGTTAATAATTATTTGTTCTGCAGTTATTTATTTAAAAAAAATATTTTAAAATATACCTACAAGTTAGCCCCTCTAATGCAATTTTTAATATTTTTTCATCCTTAATGACTCGTAAATATTCATTTTCGATTGTTCTTATATAAAACACGTTTGTTCTCTTTCGAAATTACTCGTTTTTTGTTTAATTTACTATTTTTATTAGTTGAATAAATGTATGCAAAATATGTGTACTGCGCATGCGTCAACTATAATGCCTAAACTTTCTACGCGGTTTTAATCGTGAAAAAAAAACAAACATAAATCCTGAAGGAGCAATTAATTGGTATACAGTTTAATTAAAAAAATTAAAAAATAAATAAATGAAATAATGTGCATTGGCGTTAAGTTAGACCAAATACATTTTTTCCATCCTCTTACCTATCGTATTAAAATGTTATTTTACTAATGTTAGGAATATAATTTCGACTGTGTAAAAAAGTTATTATAATGTATACCTATATTATCTCTTGAAAGATAAATAATGAACATATTTACTTATTTGTTTATATTACCTATGTGAACTCCCTATCTTTTTTATACCTTCATAACGATAAGTAGGAGGATGGAAAAAATGTATTTGGTCTAACTTAACGCCAATGCACATTATTTCATTTATTTATTTTTTAATTTTTTTAATTAAGCTGTATACCAATTAATTGCTCCTTCAGAATTTATATTTGTTTTTTTTTCACGATTAAAACCGCGTAGAAAGTTTAGGCATTATAGTTGACGCATGCGCAGTACACATATTTTGCATACATTTATTCAACTAATAAAAATAGTAAATTAAACAAAAAACGAGTAATTTCGAAAGAGAACAAACGTGTTTTATATAAGAACAATCGAAAATGAATATTTACGAGTCATTAAGGATGAAAAAATATTAAAAATTGCATTAGAGGGGCTAACTTGTAGGTATATTTTAAAATATTTTTTTTAAATAAATAACTGCAGAACAAATAATTATTAACAGTGAACAATCATGAACAAATGATGAACAAACGAATTAATAGAAAATAAGTATAAAATAGGAAAAAAAAAATTTTTTGAGGGGCTAACTTCATTCACCTCAAATATTTATATACCACCGAGAGAAAACCATGAAAGGAATTTGAAAGGAAAAAGGAAGGAAAAACCATGAAAGGAAAATAAATTTTTTTAATGAAATACGTACTCAGCAAATGTCCACGATTGACTTCCACGGTGAAGGAATAACATCGTGTAATAAAAATCAAACCCGCAAAAATTATAATTTGCGTAATCACTGGTGATAGGATCTCTAGGGAGTCCGCACGGATAGGTACCACCACCCCACCTATTTCCGCCGTGAAGCAGTAATGCGTTTCGGTTCGAAGGGGCAGCCGTTGTAACTATACTTGAGACCTTAGAATTTAGAGTAAATGCGCCACCCCCTTGAGATATATCAAGGTGGGTGGCGCATTTACTTGTTTAGTAGTTGTAGATGTCTATGGGCTCCAGTAACCACTGAACACCCGGTGGGCTGTGAGCTCGTCCATCCATCTAAGCAATAAAAAAAAAACCCGTCCAATTTTTATATTATACAAATAAACATAAAATTGGAAATTGTACTTACTCAGGTTTTTGTACAACGGCAGTAGAACAAAAAAGCTCGCTCGGTCCATTGTTTCTTGATTTACCAGGTTCTTAAAACGTTATTATATTTTGGTTTATGGCGGGAACGCTAGGATCGAAGTCTAATGAATAGTTTTATTTTGTTAAATTCGTATTTCTTATCTTCAGATTTAAAGTGTTATGATGGTGGATTTAAACAGTAAGTTTTGTATCTGTGAAAGTGCACAAGTGTGGGAAAATGAAACAAAGCTGTAGTTGTTTGTCTAAAAAGTCGACTGAAGTCTCAGTAATTTCCTTTCCTACCATTTTTCCTTTATTTTATTTTGTCTCATTCTGTTTGATTTCATTCAATTTCATCCTAATTGTTATCATTGATTGTATGAATGTTCACTTTCTTCTTTTTATTTATTTATCAAATTTATTATTATTATTATTATTATTTTTATTGTCCTTGTAGGCAGACGAGCATACGGCCCACCTGATGGTGAGTGGTTACCGTCGCCCATGGATTTCAGCAATGCCAGGGGCAGAGCCAAGCCGCTGCCTACCGTGATGTTTAGGAAGCTTTTTTTATTTTTTTATTGCCCTTGTAGGCAGACGAGCATACGGCCCACCTGATGGTGAGTGGTTACCGTCGCCCATGGATTTCAGCAATGCCAGGGGCAGAGCCAAGCCGCTGCCTACCGTGATGTTTAGGAAGCTTTTATTTTTTTATTTTTTTTATTGCCCTTGTATGCAGACGAGCATACGGCCCACCTGATGGTGAGTGGTTACCATCGCCCATGGATTTCAGCAATGCCAGGGGCAGAGCCAAGCCGCTGCCTACCGTGATGTTTAGGAAGCTTTTATTTTTTTATTTTTTTTATTGCCCTTCTAGGCAGACGAGCATACGGCCCACCTGATGGTGAGTGGTTACCGTCGCCCATGGATTTCAGCAATGCCAGGAGCAGAGCCAAGCCGCTGCCTACCGCCTACATTAATTCATGAATAGATTTTCCCCAAAGCGAGTTGTTAGAATTTGGTAAAAACAGATGAGGACGGAAGCAATCCGCCTTTGGTTTCGTTTACAGGTTTAACATTTCAATAAGTAATATTATTTTCTGCTAATATTTTAAGTTAATACATTGTCCCCTTTTTGACTTTCTAGGCACATTACTTTTTTAGCCCATAAGGTGTCAGCCAAATTTAAATTTTAACGAAATTTTAATTCTTTGAATAAGTAGGTACCTAATTAAAGCTTTTAACTGATTAGCTTTTAAAATGCACCAACGAATTTTAAAAGCAAAAAAACTCATTAAGTTAATTCTAAATATATATATTTAAATATATTGAAATATAATAGAATATCTGTTTGAGTATCAATGCATGACTATAATAATGATATCACTGCCTTATTATTATTTGGTAAAAATAATGGGAATTGCGATTTATCCAAATAAATTTATCCAAATAAAGAAATTACTTTTTCTTGATTCTTGTCTTCTGACGTTTGTCGGGAAACAATCATTTTGAACGATAAGACTGCTGCTTTAAGATGCTTTATTTAAAGGATGTTTTTTTATGAATTACTTTGATTTAGAATTAAACACACTATCTAAATATGGAAGTTGATTTAGTATTTAACTAAAACATTTTGTTGTCTAAAACAAAATATAAGAAAACAGTCAAAATATACTGAGTAAAAAACCTTTTAAATTAAATTCAACTACTATAGTATATTACCAAAAAAGAAGATTCATATTAGTTCATAATGATGATGTCACTGCCATTATTGTGAACGTACGAAAGAGATAACCAGATTTTCTCACTTTATACTTTGAAGGTTACATTTTAACGTAGCATTGTTGCATTATTTTACAATTAATCCCGATATCATTTTCATAAGATTCGCTTTTAATGGTTCTGGCTATTAGCTCAAAAACAAGTTGTTTTATTTGTATTGATAATGTATAACCTCGAAAAAAAAAGGAAACAATTGTATTGAATAGGTGTTAAAAATTAAAGTAAAAGTTGCTTTAGAAGAAAAAAACGGTTAATTGGATCAAGTAAAAAATGTATATCCGTAATAAAGACGTGGGAGTCTCCCACGGCGGCAGGGGCCTATTCACCAACCGACTGAGGAGGTAATGATGGCTCCATTGTACGATGCAGCAGGAAGTCATTTATCTAACATCAAGAATATTAGTATTTACAGCAATTTCGTGTCTGATTTCTCATCCTAAACGTGCAATTTCGGGTGACGCGTCCGTTATAACTACTCACAATGTCAAACAACTTACAGCTTGACACGATTCGACTAGTTTCTAGAATGATCTTTTACGTTCAATCGAAGTCGTTAAGCACTTGCGTTCTCTCTTGTAGATTGTTTTGTTTGGCTTGAAACATTATTACTATTGCTTATGAAGTATGTCATTATTGTGATTAATAATTATTTTTCTTTTTCGCCACCTTATCCCACTAGGTGGGTTCGGCACAGCAAGTTTTTCTCTTCCGTTCTCTTCTATCAGCCGTCATATCGTCATTCACACACTCCATCCATGTCTTCTTTGGTCGACCCTTCCCCGTCTACCTTGCACTGCCATTTTCATACATCTCTTAGTTACATGCATCTTCTACGCATCACATGTCCATACCACGCATGTAATTAATGATTGTTGTTGGAGTTTGAATATAGATGTAATGGCAGGCAACACTTGACACATGATTACAGATTTCGAATATTAGAATTATTTTAAACGTTTAAAAAACAGATGATTGTATTCTCGTAAGAAAAAGTCAATACTTCTCATCTAGACACGGTCAAAGAAACGTGTAAGGGCTTTATAAAAATATAAAGATAATAATTTCATAATGGTGTAACAGTGTTCAAACTATCTGCAATATAACTGTAATGAAGAAGCGTGTTTTTAAATAGTCCCTCATCAACCTAAAGAACCCAATCCCCTAAAATTTAACCGTCCAACAATTGTAATTATAGTTTCCTTTTTCAAGTCTTATTCTCTAAACCAGATCAGTTTACGGTCAATCCAGTCTTAGATGGTCAAAGCCATCAAGGGCTATAACCAAGCTACTATTTACCATTGTCGTATAGCTTGCATTTACATCACAAGCGAAATCATTTATCTTGGCGTCGTAGTTTTTAAAATAAATAAATGCCTTATAAGTTCTAACACAGTTTCAACACGGAGTTTAATCATATATTGAAACGAATCAGTCGTAATTTCCGTGCTTATTATCTTATAATATAACTTGACTTCGCACAAACCTACAATTACTTCGTAACAATGCTGTACAGGAAGCTGACTATGTCTTTGCATTTTAATCACAATCTCATTCAGAACAAAGACGAAATTATTTATGGCCCTAGAGCTACTTAATGTCTCTATTAAAACTATCTTTCCCCTACAAAAAAACGGCTAAAATCAAGTTAGAGGTATCTTTGTTTACGGGAAATTGTAAAATCGTTGCGTTTGTTTATTTTTATTGCTTAATTAAGCAATCTATGTCAGACAAGAATAAGAGTAAAAGCAAAGACACACGTGCAAATACACGAATTTTACGCATTCAGTGACTTAAGTCAATCAAGAGATTTTACGAAATCATTAACTGTTAATTACAAATCACAGATGAGCAACATCATGACGTGGATGCGGTGGAGCTCTTGTTGCACGTTGTTGCTCCGTGCGTTTGACAGTCTCTTTGAATCTTGTAAATTCCAGAAGTTTCACAAAATTAACATTAGGTATAAACAAATTCATCGTTCAAACCGTTTCTTTGTCAAGTTCAATGAAACAAAAACATTCATCAGAAGCACAATCATCAAATTTAAATAATGAGTATGTTTTGGTTTTATTTCTTAAAACAATTGAACATAACATTTTAATTGCAAATATAAAAATTGGGTTGTTTTGTACAGTTTCCCACGCTCGAAGATGTCAAATTGGAAAACATGAACACCTTGTTCCCACACTCTGCATATCTCCGCTCCATACATCAAACTGGCTGGATGTAAAAAAAGGCAGACAATGATTCAATTGTGTGCACACTGCTTTCTCACAGCTCAGATATAATCGTCATACCATTAATTAATGAAGGTAAATGACCAACCTATCTTAGATTCGTCTAAAACAAGCAATCATAGAGAATAGGTAAACTCAGGTTTTTCCCCCATAGGATGAGGATTTTAAGTTTTTACCTTTTGTCATTTTTTACCTTTATGAATGACTGGTTACGTGTCTGTAGGGGCTATAACGTCATAATCACATTAAACGTCACATTAAGAAATAATGCCTTCAGTCACGCGAAAGGTGGTTCACAGTTCAAAGAAAAAGCTATTTGCGTGCTTGAACTCTTAATTTTTTTCCAGTTTTAGTCTTTCGCATTTGTTTTAATGTTGTGGAATTGTATTATTATTTCACTGCTAATATTGATATATTAAATAAAATACTAAATTTGAATTCTGAACCGGCCATTTCCGCTAATGAATTTTCACATTAAAATGGTGAAATGGTAAAGAGATCAGAACAGCTGTTTTTTGTAAAATAAATGGTTTTTTTTGCTTAGATTGCTTAGATGGATGGAAGAGCTCATGGCCCACCTGGTGTTAAGTGATTATCGGAGTAAATTGCGCCACGTACCTTGAGATATGAGTTCTAAGGTCTGTTTTTACGGTACAATGGCTGCTCTACCCTTCAAACCAAAACGCATTTCTACTTCACAGCAGAAATTGGTAGGGTGGTGGTACCTACACATGTGGACTCACAAGACATCCTACCACCAGTAATTAGACAAATTATAATTTCTTAAGTCTTATAATTTCGAAAATCTTAAAACTTTCTACAAGAATACGGAGATGCGATTTTCCTATACCAAAAATGGATGTTTGACTCGATTATGGACTACAACGTACGAATTTAATTAAGATCATTACAGATAATTTTTTTTTTTTTTTTAATTCATTCGAGGATTGAAAAGCTATTTGGTTTGTGCGACATTTCGTATAATACGCGACATTTATCTTTGTAATTAAAGGTCCGTTTTATTTAGTATTAGCATCAACCTACTAGATGGACCGACGACCTAGTAAAAAGCGCTGGGTCTCGTTGGATGCAGGTGGCAATGGACCGGTCGCACTGGAAATCTATTGGAGAGGCCTATGTTCAGCAGTGGACGGCGATAGGCTGAAATGATGATGATGATGATAGCATCAACAATTCGATGTTTTTGATTGAACTTCAATCATGTTTTCCCCATTCAAAGAGCCGAAGAAGCTTTTGTTGTTATGATATTTTTTCGAAATCTTAAACTTTAAATAGCTCTCCTAAAGTTACAACAATTTTGCTAAAACAAATTGCCTTTCACCCCTTGATTTATGTACCCCTAATGTACACAATGACACTTTTTTTCTTCCAAGCTAATGGTTGGTAGCCTAACGGACTATTTCATAGACCCGTCGATGAACTCACGGGCTCAACCTGAGAGAATTGCTAACACTGACAAGGGCAGTGCTTCGCAGAACCTACCATTCATCAAAATCACGACCCACAGAGAATATCCGGCTTAGTGAGTAGACTTTTCCTTGATCATACAGGCAAAGCCGTGGGCAACAGCTACTTTTTTATTGCTAAAATGGGTGGACGAGCACGCGATCCACCCGGTGTTAGGTGGTTATCAGAGCCCATAGACATCAACAACGTAAATGCCGCCACAACGGTAGTACCTACCACTACCAGTAAATAATAGTTGAAACTATAGAATTATAATAGTAAAATAGTATATAATAGTTGAAACTACTCGCAAGCCATCTGTCGTCTCTTCAGCGTAACGTCTCAGGAACCTTCCCTGAAATACCAATAACACTTGGACAAACCAACTCAACGGAATACATTTCATGCGGAACGCATAGAATAAGAATAATTAAAATGTTCACTTTCATAAGAAAATTGACTACATTAAGTTAAAACAGCAAAGTAACGTATTATTAAAAAAAAAAAAAAAATTTTCAGATCGGTCATTTGTTGCCTCTCATAAAAATTCCATTAATAGCATACAAGTGAAAGAAGTTTTTAAATTTTTATTTTCATTAAATTAATACGCTAGACATTATAAATACTCAAACTACATTCAATGGAGCATTCAAAGAGCATGTCATAAATAAATAACGCGTTATTCGGAAAAATCTCGACTCGGAACAATGGCGGATGGGTAAAGTTGATAATTATCTGAGGTCATATCCACCAGTGCGGAACGGTATGTAGGGGAAGACACTTGTTATAATCATGTGAAGAGTTTTTGAAGACGTTCCCACACTACGAGCACTGATTCCTTGATTAGCTCTGATTCATAAGCGCCTAATTACATTTGACCGTTTTAATTAGACAATGTGGCGAGATTTACAAAAATCGGTGCGTTCGTGGGAATCACGTTTTCAAACAATAATTACGATTCGTTTTCTGCTTTGTAAAAATTTTAATATAACAGAATACTTATTTGTAAATCGAATCGTTTATTTCGTGAATATATAAAGTAATATATAATAATAATTACTAGAGGTCATGCAGTAGTCGAAATTCGACTATAATTAGTTGGAATTGTAAGTTTGTACACTATTATGATCGTATTTTATACTTCTATAATCACAAATTTCGCCAAGAATACACTATAAAAAATATTAACAAAGGCAAACATTATTTAATCTATTGGCAATTTGACAACAGATGTCAAGAACAAAAGTTTGACAATAAATAGTATGCATGCATGTGTGCGTCAAATACTATGTAGTGTGTGTAATGTTTTCTTTATTGATTTAATGTATCTTTTAAGCATTATTTAAAAAAAATATTAGCATTGTGCACTTCTCTATATGCTCTATAAGTGTGGAAAATTTCATACTCCTCCGTCTGCCCAATTTTCACGTATTAATATATAGATAATAATTTATTTATTAACCTTAAAAACATTTACACATAACGGTTTGCTAAGACAGGCAGTGCCTAGTGTGGAGAGTTTTTAGCAAACTGTTAAGTATGTGTAAATGTTTTCAAGGTTAATAAATATATTATTATTATAAAAAAAATATATGGCTCACCCATTCGTCGATTCGTTATCAAGAAAAATCACTTATTAAAAACATAAAAGGATTCATCTTAATTTGCAAGATGTAATAAATAAAACATGTGCGGTTCAAATTGAATTTTATTAAAAATATTCATTGAGAATTGAAGGATTTCAATTATAATCAGTACAGCGATTCGGGCGACTCGCTAGCAGGATTGTAAAAACAACAGTTATTTTCGTACACACAAATTGACAAGTCTCTTGTTACTTTAGTGCTAATTCCTTTGTAATACTGTTTGTTTTATATCCGCAGACTTTATACATCACTTCAAAGATTCTATCTAAAAAATATCGTTTTATCTTTTGTACTTCTAATTACAATTTCTTTCCCGTTTGGAATGTAAGAATAATCACACATAACTAATTCATAGTTCACACCAAATTCAAAATTTATTATATTTCAATTGATTAAATTCGAGTCAAATAAATAATTCGATTAAAAGTTTTTTTTTTTTAATTGATATTTAAAAAACTTACATCTATTTTACGTCAAAGTAAATTGTTCATTGAATTATTTATGCATGACGAAAAATATCAAATACCTAAAATGAAAAACACTATGTGTAAATAAACATTTAAAAAAAAAATCTGTATCTGTTTTACTTTCATAGTAACAAACAGAGACAAGAAATAATGTTACAGATAGAACGTATAGTACTATGAATAAAATAAGATTTTTCCGAGATATAAATTACTTATTTGGCTTTTCCTTGCAGTTGAAACTAGCCTATATTTAACTAGGACTTAATTTTTAAATTACATCCTAAATCAATCTCGGTAGTGAGTCTAAATTCCTTTACCAAAACTAAAGTAAAGAAAACATAATGACTTGTCATGGATATTTTAAAACTATTTGGCCCCGACGAAACAAAATTATAAAGAGATCGAACTGTTTAGACAGATTAAAACCAGATTAAAAAATACAAATAATATAGATTTCGTGTACTTTAAATGATTTTAAAAATACGTAATTATGTACGTACGTAGGAACCATGACGATTATGTCACATAAAATACTAAAGTTTGTAACTTTATTATATTTATTTAATGTTACAAGTTCAAATAAAGGCGATAGATTCCAGTGATCAAACACATTTTCTTTAATCCAAATACGTGAATATATTTTTAAGAATATTCTAGCGTATCCGGTTTCATTTGCGTGAAAACAAATTAAACAGATTAATCTAAAAAGCAACGTGCTCTAGCAACAATATTCCAAATGCTTTTTTTTTTCTTCGCTCAATAGTTTTTATCGTAAAATTTTAATCGTATACACAAATACGACTTTGAGTATCCCCAACAACGTTATCTATTCTATTTGCGTCATATCTTCGAATAAAATTTTAATATTCATATAAAAACTTTTCCCACGATAGTCCTTCTTAATAATAATTTGGTGTTATAATCTCGTCTACGCAGGCTGTAAGGGAGCCGCTTCTGAAGCCGAAACAATGGTTATAAAATATATAGGTAGGCACTATAATACTTTGATAAAACCGAAAAATAATTTATTTGCTAATTCAACGTCACTTTTGCTAAAAAAAAATCAATTTTATTTCTTTCTCAGGGGTCTCGATATCTCGACGCTTATTCATAATTTCTAGATTAATTACTTAAAGAAAATTTCCTATAATCGATCATTCATTATTATTTGATTTCATTTCATTTGATTCATTAATTATTTGTTATATTCATTCTTAGTGTAATTAATTTATCTGTAATACATTAATTAGAATCAATTAGAATTCGGAATGTTGCAGTAAAAAATGTGGTTATTATCGTCGAATTAAATTAAATTCCGGGAAAAGATGTGTTTGGGGATGCTTAAACGACAATGGGAAAATCTTGTGTGAAGATGATGTGGCGGGTAGCCATCATACAACGCAAGATATTTGACAGATGCCTGAATCTCGCTTACGGCATTTTCAAGATAAGCCTGCATATATTATACAAGTTCCGAACAACAACATTCGGACCGTCGGTCTACCGAGCAAATATCACCCGCTCGGTGGAAGATCTTCCCTTTGTCGTTTAAGCATCCCCAAAGTGTGTCCAACTATCCAATATCTAAGATAAACTAAGTTGCAAACAACGACATTGAAACCGCCAGAAAACGTCCTCAATGAAATTCTACCCTCTCTTTTCTCTTCTAACATAAGTTAAGAAGCGATATAATGTCGCGAATTAGTATTTTTAGTCAACTGAGCCGTTCGAGCAATATTAAGCGTACAAAATTCGATCGTCCACAATTCAACTAACAGTGACTGACTATTCGCTACCTATTAAATGATAATATTTTAGTTAACCTAAATTTAGGAAAAATCGAGTTTTAGTTAAATAACTTTTGAGCTTTACTGACTCCTTAGTGTTGTACGTTTTACACCGCCGGCTCGTGGAATGTCAGATTATGAAATTATATTATTTAAATTTTGTTATTGCGAATCTATTAAAGAAAGTATCACGATTTTCAGCTTCGAGGGTGATTCCCTTACATCCTGTATATTAAAATATTACTTACAATTAAATATACTTTTTTACATACGTCCTTTCATAATTGAAGCAATTGACTCAGGCAACCATTACTGACATTTTATAAACAAGTTCTATTATATCGATTGTAACATGATCTTCGTAATCATATTCAATACGACGTTTCACTGCAAACTCTAAGACCGTCTAACTTTTCCAGACATCACTTAATTACATTAAACTATAGTATCTTACGAACATTTTGGACGAGTTATAGAAACCGCGTGACAGAGTATGAAAAGAAAAAAAAACTTCATATAATCACACAAACCAAAATCTTTTTGATATTCGTACGAAAACAATGAAGACCTCAGTGTGCTTAATGTGAGTTTTTTAACGTTCTCGATAGCGTAAAAGTTAAGTCAAATTTGTATGGAATTAGAACGTAGGGCCTACGTTTGCCGCTAGAGGTGCTGTCCCAACTGCATACTAAGTTGAGTTAACTTTTACGCTATCGAGAACGTTAAAAAACTCGCGCCAAGCACACTGGATCGTACGATAGAAAAGAGGCACTGATGACGCGTACTAGGATCTGACTCACCTAGTCGGACTATAGTCTTTGGGTATCACTGCAGACTGGAGCAGCCTGCAGGAGTTGTGCTATTGCAGCGTGTTGTCCGGCAGGCGGTGATCGTGCCAGGCGGAGTCCGGCCGCATGACGTCATCGACCGGCGGGCACACCGGCCGCGGCGCCGGCTCCGGCGTGTACGTGAACGTCAACCCCGTTGCGTATATTATACCGTCGTTGCGAACTAACGACACAGGAACCTGGAATTAAAGGCGAACTATATGCTAAGCGATCATTTACCCCAGCCTTCAAAACTGAAATACAACAAATCTATATATAAATAAAACTAGCGACCCGCCCTCGCTTCGCTTCGGAAACATTAAAACAAACATGAAACCAAAAAAAAAAAAAAAAAATTTAAAAAATGTAGCCTATTCGAAACAAACAAACAAACAAATCTTTCCTCTTTATAATATTAGTATAGATATAGATAAAGATTAGAGTGTCTGTTTGTATGAATATATATACGGTACATACACCAAAATGTCAATTTTTACAATTTTTGTCTGTCTGTCTGTTTGTTCCGGCTAATCTCTGGAACGGCTGGACCGATTTTGATGAGACTTTCAGTAATAGGTAGCTGATGATATAAGGAGTAACTTAGGCTCCTTTTTTTAGATTAGCTTCGCCCCGCGGCGTCACCCGCAGTCTTTGTCGTACCGCGCGCAACATGGCGGGACTCGCCTATTAATAATAAAATTTCATGTTTCCGAAGTGAAGCGAGGGCGGGTCGCTAGTCTCTAATATCATTCAAACTACTTTTGCGGTTAAATCTCCCGTCTATTGTTATCGTTACATTATTTCCGACGTTTGAAACAATTTACAGTTTATATGGTCACGTCCGATGGTCCATATAGGCAGTTTTAACTATGTCAACGAATCAAAAATAAACCAAAGAAAATACAATTCCTTAAATAGTTTTTATGTCTCTATTCTACTAATTACCTTTTAACTTAACACAACATAGTTCTGATGTGTGCTTGCTTTAACGAGTAGGTTTGGTGGAAGATTTGTTTTTTTTCGTCTACATGAATAAAAATCTAAATTCAAAATGTTTCAAAAAAATAAGAATAAGCATATAGATAATCATTGAAGACAGTTTGCGTTGTTAAAAACGTGTTCAGAAATACCCAGAGAAAAAAACATTTTTTTTTTAATGTTCTTGTTTGTATTATTTGAAATTTGTTGCAATTATTAATATAAAATCGTTTAAAATTAGAAGTTTTATTGTGAACCACACAAGTCAACGTTAGATAACAGAGAAACGATAAAGCATATGCATGAAATATTTTTGAGTTACATTTAAACCTACCTGCGTAGGCTGCCGGACCCACAGCCACTGCCCTCTGAATTGTGATATATCTGGAACTACGCACAGCATGGATTCAGCACATCTGTACATTGTCTCCGCTTCGACATCACCAAACCACACTTGTAAGGACGGTGTGAAATTATCTCCAGCCAATTCTAACATGGCAACATCGCCACCCCCGTTGAGATTTAATGAGTGCACCAAGGGTACCGGTGTTACTGGTGACCTATGAGGCAAGAATATTAGTAAGTTTAAATAGAAAGTTAAATACATAGTTTAGGTGTGTCCTAGTTATATCCTTTTTTATAGAGAAACCTATGCCTAACCTATACCTAACTATGCTTTCACAAAGACAAAAATTCGTTTTTTTTTAACATACACTACTCAGATTTTTCAATAATTATTTGGATAAATAAAATAAGCCTTTAAAAGCCAATAAATAATTTTTTGTATATGTATTTTTTTTTCATTGAAGTTGATAAAATGTAACGAATGAAAGTCTGTATGTACATACGTACATATTTATAAAAAAGGGATTGTTTTTTAGAACATTTATTATCTTTGGCTTTTATAAAAATGTTTTAGTAAGGCATTTTTTTTATTTTTTTTTATTGCTTATATGTGTGGACGAGCTCACCTGGTGTTAAGTGGTTACTGGAGCCCATAGACATCTACAACGTAAATGCACCACACACCTTGAGATATAAGTTCTAAGGTCTCAAGTATAGTTACATATAGTATAGTATATAGTTATCATTTAAAAAAAATATTTTTATAATTGGAAACTCCTTGCATTTATTAATCAATAACCTAATGAATACAAAACAGTATTGATATTCGAATCAAATGTTTACATTAAGTTCCAGCAATAAAGAGCATTTATATTTATCAATATAGTTTGTTGGTCATTTGATAACTGCCACAGTGCATGAGAAAAACAAATATAGTAGTAGCATGTTATACAAACATATTTATAGTTTGAATAGTTAAATTTTTGAAAATACTTTAGGACATAAGTTGGGAGGGTGAGTCTGTGACCCATGAATGAGGTTGAGGATGATTGTGTTTTTTATTGTTTTAGTAAGAGTCATCTTAACTCTTGAAATGAGAACAAATGTTAGACTTAGCTAGTTTAAATTTTGAAAGCTTTAGTTTTAAATAGAACAAGGTCATGACAATGTGGCAATGATTTTTTTAACAATAAAATAGTGTTTTATCAAAAATATGGTGTAACAAAAACTTTATTGTTAATAAATATGTCCTTCTTTAATAAACAAATAGTTTAACTATTTTAGTTTTATGAAATACTATTCTATTTCAAATAGTTTGGGAATATTACCTAACGGGTCCCATTCCTTCATAAAATTGGTATTCAGCCTTATCAGTCGAAATTATGGTCCAGCAAGCTCCATCATTTATCATTTCCTTATTGGGTTCTTTAGGGCATGGAGTTGCCTGGAACTGTATAATTCGTTCCTGGGATAGGCATAGATACATTCTCTCCGTATCCTTCATATAAAAAGCACATTTGTGTAGCTGCGATACTGGATCATCAGCCTCTAGTAAAGCCATTTGTTTATCTACCTAAAAATCAAATATGCTATTATATTTATAAATGTTTTTTATCTATTTATTAAATGTTAAAATTTATATTCTTAAAATGAAAATTAAATTTAACTTGATGTGATTAGCCTTAATGATGTGAAAATTCTACATAATGAATAATTGAGGCCTATAAAATCAAAGGCAGCTAAATCCAAGTCTGTCAAATATTCAGGTAAACTACAAAAATCAGCCCTAAACACGTCATTACGGATCCTTCCGATCCATCGAAGTACTGCTCTTGCTAGAGCCAGTGTTAGCAACACTCCCGGTTTGAGAAGCTGAAATAACTTTGTTCGAATAGCTACTATATTATTTAATTTAATGCAGATTTATAAATAATGAGAATATTTCTAATAATCTGAATTTTAAATGATAAAACTTCATTTATTAGTACTTGGTACTGAGTAAAAATAAAATTTTTGAACTGAATTTATTAGAGATTTAGCTGCATTACATGAAAACACTAAAGCGTGTCCAACTAACTAAATAAGGTAGCGACATTGTTAATCCATTTTACGACATTATGGCGTTTAGCTGCCTTTGATTTTATAGGCCTCAATTATGTCAAATAAATGCAGACTAATTAAAATAAATAAAAATAAATAAAATAATAAATTATGAAAATAAGATCATTGGTTAACATCAGATAGCAAAACTTTAATCACCTTTCTAATAATAAGCCTTGGTAAAGCCATACCAGTGACAGAACAGACTAGTTTTACTGTAGATCCATAGTGAACATATCCATCTCTCACTGCAAACTCTTCAGACTCACTCTCATTATCATCCAGTAGATGAATAGTAAATGCCCCCCATTGGGTAGATGATGCATGAAAATTACCATTTTCCACATGCAGATATCTGGTTGACACTGTCTGTGACCTTAGTCTGTTAAATAGAGCTACCTTTGTTCCACTAGCTATGCATAAGTCAGCATTTTTTAATGACTGTTTCTTTTTGGAAGGCTTTGAAATTACTTTAATTCTTTTACTGTTGAATATACCAATATCATGTCCATTTCCATAGAACATTTTTACAGATAGCATAAAGTGTTTTCGTTTATCTGAATCAGATATGTACAAGGTTTTTGCAGCACAATACTGTTTACCATTATTGAGATCCAATTGTTGCATGTCTTGGTCTGAATTACCAATCCCAATGAATGCACACAGCTGAGCTGCCTGTTCCGTTTCTCCCTCTCTTAGCATGCGCTCTCGCCGGAGGCGCCACCCATCACCAAAGAGGTATATACATGGAGGCGGGCAAAAAAAACGTTTTTCATTTCCATAAGATTTCTGTGCTACTTTTGCATGTAAAATTACAACTACCATATCAGAGCGATCACGTAAATATCTCTCCATGGCCTCACGGGTGAGACGTCGTTCTTCAGGACGATAGGCGCCGGCGCCAGGACCAGCTGCGCTGGCGTAGCGAGGGTACGCGCCCACCGGCGCTGGCGGCGACGCACCGCCCGCGCCGCCGCCGTACTGGTGCGGCATGCTAGCCACGGCTAAATCACCATCAGCCTACCCTCATATCTTCAACGGCATTGTTGAAAAACTATGTGGAGTGATCTCTTCTCCAAGGCACCATGATTACATCTCCATAACAGAGGATCTGTAGCACACTACAGCAGTGGCACTGGATGCTTGATTAGAGGCACTTTTGTAAATCGATTGGGAAGTCGCTCGATCCCTTTTTCTGTTATATTATTCACGCCACTAAAAATTAATTACGGTGGGAACTAGCACACGTTTCATTCAAAAACACCTGTTCAACATTGGAATTTTCAGACGAGTCACTAAATTTACCGGTTCCAAGTTTAAGAAAGGAATTTGATAAACTGTTAGCGAACTTTTGTATTTGTTTAAATTTCGTTTGTTCCGCTTTCTTGATAAATGTACGATTTTATCAAACTTCTGTTTATTTCTCAAGTTTACGTCCGACAACGCCAAATACCGATCTGTCAAATCTGACCATAGATAGATTGACATAGACACCGTTTAAGCAATCTGAAGTGCAAGCAATTTGCTTTCCAATATTTTACATCTACACGTGCGAAACAACAATGAAATCCTCGAATGCGAAGCAGACCGACTGACGAAGCTGACTGAAAGCCGCCGACGGTCGTAGTAGGATGTGGGGTTACGCCGCGTGGGGCGTGAGAAAATAATGTGTGGGAAAGAGTAGGCGGTCGGCGGTCGCAGCGTGTGTAGTAACTAGTAAAACACCCAGTCTCCACTAACTCAAATTATAGTTTCATTTGATAGTGTGTGTAGTAAACAGTGATTCATATGTTGAAAAGTTACAATGTGTGAGGAAGAGAGCGACGATTGACCGAAGAACCCGTGGGAAACGACCTTTGTTATGTACTCTGATTTATATTTATATACATTAGTGTAAACAAAAAAAGTTCGGTCGGAGCTACTCTTATCGGTAACGATGGGAGTCACTGGATTGTGGCGGTTGATTGAACCGACAGGAAAGCCAGTTCCAGTAGAAACGTTGGAAAATAAGGTTTTAGCTGTTGGTAAGGCCTTATAAAATTATTACAAACACTTAATGGCATCTAAAAATACAATTGTAATGTATGAACTAATGTTTCTCAGACATCTCAATATGGTTGCACCAGATGGTGAAAGGTTATCAAGATGCCAAAGGAGCCCCTTTAGCAAATGCTCACTTGATGGGCTTGTTCCAACGGCTTTGCAAACTTCTCTACTTCAGGATAAAACCAATTTTCGTATTTGATGGTGGCTTTCCAGACTTGAAGAAAGAAACAATTGTTAGTTATGTTTTAAACTTTTTTTAGAATAACATTACTGCTCAGAAGTAAGATGCTTAAACGTGTTTCAGTACATGTAGCTTACTTCTTTTTTCCTGTATTGCCTTGTTTATCCCTTTAGCAAAAGTAGACCTGAAATATATCTGTTTAATTATAATAGAAACTAGTAGGAAGTGTAACTTGATATTCTTTTACTAAGGGCAGTTGACAGAGAATAGTAATATAGTAGTAGTAGCTAATTTCATAAATTTGAATAATAATGCATCAATAACAATTGCATCCTTCCATAATATAAGCCTTTATCATGTTAAAATAATAATGCTAAGAAAGAATTTATTTTCTAACTAAACCACCATTAAACTATTATCAAATAATTTATTTTTAGTCTAAAAGACAAGATCACAAGGTGAAATATAATTCAGAATCTGAAAGAATAAAGAGAGAATTAGCTCTTCTTTTAAGCAAAAAAACTGCTATCAACAGTTTGCTTGGAAAGCAGATTTCACCAAAAAAGAATGTAGCTCAAACTGAAATTGAAGATAATATATTCAAATTGCCAGAACTCCCGAAGAAGAACCAGGAGAGTGAATCAGAGTATGTAAAATGAAATAACCAATTACATTGTTACATTTCAAATTTTTGATGATTTTTTTTAATTTTTATGATTTATAAAAAAAAATTAAATCACTGTGATTTTCTTCAAATTTCTTAGATATATCTCTATCATTTCTATCACTAATTTATTATTTCCGTTTCAGTGTTTTCAGGTTTCAATTTTAAGTACTAATAATACTTATATGATTAAAATTTACATTGTAGTTCTGAGGAAGAAAGTTCAAGTGGCTCCTCTGTTGATCTACATTCAATGGATCTAAACTCTGAACATTTCAAAAACATGCCCCTTAAAGAGAAGTATGATCTACTTGTAGAGTTAAAAGAAACAAGAAAAATGAATTCTTGGGGAAGATTACATGAATTACCAAAGAAAAGTGACAGTTTTTCTGATTTCCAGGTAAGTAAAGTAGCTGAAAGAAAGTTCTACATTCAATGGCCTCAAGCAAGAATTTTTCATGTGTGTGAAACATACATGAGACAAAAACTACTACTTTTTCTAAATTACTTTTTTGTCCCAATAACTAACATATTTGATTCTTTTCTTTCACTTAGATGCAAAGATTGTTAAAACGAAGGAAACTACAGGAATGTTTTGAAGAAACTGAGAAAGAAATGGGTGTTACAGGAATGTCATTAAAAGATTTAGAATCACTACTTAACGAGGAAGGTATTGATACTAATGTTGATACATTACCGACAAAAAGAATAGCGTCCAATGATAATACAAGATTCTTACTTATAAATAACATAAAGCAAGCTTTAGCTGAAGCTAAGCAAAGAAATGACGCCAAAGATCAAGCAAGCACGAGTAATAGGGTAGAAGAAATAAATATTGAAAAAGAAAAGTCACCAGTTAAAGATGAACTTGAATGTGATTTAGAGATGGCCATTAAAATGTCTATGGAATGTGTAAATGAAACTGACACAGCTACTTATAATTCGAAGACTGATGATTCTTGGACATCCTGTTTAACTGATACAGATTATTCAGACTCTGAAGATGAATATGAAGTACCAGATATGTCAACAGCAAAAGCTTATATCATGCAGTATAGTGATTTCACTAATATTGCTATTGAAAAACTTGTTTCAGAAAAAAGTAATAATAAAAATAAAGCTCATGCTTCCAAATTAGATGAAATATTAGAAGAAATAAATAGAGAGAAAGCATTAATTGAAAGTAAATTAGAAATATCATCTGAAGAAGACAATAAAGTTCAAGATATTGACCTTACTTCAGATTGTGCTGAAACTGTTCCTGTGCAAAAAGACAAAGAGCCTGCAGTAGAAGCATTCAGTGTAGAATTAAAACAAAATCATAAAGTAGAGGCTGCTGATGGTGTTGTTGAGGATAGCAAAGAAATTGGTCAGCTTACAGTTCTGAATGTAAGTGATAAAGAACAAAATATCGATATTATTGAAAGAAAAGAAATGCCAATAAAAGCTATTGATTCTTCGCAATCCTCAGTAATTTGTATTCACAGTTCTGATGAGGATATTTTATCTTTTGATGTAGAAAACACTGATAAACGTAATCCTGAAATATCCAAGGATTCTGAATCGGATGAAGACGATTTTGAGGACGTGCCAGAAATAAATTCTAATCCCAAAACTGTTGTGCAACTAATATTAAATACCAATACTATACCAGATAAGAATGATCTGTTTGCAGATATCTTTGAGAATACAGAGGCTGTAGATGTTCATGTGGAAACTGAAAAAGTGGAACAAAAAGGGCGCAATGAACTAAAAAGTGATATACGCGATCAATTAAAAGTTGTAACCGATGACACGACCAAAAATAAGTTTAGAAAAGAGAGCACAGAAGTAGTAGAGACTAATTTACAAAATGAAACAGTAAATTGTATTATCCAGCACGAAAATGACGAAAAAGCTACTAATTCGGACAAAAAACTGAAACTTTTACAAGAGAGAACTGTAGTCAAAGAGCCGATATCAACTGAAAAGTTGAATACAATTGTAGGTGAGATTCAGTCAAAAGAAAATTCTCTAATACAAGAGAAAGGTCGATTAGATCGTGTTGGTAGAAACATAACAGAACAGATGACTAAAGAAGCTCAGGAGTTACTGCAAATATTCGGAATTCCTTATATCGTCGCACCAATGGAAGCAGAGGCACAGTGTGCCTTCCTTGAGACCATTAATCTAACTGACGGAACAATCACAGATGATAGTGATATTTGGCTATTTGGGGGTAGAACTGTGTACAAAAATTTCTTTAATCAAAAGAAACATGTTCTACAGTTTTTAGCTGACATAATAGAAAAATCATATAGTAAGTAGAGCCACTGATGCCAATGCAATAAAAAAATAAAACAATAACTCATTTTTTTAATATTCCAGACTTAAGTCGTGAGCAGCTTGTTTTACTAGCTCTGTTAGTGGGCAGTGACTACACTACCGGGGTGTCTGGAGTAGGTCCAGTCACCGCACTAGAAATCTTAGCGTCTTTTCCTTTCAACAAAAAGCAATTGAATGAAAGCGTTAAGAAATCGCGATATGCCGAAATGGTGGCTGGCTTACAAGAATTTAAGGTGTGGGTGCGTGCCGGGAGAAGAACAGATAATATTAGCTTAAAGAAAAAACTGAAGAATGTGAATTTGTCCGAAGATTTTCCCAGTGTTCGCGTAAGTTTTTTTACTACAGTATAATTATTTTGTCTGTGCAGTTTGGGTCATAAAGTTGGAGTCGGAGCGGTGAAGTGAGTATTTCGCTCTCTCTTCCACTCACGAGCCTTATGGACGGGCATAGTGATGCGCATTATTGTTGTCGATAAGCGTTGTCGATACTGTATTTAGTTTTGTCATTTTGTGTGTTAGTGATAAAAATGAAAGAAAGAATCATTAACCGAACACTTACACCACATATCGCCGCAGCAAGTTAACGAGAACGGCAGAAATGAACATTTTGTAACTTTTTCAAGATTTATTCTTATTTCAGTGAAAAAATTTAACACATTGTTCATAACAACACGTGCAAATTTTATTTTGAATAAATTCTGCCGTTTTGATACAAAACAAAGGAGTAGCCATTGTGTCACTAAAGAAATTCAGAGAACGAATGCATAAAAACACATTTCTCTTCGACATAACGTACTATAATTTGCAGGTAAGTACAAATGACTCTTAACATAACAATGTCTCACCACCCTTCGTATAAAACCCCCCGCCTTCGATGACTCATTTGTTTTTATCGAGAATGGCGTTGCGTCCGCGCAACATGCTCACCGCCCTAGCCGGGCTATGTTTTATGACCCAAACTGCACGGACAAAATAACCCTACTATAGGATTGTTGGCAGATAAGGCACACGGCTTACACGGTGTTAAGCGACTTTTGGTGGCCATAAACATCACTATCGATCTTAATACATGAAGTAGAAGTCTCAATTTTGTTTGTATGGCTATCCCGCGTTTCTAACACATTACTTGTTTTGTTATTTACTCAAAATAGAGTTAGATTTCAACTAAAAATAAATTAATGTTATTTGGTTTGGCTGATCTGGTTGTTAATTTTCAAACTTTCACGTTTTAACTAAAATATTAGGCAACTATTCAGCGAAATTGATTGCTTCCAAAAATATTTACTGGTGGCGCAATAACTTGAATCCCTGTTTAATCCAGGTCTCATGTGTGCTGAAACAATATCACGACTGTCTATTATTTCTAGTACAGTTTTGTCAATTAATGCTCAAAATTTTCATTTTATTGCGAAAGTAAAAGTTCTAAGTTCATAAAAACCAATGATATATACCTAGTTTTGCCATAAATACTGAGACAAAGGAAAAAATTCTATTGCAAATAACATTTATTACTTTTACAGTGTGTTAGTTTAATACATAAATATAAAACAATTTAAAGTATAAAAAGCTTATTCGAAGTGGTCTCCATTGGCTGCAATACAGTTCTTTATCAATAGAAGCGTACCAATCGTACGGATTGTTAAAACAATCCGTACGATTGGCATTGGCATATCATGGCGTTTAGAGCAAGCCGTACTCTCTAAAACTGACCATAAATCATAATCCAGCGGATTAACATCTGGACTAGACGACGGCCAGTCTTCAGCTCTGATGAAGTCCGAAACGTTCGTTTCCAACCATGACTGCGTAGACCGAGCTTTATGACCTGGCGTCGAGTCTTGCTGGAAGGACCATTCTTGATTATTGAACATGGCGTTCTTAAAGGGCTTCCCTACCTTTTCAAAAATGGTATCTTGATACACTTGTGCCGATGTTTTGATACCTTTTTCACAAAAGTATGGCTCAGTCACTCCTTCATAGCTAATACCCCACCAAACCATCACTGAAGTCGGAAAGTGCCCACGTTGCACTCTGTCGACTAATTGGGAAGCTTCCTTAAGAGCTTTGAGCATAAATACGGTCATTTTGTTTGTTAAAATGTTGCTCAATTGTAAAAAATTTCTCATCCGTAAACAAAATTTTTCTATGACCTCCCTTTGCGTACCGCTTCAGTAGTTGTTTCGATTTTACCACCCTATTCTCTTTCAAATTATCAGTTAAGAAATGACCAGTACGTCTCTTATAGGCTGCAAGTCCTAAGTCATCTTTTAAAATACGCGACATGGTTCTAGGTGCTATCTTCATCTCCCGACATAAAATCTTTTGCTTTCGGACAGGATTTCTTCGAATTCTTTCCCTTACTGCTTTGACCACCTTTTTCGTACGAACACTACGTGGACGGCCAGATCTTTTTCTGTCACAAACAGAAGAGGTCTCATTGCACCTATTAATAGCCCGGTACACAAACATTTTACTAATATAATCGTATGGAGAGTTTTAAAAATTGCATTTGGCTCCATACCTACTTTGTGTAATGCAATCACAACGATTCGGTTCTCTTTATCACCCCACTTCATTTTAATATCGCAAAATATTGTACAATGTATTGGCGCCAAAATGAGAAAACTCAATGAGCAATCATATAATAATGACAGATTCCAAATTCAAATGTAATATTTTGTTTATTTTTAATTGTAACAGTATTGATGGCCAGACTAAGTAATGGCGCCACTTTTGGCACGGCATATTTGTAGACTGGTAGCGCAGTATTATTATTACATTTATGTGCGTTGGTTAACAAACTGACAATCCGGATGGTGTTAAGAGGTTGACAGTAGTATAAACAATACGTTTTGCAGGTTGTACAAGCATACTTAGAACCGAATGTTGAAAAAAGTAATGAAAAATTTACATGGGGTGAATTAGACATCACAATACTTCGAGATTATACGAAAGAGAAATTTGGTTGGTCACAAAATAAACTCGACGAAATAATTAAACCAGTTTTAAAAAGAATGCAAGAGAAGAAACTGCAGAGGTCAGTTGAAGATTATTTCAAGAAAAATGTCAACTTGCAATCTTTGGAGGATCAAATGAGCAAAAGGGTGAAAGCAGCGGTACAGAAAATGGGACCGAATATATTAAATACACTTGAAGACCCTATTCCGAGTACACAAGTTCAGGCAACAATTGTTAAGAAAAGAAAGAAAATAAAAAATGAATCAAATAAATCAGGCCCTACACAGCCTAAGTTGAAGAAAAATCTAGAAGAAAAGCTCCTCATTAGTCAGGGGGTAAAAGTCATTTCAGAAACCAGTGAAGATAGAACGAAAAAAATTGAAATACAAATTCCTAAAACGGACCGAGTTCAAGAAATCATTCCACAGAGAGAGAAAGAGAAACAGAGCTTATTGCAGAATAAATTGAAGGCTATTGAAATATTCAGGAAGACCAAAATCGATCGCAAGAAAAAAGCTTTTAAAAAGAAAGTTATATTACCAAAAAACGATGCAGAACTCTCAGAAACTGATAGTGAATAATGTAGAATGCATGTATAGGATCTTGTTTGTTTTGTTCAATAAAAAAATCAAATTTAAAATAATATTTTTATTGTTTATACAACTCTAAGGATATAATAATAAGTGCACATGATAACACCACATATCTGTACAACTGTTATTTAATAATTATAAATATTGATATCTACACTAGAGATCGGGGATCGTTGCGAATCTTAATTCTCATATCTGCAATTCGCACAAAGTTAGTGTTTTTTCTAAACTGAAAAACGAAATAGCTTATAACGTTCGAATTTCTAAACAAAGTACTGAATGATCGACTTTTTGATTTTTAAAAGATGACAAGAGACGTATTTACGTCTTCCGCGTCTAACAATCGCCCGTCCCTAGCTTGAACCAAATTTATAAAACTTCTTAAATTTTACTGTAAATCATGAAACTAAGTTAAATACCTAGTATTGTTTTTAACGTTTAAAAACTCGAAAAATAATATTGAAAAAACGATTGGTTTTACAGAGAAAATATTATAATCAATTTCATTTAGAACTAACATCTACACAACTTTATTGTTTACTATTGCATTACTTTTGGTAGTTATGATGTTTTAGTCCGTAACCTAACATACTAACAAATCACCAAATCACGTTTACCAATTTGGAAAACGTTTAATAGCAATCCAATCTTGCAGTGTGAGGTTATGTTTTTAAGTGTGGTGAGCTGAAACAATTATAACGTGAGGCATCAGGCCCTTTAAAATATACTAAACGATGTGCAAATCATAGTTGTACAAGATGAAAGCTTAGCATTTATTTTATTCAGAAATAAAAATTATAAGATATTTTTTCGTAGGACATTATATTTAAATTATGAAGAAACTTAATCTCAACTGACCAAGAGACCAGTGTGTTTAGTATGAGTTTTTTAACGTACTCAAATTTGTATGGAATTGGAACGTTTGTCTACGTTTGGCGCTAGAGGCGCTGTTCCATCTGCATACAGATTTGAGTTAACTTATACGCTATCGAGAACGTTAAAAAACTCGAAATAAGCACTTAGACAATAACTTCTAAAAAACAGTACACTCCGAGTTGTTACGAATCGTTAATTGACAACATTTCATATTTTCAATATGCTTGAATATCAATCATGGAATGAACATAAATACATAGTTTTACTATATTTTTTTTTTGTTTCTAAAAAACTTTCGTTCTAAGCAGACTTAACGCCAAATGACGTTATATGAGTAATTATATAGTTGACTATCGAACTCATCTTTTATTTGAATAAAATATGGTATGATCTTGATATTTAACCTTTTGACAGCCATGTAGGTCACCGGTGCCCTACGTACGGAAGTAATTATGTCGATTTCTGTTCCTAGAGTTTAGGAGCACATTGTATACTGTGTATCACGAAGGGTTCTCTATCTAACTGAACTTTTGCAAAATCAAAAAAATTCTCTTTGTCTTCACCTCGTTATTTTCGAAGCTTACAGACATCACAGGACATGAATCTTGAGACATGAGGCTACACAAGTCAACGCCCTATCATTATATGAATATTTTTTATTTGAAAACTGGTGCTTTTCATATGATCCCATTTAAATATTATCAAGATCTGAATAATAGTTTTCGAGTTATCCTTAATTATTCATATTTAATTGACTTTTTATTTTATTTGTTGAAATCGGTTTTCTATTTTGTTATAAAACTGTTTTATCAAAGTTAGTTTCTTCTTTGAATTTAAAATAGAGGTAAAAAATCTATAAATTATAAATTGCAACACTAGTCAGTGTTGTCATCTTCGAAAATATATTTGATGTATCTCAATTTTCTTAACAAAACAATATCCCTCAAATATGTTTTTAAGCCATATTTAATTGTGAAATGTTGTCAACTTCAAATACACTGACATTATTCAAGATAACCATTGGCAAACATGAACAAAACAGGACATTGTAACTCAAATCGTATAAAAAATATGAAAAAATCTTTATAAACATAAATTAAACTAAAAACAAGGATTAGTCAATATTTTTTTTAAATAATGATCATTTTCTTTTGCCTTGAGGGGACAAACAGGTCCAATACTAACTTTAACATCGATGACTGCTTTTCATTTGACCGGTGCAAAGTTCACATATTCAGTTCAATAATAATTATTAATATTTACTGTCAAGTGCAAAGTGGATACCGATTCAATATTAAAATTAGATCTAATACACGCTCTTGATAACATGAATACGATATTTTATATTTTTAGTTTTAAATAGAAATAATTATGATAATGTCTGTTTCATTAACGACTAGAAACGTCTTTTCCTTATTTCTCGTCAGAAAACAGGTAGGTAGGTAGGTAGGTTACCGTTTAAGATTTCGTGAATAAAAATAATAGGCTTAGCTACTAAAAATATATATAAAAACTTGAATAATGAAGCAACACCTTGGAGTAGGGAACTAACAGTCCATTTAGACATTATAGGATTGTTATGGAAATTTAATCTTTATTTGTAAAACGAGGGTACCCGACACTGCCAAGCTGCTCAGTTAAGTTGAATACATCCGGTCCTTTAGATGAACGTTCTCTGTGGGACTTCCGAAGTTGTTAGCGCTGAGAGAGCGTGAACTGTGTAGTATTTTGGAGTGGCTTAACTTTTTTAGTGCTTTATATTTAATGAACAACTTTCTGGGAACTTTAACATAACGAATGACGTAGTACAAAAAATTTAAACCATGTGGAACCCAAGAACAAAATTTTTTTTTAATCGCGCTGAAAATTCGATTGAGCGAGTCATTGCGCGTGACGTCATTTGGTATCAAAATCTTAGCGTGTCGATACGCTATGTCTAACATTGTGATTGGTGTTTGGTTTGATGTGAAAAATTATAGATGAAAAAATGTCGAAACCACTAAATCTTCTAAGGGACTCAAGTGTTATTTGTCAATATAACAGGAACCATTTTCAAAAACTGAAAGGGGACTGAACTACGAATTCCTAACACGATACCATTTTACTAATTTTTCTTAGATGACAAGCAATGTAACAATAAAAATGATTGGATGCAAGAAATCTAGAGCGTATTACATTACGGGTTCATAAAATGTAGTTACTAAAGTATAACTTACTTAAATAAAATTGCTTTATTGACCCTACGACCTCACGATCGACCTCTTTTCAACATATATAAGACATGACTTCATTTATCGATCTATTGGGTACCCTCGCTTCCAAATACTCGTTAACCAAACATTTCTAAATTAATATCTATCGTTAAATAACAATATTTGCGTATAAAGAAAATAGGTTCTATCACATGAAAAAGAAAACCTAAAAAAAGAAAAAAGGAAATATTTCTTGTCTTACATCTCATTACCACTAACACTTAGTTCAGGTTTCGATAACATCAGAGCCTGTTTCTGTGGTCAGCATGTCCATTATGATTAAAGTGACAGTTTATATTATCAAGCTCATTCATTCCTATTTAAAACAAGTAAACCTAGTCATTGGTGGTGCGGATCATCTGTAGATCATGAAACAAAACTCAATGTAAAGAAAATCACTTTAATGTATAATTTACCCATAATACAATACAATCACAATTGATTCAACCACAATGGACACGCAAACGTTGTACGAACTCCGTCACTTAAAACACAGCCACACACTAATTAATCTACTTTCACTACGCTGTAGATCTTCCTGACGAACCAGAAACAGGCCATGAAGCCGATCGTGCCGGTCAGAAGGAAGAACAAGAACACCATGATCAGAGTGTAGCCGAAGTAGAGGAAGGTGGAGGCAGCGTCCTCGATGTTCAACTTGGTGACGAAGTAGTGACAGCAGTAGATGAACAGGTAACCGGCCGTGGAGCCAGAGCTGAAGAAGGCGCGCCACCACCAGTGGTAGTCCTCGGCGCACAGGTGGAAGTAGCACAGCAGGATTGTCGTCTCCGAACACGTGATCACCAGGATCACGAAGACCAGGAACAGGAAGCCGAACATGTAGTACATCTGAAATTTAAATATAATACTATAATTTACTGGTGGTAGGACCTCTTGTGAGTCCGCACGGGTGGGTATCACCGCCCCGCCTATTTCTACCGTGAAGCAGTAATGCGTTTCGGTTTGAAGGGTGGGGCAGCCGTTGTAACTATACTTGAGACCTTAGAACTTATATCTCAAGGTGGGTGGCGCATTTACGTCGTAGATGTCTATGGGCTCCAGTAACCACTTAACACCAGGTGGGCTGTGAGCTCGTCCACTCATTTTGGCACTAAAAAAAAATAAAATAAAATGGAATACTTAAATGGTGTGCCGCCAAATTTTACATTCAAATAATTTTTATATTCATTGTGAACAAATTTTGAAATCGTCAAGTTTGCTGTGACAGAAAATAAGATTGAGAATCACCACAGTAGTGTATGCATCGCATCTTACTGTCTCGTTACTCAGACAATTGAGCCTAATAAAAAATATAATTTAAATCGTTTCAAACATGTATCTGAACGCACTTGGCTAGACCACAGAGAGTTGAGTATGAAGAACAGCTGTATAAAGATGCAACCGAAGGGCAAAACTCCTCCCATGATGATGCCGGGTATCGGCTGCGTGTACAGGGACTGCTCGGGGATCTGCCGCGGGATCTGGTTGGTGCGCACTGGATGGTCCAGGATCTGTTCAACAAAACGACAAATATATTTCTGCGCGTCTGGGATACGGGCCAAAAATCGACTGCCTGTGATGCATAGATAATTTATTATTACATAATCTATTACATATATACAAGCATTATTTATGAGCAAAATTTATCTATAAAATGAATTGCTGTTCGTTAGTCTCGCTAACACTCGAGAACAACTGGACCGATTTGGCTAATTTTGGTCTCGAATTATTTGTGTAAGTCAAATATGAAAATGCTCGGAATTAAATAAAAATGACAATTTTTTTTCCTTTGATACGTCCCTCGTCGGACGGAGTCCTTTTCTTTGTTTTAAGTTTAGGTCTTTTATTTATCGATTGAGGCACTACACTACGAAGTATTTCGGGTTAGCTAGTAATTCATAAAATTTGAATGTTTGATATATAACAATTAATTAAATTAAATTGTATTTTTCATTTTTACAGTAAATAAAATAAAATAAAAAATGGTATACACCATAAATCTTAAAATAATGTTCCCATTAGATGTTTTACATAAAACAACTCACCCTCTTTCTGAAGCCGAAGTAGGCCCCGATGAACGTCAGAGGCACAGACACACCGAACCACAGGGCGAGCAGCGCCACCAGCGTCGAGAACGGCACCGCGGCCGACGAGTCCTTACCCCACAGCACCAAGTTCATCACGAAGAACAGAGAGAAAACAACGCTGTGAACGTAACGCTAAACTTAGTATTTGACAAACAGAAAGGAACACTTTTTTAACTCAGAGTATAATTAGTACCACCACCCCGCCTATTTCTGCCGTGAAGCAGTAATGCGTTTCGGTTTGAAGGGCGGGAAATCCGTTGTAACTTGAGACCTTAGAACTTATATCTCAAAGTGGGTGGCGCATTTACGTTGTAAATGTCTATGGGCTCCAGTAACCACTTAACACCAGGTGGGCTGTGAGTTCGTCCACACATCTAAGCAATAAAGAAGAAATAACTGACCCGGGACAGACAGTGGAAGTGAGTAGGATATTGCTCTTCCATCTTCGTCCGCCGAAGCTCTTGTAGACGCGCGCGCTGACGTAGCCGGCGGCGGCGCCCAGCAGCACCCACACCACGAGCGCGCACGTCATCAGCGCGCCGCGGTTGGCCGGCGACAGGAACCCGAGGCACGCGAACGCCAGCGTCACAAGTGTCATGCCGAACACCTGTCCACAAAAAAAAACTCATTTTTATTAGAAAAGCTACACGTTTTTCGTTGACGTTCTTTTTTATTGCTTAGATAGGTAGACGAGCTCACAGCCCACCTGGTGCTTAGTGGTTACTGGAGCCCATAGACATCCACAACGTAAATGCGCCACCCACCTTGAGATATAAGTTCTAAGGTCTCACGTATAGTTACAACGGCTGCCCCATCCTTTAAATCGAAACGCACTACTGCTTCACGGCAGAAATAGGCAGGGTGATGGTACCCACCCGCGCGGACTCACAAGAGGTCCTACCACCCGTAATAAAATTTGCTTAGTGACGTTTACATTCCCGATCCTGCGGACAGAATGGAAAGCAGTCGACGTCGCCCAAAACACGTCATCTCGGATCCTCCCGATCCACTAACGGTGCTTCTAGGTACTTCAAGCACCGGTCACCGTTCTCGTCGAACCCGTCGCTTGCGACGAAGGGCTCGACGAGTAAACTAACTCTCAGACACAGCCCACTGAGTTTCTCGCCGGATCTTCTCAGTGGGTCGCGTTTCCGATCCGGTGGTAGATTCTGCGAAGCACGGCTCTTGCTAGGGTCCGTGTTAGCAACGTCATCAGGTTTGAGCCCCGTGAGCTCACCTACAAAAGTTAGGGTTACGCTGATATAGCCTCTCAAGGCTATCAGCTTAGGTAGGAAAAAAAAAAAAAAGTGACGTTTGCTTGAAAGGCATACGTCACTAAGCAACAATAACTGCTTTGTACATGATAGGCAATAACCATATTCGATGCGCAAAAAAAATATATTTCTAGGTCTATTAAAATCATTTTAATCCTACAGCTAGATTCGTTAAATTATTATTTTTTCAGGTATTTCAACTTTAAATTAGTCTACTGTAAAGTTCGCGCATTGTCGCTTAGTCACGTTTGCTTTTCAAGCGTCGATATCTATGTGTACATATATGTATATATATTTCATTGGATTGGTACACCGCGCGTAGTTCGTTTCCAAATGATTCTTGTCCACCTGTAGGTTGTCTGGAAGAAATCGCTCTTAGCGATAAGACCGCCAACTGTACTTTTTTGTATTTAATGTATCGCACTGTTTATTTGTTTCTTTTTTGGTATACAAAAAAGAATACTCTCTCTCTCTACACATTTTTCGTTGACATTTGACATTTAACTACATACGTACAAATTATTATACACTTTTGCAACTATCCACATTACATACATTATTATTTAACAAATTTTCAATATTTTGTATAGCAACAATATCTATAATATCTATGTATGTATACCTAACGTGTATCTATATAATCAAAATACCCTATTATATACGTACTTGAGATCCAGATCCTAAGAAGACAGCCAGCAGCATGCCCCGACGAGGAGGTCGAAAGACGTCACCGTGAACTAATTTCCAACCGAATTCCTCCTGAAAAAATATAAACAAATATGTATAAACAAATATGTACATTGATTATACTGCATATTGCACCTATAATTGCTATTAATGTTGTTGTCTTGTCTGTTTAGTCGACTAACACCACAGGGTCATGGATTTGATTAATTGTCTTCCCATCAATGGTAAATTTCTTACATCTATATCAATCAACAAGTGTACTGTTTACTAATGTGCCTCGCAATTCTACCTTACAAGCATATAATGCACATAACTCTTAGAAGCATTTCAATGACAATAACAATGACATGTTATGTTCATAGATCATAGTAACATCATTATCAATTACACCAGACAATATGCCTGTATATAGCCTAACCGTATCTGTATTGAGGTAGTTGACACGGATACATTAAAGCTTAGAGACAAGGTAATTATTACAATTTCTGTACCTATCTTATAAAAATCAATAACAATAAGATTACTTAGATTAATTCTTCACTTGATGCTCCTAAAGATCCGCATTCGATAGTAGTATTTTTCGAAATCGTAAACACAAAGTCGGATCTCCTTTTTCCAAAATTACTTTCAAATTCTGTGTAAATACTTTTTCCTTGGACTCTAGACTAAAATATAAGATCAAATACTTAATGCAATTTTACTGTAAAAGTTGTTGAAATATCAGTTATCTGATTCTTTTGTCTCTAATCACAAGATATAACGCTTGTAAGAAAAAGCAGATTAATCACCTGAGCATCTTCACCACATTCCATTTGGTTGTATCTAGCGATGTCTTTATAGAGGGTCCTTAGCAATATCATAGCAACCATTCCGCTGAGGAACAGGACTATCACCAAGGAGTTTAAAATCGAGAACCATTGAATATTGGTCTGCGGCATTGATTCTAATATGTAGTCCCATCTCGACGACCATTTAATGTTGTTGTTCTTTATAAATGTAACACTGTACGTATAAATTACGTCCAAAGTCTTATCACTGTCAAGTGTTGCTGGTATTTCTTGAGGATTGTTCCGAACAGTACAGTCTAAGTTGTTTTCGTTTTCATGTCTTATGCTGGCTGGCTTTACCTACGCAAAAAAAAAAACATGTCATACAACAGATTATAATTTTTATTATAAATCTTGTGTCTTTTATAGAAAACTAGCAACCCGCGCTCGCTTCGCTTCGGAAACTGTAATTTATTATTGATTTCTCCATTAATCTCTATCTGTTTTCTTCTATTTAATAGATGTTATTATACATATAAACCATCCTCTTCAATCACTCTATCTATTAAAAAAAACACATCAAAATCCATTGTGTAGTTTTAAAGATTTAAGCATACATAGGGACAGAGAAAGCGACTTTGTTTTATACTATGTAGTGTTGATTATGTTTTATAACTCTTTTCAACAATTAATCACCCAGATTGCCGATCAGAATACATTTCACATGCAATCAACATAAATATCATAGCAATATAGTGTATTAAATATGTCTGTTTCTGTTTTTATATTTTGAAAACTAAATATACCTGCTGCTGTAATTTTGAATCCTAAGTCAATAAAATAGAAACTTCAGGTAAATGTAAAACTCCATAGATGATATCTGCCTAAGTGTATTTATCAATAAAATATTTTTTAATGAAAACCAAATGATATCTAAAATTGAGTAAATTTGTTGACAACAGATAACATATTTGAAACATATACATGGAACATGACAATTATATAAATCAACTTATCACAGTTCATTTAACCAGAATTTCTACTTGTGATGTTGCATTGATTAGATGATAAGTAAACCATTATAAAGGTTTTTGTCCACTTTTTGATATTATCTAAAATACTATTTTAAAATAACAGAATTGTGTTTTAATAAACATAGTTTTTATCATTATAAACATAACGCATTCTTTAATATGTGGAAATTGAAATTTAGAAAAAAATTGTGGATTAAATTTGAAAAAAGCTTTTACTTAAAGACTACTAAGTCATTGCTAGTACTTTTTGGTTGTGTAGCGCCAGTCTATAAATGAACAACCAGGTCTTTTCTGATTAGTGAAACAAATGACCAGAGAATGGGCAGCAGCATTATCAATGTATTATATTCACTGATATTTACTGGTGGTTCGATGTGCTGTAAATCTGTATGGGCGGGTACCACTATTTTGCATATAGTATAGTAAAGAAGTCATGCATTTTGATTTAAAGGATGGGACAGCAGCTTTATAATACAATAGAGAATTCGACTTCATGTTTCAATGGATCACTCACAGTATGATAACTATTGATTAGGGGACTATGGTAAACACTTAAAACCATGCTGAGCAGCATAAATATCCACTCACCTAGATCTATTAAAAATACCAATTCTAAGCATTTTCTATTGACAACAAGACTGCTTTAAGACTACAACTAATTTGAGACTGTCTAAACACTATTAATCCAAATTGAGTAGTGCAGAAATCACATTTTAATATCTTAGATAGTCACTGGTTTGGTGTCCAGTTCTAAAAGCATACTTTGTTTCTCATCTCAATTTAAACATTAATTAATGATAGTTTAGATTTAGATAGATAGATTAATAATGATAGTTTTTGTGGAAAATAATATGAGATCACACATCATACAGCTAACATGTTGAGAAAAAAGTGCTGTAGCCCAGAAGCTGGTAAGGGCCCTGCATGTAAACTAAAAATAGTGCTGCTTCTCTGCAAGTCAAGGGCACATGATAGTGCATCTTAACAGAATAGGAGATTACATTAACATTAGATAAAAATAATTATAAATATAAATAAATATAAATGTAAATATTTACTAACAATCACGCCACGTTAACTGGTCCGTGCTAAGTTCGTAAAGAACTTGTGTTACAAGCACCACATAACGGAAATAAATATAATATTTTCATTATACACATATGTACATAATAATATATTTAATATACACCCATAACCCTGGAAAGACATTTATATTTATCATACAAATATCTTCCCTTGGTGGGATTCGAACCCGAACATGGTCACTACACCCCCTTCTGTAGTGACCGAACATGGTCACTACACCCCCTTCTGTAGTGACCATGTCACTTACCACTACATCAGACGGCCGATTAATTAGAACTGTAATTTATTTATTTACCTTAGCAGATATAATGCGGCCTCCATTTTCACCAAAGCTTACAGCCCAATCTTCATCACCACCACTGTGGTATGTAATCTCCAGATCCACATGGTTAACTAGGTAATAGGCACCAACCTTTGCAGGTATAGTAACTATCGAAGCACATGTGTCCTGGAAAATTTCAAAGGGTTTTAGTAGTAAGGAGCATTTTCCGGAAATCCACTTTTTAATAGGGAACAACATTTGATGAAAGATAGTGTTAAGACTGTGATTTTTTTGATTGCATAAATGGCCCACCTGGTATTAAGTGGTTATCAGAGTAAATGGCGCCACCTACCTCGAGATATGAGTTCTAAGGTCTGTTTTTACCGTACAATGGCTGCTCTACCCTTCAAACCAAACTGCATTTCTACTTCACAGCAGAAATAGATAGGGTGGTGTACCTACACATGCGGACTCACAAGACGTCCTACCACCAGCAATTATGCAAATTATAATTTTGTAGGTTTGATTTTTATTGCACAATCTTTTTCCTTCACCGCATAAGTCAATCATGAATGTTTCTTAAGTATGTATTTTATTAAAAAAATTGGTACTTGCCAGCGGGATTCAAACACCAGTGCATCGCTTGATACCAATGCACTGGATGTCTTATCCTTTAGGCCACAACTTGTTTATCACTTTTTAAATTATTTTCAGAAATAAATTATGGTTAATAAAAAGTTGTTTGTTTAAGATAGTTAATAGAAGTATTTATTGTGGTTTAGTAGTAAGTTTTTGAATTTTTCTTTGATGAAATTACTATGAAAAATGGGTACTTTTAGATTTATTTTAATATACTTACCATATTATCTTTACGAACTTGGCAACCCATTGGAAAACCAGTACTGCAGTACATTTTACCACCTTCATTGACTAGGTAACACCAGGTCACTGGCATATTATCCAAAATCCAGTGATGTTGGTAGCACAATGTCATACCCATCTTCAGCAAGTTAAGTTTTTTTGTAGAATCTGTATCGGAGCCTCTGTATGTCTTCTTGCATACTGCTTTACATTTTGTATCCTCAAGAAACTTTAGTTTATAAGGACTAGGACGGATTCTCTCACCAAAAACTACTTGACCGAGATTTTCAACAGGCGATTGGTCCTCATTTGTAGTACAGAAATCAAAGTGGTGGTATTCAAATGGAATAATAGATTCTTCTGTATTCAGCCTATTCACATATAAAGGAATCTCTGTCTGTAAATAAGTAATATATTATATTTCGAGGGTTATTGGATTTTGGTAAAGGACGAGGATAACGTTTCTAATAAAATTGTTACACAGATATTTCCGGTATGTATATAATATTTTATACGCATTATCGTGTTACTGTTCTGATTCTGTTATCGCTATTCTACATGAATTAAAAAAAATATTGGTTAAACTAAAGCTATTCCATGATTAAATTTAAATAAGATATTAAAACATACTTTTGGTCGTAAATGCCGATATACACATTTTATTTTGTCTTACAGTTTAAAGTGTTAATAGCTCATAATTAGATATCAATACTGACCTTGCATGATTTTCCAGGATCTTCGGTTGTTTTGCAATAGTTCACGGGGGCTAAACCAGGTAAATAAAAACCCTTAATAGGTGTTAAAAACAGAAATGAAAAAATCACAAACGCCTGGAGTGACATGATGTGTTGTTTTTATTGTGCCTCGTTTCTGAACCTTAGAAAAATCATAAATTCCACACTTGTAGGCATTTAACAAACATAATCGAATGAAATTTAGAAATGATTTCTTGAGAAAAATTAAACAGTTTTCTTCACTTAATTATTACGAAGCCCCCTATTTTTTATGGAAACGTCACCATTCAGATTTTTTTCTGATCCATTAACGGCCAGTGGTTTCAAGACCTTATAGCTTAATTCGGTTTTCGGTAATCAGTGCTGCTGTCATGAGAAGCTATTTATCTCCTTAAGTTAACTTGTTCTTTAGGGACTGGTTAATTACTTTGACAGATACTTTTTATATATATTCATACTTCACTACTTGTTTTCACTACCTTTTGCACTTTAGCGTCTTTAATCGTAAACTTAGTTTCATGCACTATTAAGATGTTTGTACTCACTAGTAACAAATCAATCAGTCTTTTTTTTATTTTTTTTAAGAAGGAAGGATTACTGGTTTCCTAGTTTCACCAGGACAGGTGGGCGAGCAAAGGCTCAGTCAGGAAGGGTGGGATTTGCTAACAGCTGCCCGAGTGCCTCCGAAAGAGTCCTAACAGCTTAAGGACAGCTGTTTCGCGAATGCATCTACTATCCGATCGTAATCGCAACCTGCTGACAAGATCCGGCGTAAAACTCACCGGGGTGATGCATGGATTATATTCCACGTCAAACTCTTTGCAGGGTTCGACGAGTGCGGTTTACCAGAGTTTCTAAGCCTACTCCTAGTGTTAGAGCTGAAGGCGTCTAATGCAAGGGTTATTGGATGTGATGGATCCGTAAGGACGTTTCTAGGGCATCAAAGGTGACTGGCTCCTGCGTGTGCAGGATTCAGGGAATAGTCAACGGTGGCAACGATAGGGCGATTATCATGACGAATCCATAAGTCGTGAACTTTCAAGGCAAATGTTTATGCTCTATTAACCTTTCATCACATAAAATTAGTTCAGCGCAATCGGACAACTCCTAATGAACATTGACGGAGACCACGCTACCGTGGACATTATTGTAGTTCCAAAGGATTCTGTATATGGGAGAGTAAGCACCTAAATTCGAACGAGTGGGCTTTCTTATAAACGGTTTATATTTCTTCGTTCTTGGTAAGTACTTAGGGGCTGATATTTTTATCTGGGTTAAGAGATTAGGTGTGTCGGTTATTCCATGGATTAATCAGATGAATACCCCCACTCTGAACAAATATTAAATACTTTATTATGTATTACTTAGACATTTTGCCCACCTTGAGATTTCATTGTTCTTGTTACATGTCTGTGCAAAATCGACTTACTATATTAAATTGCTTAGCTATTTCAACTAAAGACTTATTGACAATTTCATAGGCTTCTATTGCTGTTTTTAATATTAAGGGATCATATCTCTTATGAGGCTTTGCACTCTTTGATACGTACACGCGAGGCATATCTAAAAATAGAAAACAATACGTAACTGATAATATAAATATTTACCAAACAATAAAATAACACATTGATAATTTTGAATAAAAGTTCTAGACAAAAACATCATGAATAAACCAGATTTTTACCAACAAATTTAAAAAATATTAACTACTTAAACAACCCTACACACCTGTACCTATTTATACTTAGGTCCTTTCCATTTCACGTATTCTCATCCCAATTGACCCCTGTTTCGTTGTTATTTGTACCTAGGACGTCCCCAATATCCCCAAAAACAACAGATTTTTACATGTATCTTTATTTTATCAAATACATTAAAACCAATAACAACTGAGACTTACCTTTAATATATATGATGGTTCAAACACTAAATAACGTTTATAAATCACAGTCGTCTTCTATTATTATCAAATAAATAAAAGAGAGCAAAGTTTCTAGCACTAAAATAATGACTACCACAGGAAGTTAATTTGAAACGCGATTTTTTATAAGTTANCAATAACAACTGAGACTTACCTTTAATATATATGATGGTTCAAACACTAAATAACGTTTATAAATCACAGTCGTCTTCTATTATTATCAAATAAATAAAAGAGAGCAAAGTTTCTAGCACTAAAATAATGACTACCACAGGAAGTTAATTTGAAACGCGATTTTTTATAAGTTAGCAGCTATTATCATGCATATTCAGAGTTGTTTTGTAAACTTTCAACATTCGACTATTAAACTACAAAAAATGGAAGATTTTGCAACGAATATAAAACTAATATTGAGCGTCGAAAGATTTTCCCGGTTTTTTCCCGATTCGCCTCTCAATCTCTAATCGCCCCATTTTATGGTACAGTTACACCGGTCACTCGCATGCGCACGAATACGCAAACCCGCAAGTGTAGGACGACATTTGCAAATGATTATGCAAAGTTTTCGCTGCAATCGTAGTTTTCCAAGCTGTGTCGGTTTTTTAACAGACATCAAAGCGCGTGAACCTCGAACCTTCGCGTAGTCTCCCACACATTCGCTTGCCCAGTTGCGCCGACGATTGCGAAGGTAATGGACGTATCGCCATTTTCATAGTTCGTGACGTCTACTGTGTAGCGTATCTTCGTCAAAATAAATCCCATAAAAACAGCATGGCTGTTAATGATGTCTGGGAAAGAATTCAAAACTCTTTTTCTCTTCAATTTTCTATTGACGAATTAAAAAGGAGGAGAAAGTCGTGAGACATTCGTAAACAAGTGTAGGAGGAAGCGCAAACGGGTTCGCATACTCAATTTGCACAGCCGCTAGGTTTACGAATGAATGTTTGACGGCCCTTCACATGCGCGCAAACATTCGTACAATGTACGAATATTTGCGCGCATGTCAGTGGCCGGCATTTTACAGGAGTATGCGAACTGTATGTATTATTTTTCTTACGGCCATTGATTACTCGATCATTTAGCCAAATTCAGGTTATTCATTAACTTAACATGAAATTTATTTGAGAATTGAATGAAGTTTCTTGAAGAACATTAGAAGCATTTCTAATTGCGTTAATTAGTGAACGTCCTCACGGCCCACCTGGTATAAAGTGGCTACCTGTGCTTACACATCACAATGTGAATGGCCGCCACTCAACTTGAGACACGAAATCGAAGTTACAATTGTATTTTGTAACAGCTCTTCCACCCAAACTGTAGTAGCTTTAATTGAGATTTCGAAAAGTGTCAGTTGGTGAAATATCATTATTAATGGGTGGATGTTTTTGTTGCCACAGTTGCTCATAGACATATAGTAGTGTCAGGGGCATAGCCAATCCACTCTCTACTGATTTTATAGTGGGCGCTTTTATTAGAATTATTAAAATTAACGCAATAAGTATAGAAAACTTCTGCCTTATTTCAATGGTTTCATATTATTTTCGTTTGAAGACTTAAATCATTAAGCATATTACATTCTATGTTTAAAATAGAGAGGAGCCTAGCCGTTTTCGTAATCAAATTTCAATAAAACATTGTTTAATAAACTTAAAACAACATAAATAAATTGTGTAAAGTTTTATTCGGTTTAAGTTATCAAATGGCAATAATATATCCGAGCATTCTAGCAACAAAACATGAGTACAACAAATTGACTATTTCAACGGCAATTCTCGTTTCCGCAGCAAATTTTTTTCAGCGTTCACCAGGCTGCCCGTGTCTTCATTGAGAGGCAGTCCGCGCGCAAAGGCTGAAATGAGGCCGAGTGCAGCCGCTGGTTTGTCTGCCGGTACCATGTGACCGGCCCCCCGAACCATTACTTCGGTGAGATTCGCAGCTACTCGGTAATAACTAATTGAAAAAAAAGATCGATTAATAAATTGCGTAAAACAAAACGTGCAAAGCAAACCTTAACTAGTAGGTGAGCTCGCGGGGCTCAAACCTGACGACGTTGCTAGCAGAATCTACCACCGGATCGGAAACGCGACCCACTGAGAAGATCCGGCGAGAAACTCAGTGGGCTGTGTCTAAGGGTTAATTTACTAGTCGAGCCCTTCGTCGCAAGCAACGGGTTCGACGACCACGGTGACCGGTGCTTGAAGTACCTAAACGCACCGTTAGTGGATCGGGAGGATCCGAGATGACGCGTTTGGGCGACGTCGACTGCTTTCCATTCTTTCCGCAGGATCGGGAATGCTTACTTCCTTAAAAACCTATACGCGCATGTAATTGTGTAAATTAAATTATTTGCAGTGGAAAAAAAATAGGTAAATTATATTTTTCGTTCGCAATTGATTTTACAAATTAAAACAGTATTCAGTGCTCAATTATTTATAATATTAGGAGCTGCGAAAAACGGTATAGTAGCATGACTAGGAATTAACTATGCCGGGCATTTTAAAATTATGTTCCCTTCTCCAACTTGACCAACAGTCTTTAACTGCTTTGTTATAATAGTTTTACTGTTTTAATATCTTTCGACTTTTACTCCTAAACTCACCCAGCTAAATCACCGTCATGATACCAGGGTAACCGCTTTCCTTTTAAGAATTCCGTCGAACCAGAAAATGCCAGGTTATTGTAGGTGTTCACTGACGGGTGATAGGCCACAATGATGTCCAGATGTCCACTGTAATAAACAATTTTTCTTGTTAAACAAACAGCTGAGATCTTACTATAAGTAAGTAAGTAAGTATTTATAGTCTAATCGAAAAACTATTCAAGTAAGCCTAATTGTCTAATTTCGTATCGTTCGTATTCGCAATTTAATTTCTTTTTTTAAGACTGGTGGTGGTGAAGGCTTACTGTGCCCGCATGACTTTCTAGTTTCACCCGGACACGTGGGCGAACGCGGGCTTAGCGCTCAGGTCTTTATATACCGTAGAGATTTTCTAAACAGCAATTTAAATCGCGATCATTTAGTCTTTTAAAACGAAAACAATAGCTAACTTAGAAACCCCATACTTACTTGTAAAGCATGACTTTATAATTCTCAAGTAGTTCCTCTAGCCACATTTTAGCAGTTCCCATGAAATCTGGCACCAGTTTCCTGTACACAACTCCTATAGAAGTGAAATTAGTGTTGCCAACGTGTAAAGAGCGCCTCACTTCGTCCCTTTGTATGAAATCCATGTACGCTCCGTCTAAACTGATCTCTTCTTGTAGATAGTTATAGAGATTAGACAAGCGCGAGTGTGATAGAAACAGTGTCAGAAGATAGTTGTAGTACTGAAAAAAGACAATCATCGATATACTTCAAACAGGGTTACTATATACATAGTCGTAATTTGTATTACTTTTACGGTTTAAGCTTCCATACTTTTAACCCATGATTTTCGACGCTCCGAAAACTTTACAGGTTTCGTGGTTACGAATGATTGCAATGATATTCGTCGAGTTTTGAATATGATGCAAACTAATGTCGAATTAAAAATATTCATAGTTCGAAATTTCGTTTTAATTTTTTCCTACATATGTCAAAATGTTAGGAGCTAACGAACTCTGGATCACGAGAAAAAATACGGTGTAGGTATTTATTAAGACAACTGATCAAACTTAATAGTCGATTTCATTGGGACTCATGTGATATTTATGTGGAATACTCACAGCATAAGCTTTCAGCATCTCTCCGTTGTTGATAAACTGTGTTACAGCAGTTTCAAGGTGGTTCATAGAATCAGCGACTCTATCGTCCACGAGACCGACTTCGCGCACAAAGTGGCTGTATCTTTGAAGCGTTAGCGGATCTATGAAACCGTTGCCTATAGCTAGACCCTGTAAAAACGTGGTTAGCATATATAGTTTATGGGTTTATATACGACAAAGGGAAGATCTTCCACCGAGCGGGTGATATTTGCTCGGTAGACCGACAACCCGAATATTGTTGTTCGGAACCTGTATATATGCAAGCTTATATTGAAAATTCCGTAAGTGAGGTTCAGGCATCTGCCAATTATCTTGTATTCTATGACGGCTACCCGCCACAAGTTAATGAATTCTATTACCAGTAATATTCTCGTTTGCTTCGCATAACTTTCTTATACAGGAGGCGGGAAGTGATTTGGTTTAGTCCATAACAAAATACATAAATGGCTTTTGGCGGACATTTTGCCGCCGCCTTTGCCGATTTTACTGGAGCTATTACAAAAATTCCTCTGACATTTTCCGATTCCATTGGCTATAAAATAGTCAAATTTAGATAAGAATTATTTACAAAGAAATCTCTAACTTACATTCAAATTAATAGGATCGTCTTCCTCTTTGTGCCATAATATCTGTACCCCCAAGGAAGGTATGTGTTTTCCCGCGTAAGATTCGCCGGCAATTGTAAGTGGCGCTTTCCTGAGTTCCGGGAATAATGTCAAGAATTGCTGCAGAGCAGTGTATAGGTTCTCACCGATCTGTAAAATTATTGTTATCTGTCAGAAAAATGTTCAGAAAGCAGAACCTAGCTTAAAGTGGTTATTGGAGCTTATAGAGATCAAATCGTGATTGCAGCCACGTAACTTCAAGTTTAAATCTCATAGTATATAAAACTTGTTCAATTGCACAAACCTGGCACGTAATATTTTGTTTATGGGAGAAATAGAAAGGTGGTGGTGGCTACCGGGACAGATTTTATTTTTTAAAACAACCCACTTGTTGTCATTGATCAATATTATCAATCAGGTGGGTCACTCGAGCGAACTAGTACAATAAAAGAGTAATATAAAAATAAATGGCCTTGGTCCTTACAGTTGTCTGATTAGTAGCATATCCTCTATCATCGTCCGTGAAACTAAACCCGGTTCCAACAGGGCTATCGATGAACAGAAGCGAATGGTTCTTGCCCCATGAATACTTCATCTCTATAAAATAATTATGGTTATTGAAGTATCCTCGCACAATTGTGTTAAAATACACCAGAAACTACTGTAGAGGCAGCGAAATTTTCATTTAAATCTAATGTTCAAATAAGTGGATTTTTATTCTGAATTTAGGTGGTCAAATGGTTGCTCCTGAAGCCAACAAACGAAGCGCATATCATCAGTCAATATGTAATTACAGAAACGCACCCGTAAAATTGGAATGGAATTTCAAAAAATAAGAGGTGTAAAAAGGTGTTTTTTAAAATGGTGTAAAAAGGCCACCAATAAAAAAGGTGTTTTTTAAAATAAAAATCTTTTTATCCTCTAAGCTCTAAGGAAAGTAAAGCGACAGGGAAGCAATAAGGTAGCGTTAGCTTTGAAAAAAAAAAGCTGAAATACAAAATAAATCTGGGAATAGGGACTTTCTAAGTTCTGACCTTCTAAGTGATTATCCTCAGTAACAAAAAACGGTCCGAGCTCTGTAAAAAGTCCATAAAGCGATGAAGCACCGGGACCTCCTTGCAACCATATTATCCAAGGAGTTTCTTCAATGGGCTTTCCTGATACAGGGAAGTACCAGAACCAAAGGTTTGCATTGTACTCTTTGTTGACCTTAAAAATAATAAAGATAATAATATACAATATTTTCGAATTCGATGTTTTGACGGCCTTAACAGATTGGCCTTTGTAGATTTAATTAGCTTGAACAACTACGGTAGTTACCGGTATCAAACGTAATGAAAAATCATCGTTAGCACTAGTAAAAAACACATATCTGCATCTAATAAACTTTAATGTTGTTCACTGCTACTGTTAATGCTTTAATGCTTTACTACAAGTGCAGATTGACGACAACTTGTACGACGACTACTGTGTGTGACGACTAGTGTGTTATGTTACGTTATATTGTTCATGTAATCTAAAATAACAATAAGTATTAAAATATTTTTGTAAAATAATCTGATGCTACCGTCAGATATCCTGCGTAGCTCTCCATGTCTGGTAATAAATAATCGGCGTCAACGGCTGCCGCTTCCCTGCCTTCCTTAAGTTTCTTCTGTTCGATAAACGGAGTCAGGAGTAAGGGATCGCCGGCATCGAATGTGGCTCGTGCTCTACCAACTTTGTAAGTTCTTTCCATGAAGGATACGATCGGTTCTGGGGCCTCGCCCGGAGGAAGTTCGGGGAGAACGGAGTCCTCGCCCGTTAACGCTTGTTGAGCGCATCTAATGAACAACGCACAAAGGAATGGTTTTAGAAAACACAACTCACATTCTCTTCACTTGGCGCAGAAAATCAATATTTGAAATTCATCGATAGTATAGAGTGGAGAAGAATAGATTTTTTCGTCTACCTACACCGAAAGTTCGGTTTTCCTCCTTCTGTATAGGGAAGAAGGTCTAACTTTTCCTCCCTGGGTACTGACAAGTGCGCATGCGCGTTAGTGTCTACGTCTGCTCTCACGCACCTAAAATTCGCCGCCATTGTTGTGTTCGGGTAATTCGCAATATTGTGTTTAGTGTAAAAGTGAAATAAACAAAAGGAAATAAAATTTAATAATGAACTGTTAAACAAAGATGAGTTCATCAGACAGTTCTTATTCAATTAGTAGTAGTTTATTTAAAAATTAAAAAACAGTTAAATTGTTTTTTTATGAGTGGAGGCGCTGCGCCCCCCCAACCCCCTGCCAGGGCTTCGCACCTGGACCCCGGCTCGGTATTCCACGGGTGCTAAGTTTTTTACAATGTCGAACTTTCGGCCTGGTAGGAGAAAAAATAGTATGTGCAGCGCGGGAAAAAAGTAGGACATCTCATCCCGCGTGTTTGCCTGTCGCGCATTTTACACGCGGGAGGAAATGTCCTACTTTTCTCCCTTGGTATGTAATAAACTATTGTCATAGATAGGTAGTTTTGTTCACAGTATTAAAGCCCATAGACGCCGCGAGAACTTCGCTGCTCACGATTAATCTCGAAGTTAAAGCCTCGGTTGCATTGGCATTTCGTAATTCTACTCATCAGTGGCATCGACCCGTGCACTACAAGACAATGGTTAAGGACGCTTCACAAACACTGCTTGCTACTAATAACGAATGTCTTAAAATGTTAATCGTGTTTCAACTTAATAATAAGTATCCATATTAACTTCATCTTACGTATTGAATATACACATTTAACCGACCATTCATTACAATTATATTGAATTTTCTGATTTCATTTCTCAAATACAGAATTGAATTTTGTATTTGGAGATGTGAACTCCGCATTTTACATAAATTGTCGCAACAACTAATCTAGTAATCATGAAAACAAAAGCATTAAAAAAAAATCTCTTCTTATTATTATAATTTTAAAAGCACAGAAAAAATATTTCTGGATCGCAAGGAATGCTGTGTCCGATATGTGGTTCTCACCAAAGCAGTCGTGGGAAAAAATCATAATTAATTAACTGAACTGGCTCGCGGAGAATCCTGTTTGTATCTACCTGCTATATCATGATTTATTGAAATACGTGCTATCAGTTATGTAAGGTTGTATAATTTTTGTTGATAGCTGCAAGGTGTAGTAAGAATGCACAGTTAGGTCACACGATGCTGTCGTTGCTGCCGCTAAGCAGCTATACGCCGGTTTTTTTTATAATTGAAGTATTACTGGTGGCACGGAGGCCTTTCCAGTTTCACCAGGACAGGTGGACGAGCAAGACTCAGCCTGGAGGGGTGGGATTTGCTAACAACTGCCCGAGCGCCTCCGAACAAGGCCTAACAACTCAAGACCAGCTGCTTCGCGAATGAATCTACTACCGGATCGGATTCGCGACCCACTGAGAAGATCCGGCGAGAAACTCAGCGGGCTGACGCACGGGTTAGTTTGCACAGTTACCGGGGTCCCTAAGCCTGCTCCTGGTTTTAGAGCTGAAGGCGTCTAATGCAAGAGCTATCGGATCTGATGGATCCGTAAGGACGTGAATACGCCAGCTTGCAAGACGGGACAGCCGATGTTCCATAACAACAGACTTCGGTCTCATAACTCGAAGTCGGTGACACCATTCACGAGTCTATGGGATCTTGTAGCCATTTAAAATAAGGCGGGCCGTCAGGTTCCATCCAAATAAACCAATAAAACAGCTAGGACCACAATCCGATGATGACTTTGATGATGATCCCAGAAGTAATGCCGTAAAAGATTAACTGTATTCAAAAATTTACCAATTCGAGTATTCATTTAAAATTAACATTACTCGTTTGAGGATCACTACAGATACTATGTCGTGAGGTATGTGTTGGATGTTTCAGTCGGCTTTTTTTTTTTTAAACTAATTGTATTGTCAATAAAATTCGTTTTTAAATGTATACATTTTTTAAGTTATATAAAATTATTTTTTAATTTTTTTGTTAAATTAGCTACGAAAGCGTGTTCTGTTGTTTTTCAAACAATTTTTTTTTTTTATATTTAACACTGATAATTCCATAGTAAGAGGAAATAGTTATCATATCCTAGGAAAGTAGCGGAGGCATACACGCCTAGGGGTACAGGACACCGATGTGTTTTTTTGTTGTTAATTCTGAATATCCTGATCAGTGTGCTTAGTGCGATTTTTTTAACTTTCTCGATAGCGTTAAAGTTAGCTCATATTTGTATGGAATGGGATCTTTGCCTACGTTTACCGTTAGGGGCACTGTTCCAACTGTTTTACTGGTGGTAGGACCTCTTGTGAGTCCGCACGGGTAGGTACCACCATCCCGCCTATTTCTGCCGTGAAACAGTAGTGCGTTTCGGTTTGAAGGGTGGGGTAGCCGTTGTAACTATACTGAGACATTAGAACTTATATCTCAAGGTGGGTGGCGCATTTACGTTGTAGATGTCTATGGGCTCCAGTAACCACTTAACACCAGGTGGGCTGTGAGCTCGTCTACCCATCTAAGCAATAAAAAAATAAAAAATGCAAAATTGGGTTAGCTTTTACACTATCGAGAACGTCAAAAAACTGGCACTAAGCACACAGGATAATTGGACAATTTTATTAATTTATATTGTCATCGGTCCTTGAAAAGTGTGCCTAGTTTCAAATTAACCCGACCTTTCGAAAACCACGTTCAAAGATTCCGTTATTCTGTGCAAGGTAATTTATTAAGCAAAGAAGATTAATATGAAAATTACTCAGAAGTAGGATGTTCTCACGATCGAACTAGTTGCGCTATTGCTTCACGCAATACATTCACTTCACTTTAAGTTCTTCAATTATTATGTAGTTAAAATGATTTGAATTAGTTTTGCAGCAATTTTGAGATTTTAATGAATATTTGATGCAAAGATATAAATAAACACCTTACACCTAATAAATCACAATTAATAAATTCTCAAATTTTGCGCAGGTACTAAAAATGGCCAATCCTTGAAAATAATAAACCTTTGAAATAGTTTGAATAGAATGTGGCATGTAAGATTCTATGTAAACAATAAGTTCGTTCATTGAAATTTTCTTGGGTTCTAGCGAGACAAAGTCTGAATTTTTTAAGTTCATGCATTACACACATACTGTGTTTAAAAACTAAAATATTAGTCACAAGGTAGAAATTAGAACTAATTTCTTTTTTTATTGCTGATACGGACTGTTATACCCATGGCATGCGTGAGCCTTCTATGTGATCAACTTATGGAGGTTTCAAATCGTCATTAATGTATGAGTTTTTTTATTAACTATTTAGTTTAGTTAGTTATTAAAGCATTCTGAATAAATAGTAAAGTAATTGAACTTATTAAATTTGATAAAATTAACTCAAAATCCGCATTAGTATTTTTAATTGTCATGAAATGTCCGTGGTTGCTTTTGAAAGCAGAACAATTAACGAGTATGCATCTAAAACGTTCGTTTGGTGAAAAAAATAACTTTTCACTTGGTCATAAATGCGAAACAAAATTCGAAAACGAAAAAAAAAAAACAATTTTGAGTTTTTACTTACATTAAAAGCAGGAAGGTAATGAGGAGGTTCATATCACAGATCAGTATGGAATGGTCCAGCCAGCGTGCTCCACTGATGCGGAATGGATCCGGTGTCCTAGCGACGGGAACTTTGTATAGTCACCCGGCTTCGATGTGCACTTGCGCCTTGAACTTGGATTTATCTCAATCTAAACTACGGGGTGTCCCTTTTTATCTTGTTTACAAATTTTATTTCCTTATTTTTACTTTCAGTTTCTGCAACTTACCTAACTTTATATAATACAATTCAGACCCAAAAAAATGACTTTATTTTTTAATAATTTAGTTTTAAACTTTCGAAATTTTCATTGCTTTAGAACTCTTTATAAGCTAGTACATATTTGTTAGTGGTTTTTTTTGTTCGCTTTTTCGTGGGTTTTCTCTAGTGGTTAAAATTAATAAAAATAAACTTGTGGTATTGTACTGCTTTTGTTTTTTTCCCATTAACACAGTCTAAAGTATCGAATGCTTCACAGTTTTAAACAAATCCATGTAAAAAATTTAACATTTTATTTTTTAATTTATAGCAGTAATCATATTGTTTTTCTAATGTCCCCTTTAACGGCGGTCACAGACAAGACACAAATATGCACGTTATTTTGTGACAAATCACAATATTATCTGCAGGACTGGGACATGCTGTATAAAAGCGGCGAACAGGTATAGGATACCAATGACCTGTTTAGCATAATGACGCTCCCACGCTCCGGCATTCGCGATAGATTCTTGCACGCTCTCATATGTGATTTGCTCTATATTTAGGATGCTCGTAGTAAAACAAACATTGATACGATACATTTCGTTGCGTGATCGCAATTTTTAATTGCCTACTAAGTTCATCTTGATACCTTCGGACTGATAACTGAAATTCCCACGATCATAAAACCGCTCTCGGATCGAATGAGGATTTTTTTGTTGTTGTTGTATGGGTATAAACGATTTTAAGTACGATACGAGTTTCGCTGAGATTAATGATACAGAATATTAGTGGCGCCGATCGTTTTTTTTTAATATTTTTTTTCTTATGAGTGATGGGCGAACGAGCTGTGATCTCACTTAGAGTAAAGCGTTTACTTGTGACTGTAAACATTAAAATGTAATTCTGAGCGCCCAATTTCAGTGATAAATTAGAAGCTAAAATTTCAATTTTATTTATTAACTAGCTTTTGCCCGCGACTTCGTCCGCGTGGAATAGTTACTTTGGCATAACGCTAAATTTTACCAGCCTCCGTAAATGATTTCGCAGAAAGTGAAAATATTTTTGAATAATAGAATGTTAAAGAGTTATTTAAGGTACCAAAATCACGTGTTTTAACCAACTTCAAAAGAGACTCTCATACATTAGACATATACAGATACAGAAAATACTCTCATACATTACTTTAACGAAACTTTAATCGTTTCCGCAGCGCACGCAGTGGAAGCTCTCAAAAGGGATTAAAACCCCGATTTTGAAACATTCTTTATTGGTGCTCCGCTTGCATTGGCCTTAGCGTGATGTTATATAGCCTATAGCCTTCCTCGATAAATGGGCTATCTAACACTGAAAGAATTTTTTAAATCGGACCAGTAGTTTCGGAGGTTTGCGCGTTTAAACAGACAAACTCTTCAGCTTTATAATATTAGTATAGATTGCAATGATAGGTAAGCAAACACATAGCTTACTTTGTATTCAGTGGTTAACGGAACCCGTAGATATCACAACTTGAAAGCCGTGATTCACCTTGAGACGTCAGCTCGAAGCCCCAATTTTACTGTATAATGGCTGTCCCGTCCCATCTTTCAGAAAAGAAAGCTTGACTGCTTTGTGACAGAAATAAGCTGAATAGATAAAACCCATCCATTCTGATCCTCCTTATCTTTTTTTCTTATTCCTTTAAATTTATAAAACTGGAAAGTGGTAAATATTGGTGAGGCTCCATCAAGAGGACTGGAACTAATTCTTATAAACATGACATTACCTTAAGCCTATCATTAAGTAGTTAGAAGCCAACAAACTGTCGATTATTGGGCGATTCGTAGCAGCTTCCTTATGTCCCTGGCATAGCTGATGTCGGCCAATATAAAACCGGTAAGTCTTGCGTCCTGAGGGTTCCGGTTGCAAGTTGTACATAAAGCCGTGCCGTAAACTTCCAGAACTAATGTTATTCGTGTATTTTGCGTATAAATAAATTATAAATAACTCTGAACAAATCACGCACGGTTATTCGACCCCAAATCAGGATTAAATTATTATGGGTTTTTTATTTTTATTGTTTAGATGCTATCAGCTATTTTTTATTTTTAGGTAGGTAGACGAGCTCACAGCCCACCTAGTGTTAAGTGGTTACTGGAGCTCATAGACATCTACAACATAAATGCGCCACCCACCTTGAGATATAAGGTCTAAGGTCTCAGTATAGTTACAACGGCTATCCCACCCTTCAAACCGAAACGCATTACAGCTTTACGGCAAAAATAGGCAGGGTGGTGGTACCTACCCGCGCGAACAAGAGGTCCTATCACCAGTAATTACGCAAATTATAATTTTGCAGGTTTGATTTTTATTACACGATGTTATTCATTCACCGTGGAAGTCAATCCTCAACATTTGTTGAGTACGTATTTCATTAGAAAAATTGGTACCCGCCTGGGATTCGAATACCGGTGCATCGCTCAACACGAATGCACTGGACGTCTTTATCCTTTAGGCCACGACGACTTAAAACCAGCCACTGACATACATACATTTAAATAATTGCCCAGAAACATAGAGAACAAATAGCCCTATTCCTCACACGAACGTTTGCACGATGTGGGGATCGAACCCACGACCCTCGGCGCAAAAGTTAGGAGATCTAACTACTGAACCGCCACCATATGTCACACCGAAGCTTGAGATTTTTGTGAGTCACTTTCGCCGCAGACCCTATTATTTTGATACTAATGATACTCATATGTCTACCCATTTCCGAGAAAAGGTCTCAATCTCGGAGAAATTGATAAACTCACGGAAAAATGATCATACGAAGGCTTGGTTTCATTTCTATTGGAACCCTAAAAACTTGTAAAAAACGCTTTAAAATACCAATGGTTTCATGATGAAGTTCATTGACCTTTAAACTATCTTATAAGAGGACTAGTCTGTAAATTATATCTAAATCTATAATTTTATTACTTACTGCCTAAGAATGTCTGTGCTAACCGGTTGCATTAATTTGTTATTCGGCCTCAATGAAGATTCTCCGCGACTACAGTAAAATGTCCTGAACGTGGATATCAGCATTTTCAACTTTTAAGCAAACTACTAATTTAATTTTTAACGAAGCAAAGTTAGCTATTTAGTTATAAAGTTAAATTGATCGTTAAAAATTACGGACCTCTTGTGAGTCCGCGCGGGTACCACCACCCTGTCTATTTCAGCCGTGAAGCAGTAATGCGTTTCGGTTTGAAGGGCGGGCGGGGCAGCCGTTGTATTGTTCCAAGTGAGACCTATACAATAATAGACAATAAGGTGTTGGTTTTTGTCTGATTTTATTTCAAAGTATTTTATTATTAAAATCCATTTAAACCAAATATAGTATTTATATATGAATACTAGTACGTGAAGCAAAAACATTGTATCCTTTTTACGAAAATTGCGCGAAGAGAGGAGTATGAAATTTCCCACACTTATAAAGAATATCGAGAAAGAGTGCTGAATGTTAATATTGTTTTAAATTAAGCATAAATAATACATTAAATCAATAAAAAAAACATTACATACACTACCACGTATTTGACGCACGCACGCATGCATGTTGTCAAACTTTTGTTATTACCTAGTCTGTGATCAACTTGAGAATAGATTAATATTGTTTGTGTTTATTAATATTTGTCGCAACAGAACCCTAATAATATACAAACTTATAATTTCAATTAATTTTATAGTCGAATTTCGACTACCGGGCGACCACTAGTTTGCTACAATAACATATATTTTTTAAGAAATTTATTTTTTAAATATACAGATCCATAATATTATACATATTATATGTTCATAATACTTGATTTGTACAACTTTTTAATAGAACAACTTATCTATCGGGCTCCTTCATAAGCGTCATATGTAGTAACGGATCCTGCGAGAGCTGCAATGTGATGCCTTCAGCTCTAATACTAGGGGCAGGCTTAGGGACCCCGGTAACCGTACTCGTCGAACTCGACAAAGAGGTCGACGTGCAACCTAACCCATGCACCAGCCCGCTGAGTTTCTCGCCGGATCTTCTCAGCGGGTCGCGATTCCGATGCGGTAGTAGATTCATTCGCGAAACAATTGCTCTTGAGTTGTTAGGTCTCCTTCGGAGGCGCTCGGGCAGTTGTTAGCAAATCCCACCCCTCTTGGCTGAGCCTTTGCTCGCCCACCTGTCCTGGTGAAACTGGAAAGGCCTTCGGGCCACCAGTAAACTTTCAATCATATAAACCTTAGTCCACGAGGTCATCCGCGCAGCCGAAATTACCTATCTTCAGTTGGCGCGGGATAATTTAGGAGAAAGTTATCAAAAAAGGCCCTCAGCATTGAATTATCAAGGCTTTCTTATGAATGTTGCTTGAGAATCTTGATCAATCAATGCATCCAGTGGTATGGTGTGTCCACATTCGTCGATCGTCAATGACGTAATCGTTATAATGACTTGAACTTCTTAATTGCTTACTTAATACAAAAGTGATTACTCACGACAATTGAAAATCCATTGAAGTCAGTTGGTTAGGTAATTTTTTTTTATTGCCCTTGTTAGGCAGACGAGTATACGGCCCACCTGATAGTGAGTGGCTACCGTCGCCCATGGACTTCAGCAACGCCAGGGGCAGAGCCAAGCCGCTGCCTACCGCAAAAGCGCTGCCTACCGTCTATCATTAAAATTTACCTGGCAAGCGTAAGATAGCAATATACGACAGTGCTTGGCTTCGATAGGCGGTTAAAAGGAGGAGAGGAGAGTATAAACTCGGAAAATTCTGGACGTCTACATTCTTAATCTTTGATTTACTGACGCTCGAGGATTAATAGACAAACCTTTAATTCCGTGAATGAAAAACGTTGGGCTAATCATTATATCATCATTAAATAACATATCAATTATAATTATATAAATTAATAAGAAGTCAAGAATAAACATTTTTACGAGAATATCAAAAATTTATTAATAGTTACAAAGTCAATATTATTATTAAATAAAACATAGACTATTTTTCTGGTTTTATACAACTTTTTTGAAAAATCAACACACACATAATAACAAAAAATAACCTGAAAATACGCAGGTAAGTATTTTCGTGACCATTTTTTTAACAACCAAGTTTTCTAATAATATTAATTGCACAGTACAGGAACTACAAACAATCTCCATATAATTTAATTCTATAAATAGAATAAATCAAAAAATTAAGTCCCAATTGAAGCTGTTGTGCAGGTTTTTTTTTTTATTCTATTTTTTTCTCATTTACTCGTTTTAAATGACGTGTATCTTCGTCGTGTAAAAGTCGGGTAAAGAAACTTTTAAAAAGTTTGTAGGAACGTGTACTTGAACCTGTGATTAAAAACGTATGTAAGTATGTTAAAATAGAAAAGCTACCGTAACGTTTGGGTCTTTTGCGGTATAATTCAATTCATTGAACATATATTTTATATTAATACTTTAATTGTTTAACTGAATTTCCTGAATTATAGATTCGTGCCATTATTTAGACTCTTAAACGATCCTTGCTGGTAGTAGAAAAGAAACAGAAGTGAGGCTTTATTTAGTTTTCCATCCTTGTCGTCCTTGTCATCTTGTCGTCTCAATATCATCACATTAGAGCCAATTTAGAATGAGTAATATTTAAAAGCGGTACTGCTGTAAGGCATTAATGCTTTACGATTTAAAAAGAAGATCGTTATATTTAATTATTTCACACTTCAGACCTCATGTTTCACAGTGGGTTCCAGCTTCTTCCATTTTACATAGGGGTTTCATTGGATTCTGCCGATTTTGTAATACCGGATTGACCGTGTGCTCATGTAGCTACCTAAACTAATAATAGTAATAAATATAGAATTCAATGTTAAAAAAAAACACGCTTCAACAGCAAAGTAAACTTAGCTTTGTAATTTTTTTATTTCGCCTTCTTGGTCAATATATCATCAGGTTTAAGTTATGAAATTAATGTATTGTCCTCGTTTATTGATATCTATTGTCTTGATATATTGTGAAATTACGTTGAAACATTCCATGGCATTAAATAAATAGATACGGTACAGGTAAGCCAATGATGCTGTTTTAAAAAAAAAAAACAATACAAAAAGCAATTAACTACACGTTTTTGAAAAATTATTCCGAGTAAGCTACTTTGGTGAAGACACATTACATGTAATAATTAATTTACTGACACTTTTAACGCTGTTAATGCATCACAATTTTGATAAAAAGGTAATTCCCAAGATCAACAACTATGTCATATTAAACGATTGAGATATTGATGTTTCGTCAACGTTGTTATAAAAATAAGCCGCTATTTCTCTTCTACGGCGCAAAAAGTACACCGATGCAACAACTATACTGATGACTAGAATAAAATTAATAATAATACTAATTATTAAACCAACGAGTTGTGGTCCCAATGCAGATTCTGCTGATGGTGACGTAGAACTAAAATACGATTTATCTAAATCAGGAACATATTCTGAAGCTGAGTCGAAATCGGATGATGGCAGTAATTCTCGGCTTGACACAAACCAGCTGATTAATTCGTATAGTTCCTCTGGTTTGTCTATGGGTACAAGATGACCCGCTCCTTTCACCAAAACTTCTGTAAAACCACCCCCGCTTTTGGTGTACCTGTAAATTAAACATCCATGAGTATTGTTTTTCAAATTAAAAGGAAATATTAAATCTTAAATTGGAATTTGGAGCATTTTTTTTAAATATTTGAATGGAATAAAACTTTAAAATCAATACGCAAAACTCTAATGAAATAAGTTAATAAAGTTAGTATGTATCCTTACCCGGCTACTACATTCTTGTGCAACCAGGGTCTTCTGGGTGCTCTAAGAAAAAGTTCTTTTTTATTCCACTGCCAATAGCGTCTGCGATATTGAGCGCTTTGTACACATGGCGCAGTCAAGTCAAGTTGTCCACTAGAATAATGACCAAAAATTAGTTCGGCCTAGATAACTCACTTTATTTACTAATAAATTATTACATTTTGAGAGGTTTGTGATAGTTTTATTATTCTCGACGAATGGGTTCGTTGGTATGCTTTGACGCTACTTACAAAGCGCTAAAATAACTTCGTTCTTCAAACTAGGTTTATACACTGCGTGGAAGACTGCACTTGTAGTCTTATACGTAAAAAATGAATTATTTATGCTGTAGAGTGCGCTTCGTCGCCCTAAACACGTCATTACGGATCCTCCCGATCCATTAACGGTGCTTTTAGGTACCTCAAGCACCGGTCACCGTCCTCGCCGAACCCGCTTGCGACGAAGGCTCGACGAGTAAATTAACCCATAGATACAGCCCACTGAGTTTCTCGCCGGATCTTTTCAGTGGGTTGTTTTTCCGATCAGGTGGTAGATTCTGCAAAGCACTGCTCTTGCTAGAGCCAGTGTTAGCAACACTTCCGGTTTGAGCCCCGTGAGCTCATCTACACGTTAGGCTAAATCTGAAGTAGCCTCTCAAGGCTATCAGCATAGGTAGGAAAAAAAAGTAGAGTGCGCGCAACACTTTTAAATCAATATTATGTAGTGTATTATGTATTCAATTTAATTTACTTGCGATCGGCAAGTTTAGTAATTTTATGGTAGATCGAAAGTCGCGGTGCTACTTTACTTCACCTGAGTCGAATACTCGCATTTTATTCTGATAATGAAAAAAATTAAGGTACAAATTAAAGGCGTTGAATAAATGAATATTATTTAAGGCCATTCTTTATAAGATTAGTAAAGGTACACATTTGTAGATTACTTACCAGTATATTAATACCTTGCAATGTTCTAATAACTTTGTGACTGTACCTCCAATATCAGTTAAGAAATCTGACTTCAACTCGAGGTCTACAGTAGTGTTGATGAAGGAGAAATCTGTGTCTCCAACGTGGAGTGCCTCTTTTACTGTACTCTTTTGTAGATAAGCCGCGAATTCAGACAGCGTAAGATCTTTATTGCTTTTCAGTACATTAAAAAATTGGTTTTGTAATGTAATTTTAGTTAGTTTGTACAGCAACTGGTCGCGTAACTGAAAGGAGATAAGCAACTTATTAAAAATACTGTTTATTTAAGAATCAAAAGTAAACTAGTTACGGTTCAAATTTGGTTAAACAATTTTCGAACTCGTAAACATTTTGTTGAATGTAGATGAAGTAGTAGAAAAACAGTCATTAGCATTGTGGAATCAAACCACAGAATTATTAAATGCCAGGTACGTACGTAAAGGTCGACAATATTTATAGTGTATAAATTAATTGTGGTTTTTGTGAAATTTCCTGTTATCAACTGCTAAATTACAATGAAAACCACAAATTTGTGGTAATATTCTACTAGCTTATTTCATGCATCGTTAATATGTATTATTGAACAACTGATTGCTGCTTCACACAAACGAATTTCTGAATTTGACACACAAAATTAACGAGACTGCTGCCACGATTTTTTGTCGAACTAAACATTTTATTGAGAAATAATAGACAACAATTTAGTTTATCATTAATTTTCCAAACAATAAAATTAGGAGTTTATTGATATAAACGAGATCAGAGGATCTTGATGATATTAAATAATTTGTCAAACTGTTTAATTAATAGATGATATGAATTTTATGCTTCTGTTACTAACTACATTGTCTTGACTCGTCTTAGCCCGCTTCCTAATTACCTACCCCTTTTGCTAGTAGTTTAATCACTGGTGGTAGGACCTCTTGGGAGTCCACTCGGATAGGTACCACCACCTCACCTATTTCCGCCGTGAAGCAGTAATGCGTTTCGGTTCGAAGGGTGGGTTGGCCGTTGTAACTATACTGAGACCTTAGAACTTATATCTCGAGGTGGGTGGCGCATTTACGTTGTAGATGTCTATGGGTTCCAGTAACCACTTAACATCAGGTGGGCTGTGAGCTCGTCCATCCAAACAAGCAATAAAAAATAAAAAGTTTCGCAATATTGAAAGGTGCTGTAGAGTTGGTAAAGTAGTTTTGTTACAATGCCATTGGAAATTCCACCTCAAATCTCAATATGGGCTGCACTATTCACGCTGTGATGTTTAATTTTACTACGTAATAAGAATAGATAGTTCTAAAAAATTAGAGTAATAATTTCGACATTTTTTTTTTGCTTACATGGGTTGACGAGCTTACAGCCCATCTGGTGCTAAGTGGTTGCTGGAGCCCATAGACATATACAACGTAAATGCGCCACCCACCTTGAGATATAAGTTCTCAAGTATAGTTACAACGGCTGCCCCACCCTTCAAACCGAACTTCACGGTAGAAAAAGGCAGGGTGGTGGTACCCACCCGCGCGGACTCACAAGAGGTCCTATCACCAGTAATTACGCAAAATATAATTTTGCGGTAATATTAAAACCCTATGGTTACATAGAATTTTTGCTAGACGGATTTTATGCGTATCCGCTTGTAGCTTTTTTATATTGTTAATTGCCTAAAGAAATCTTATAATATTATTTAAATTGCCTTATTAATAGATATTTAAAAAATACAACAATTTCAATTTTGAAATGCTCTCTTCGAAGTTGACATTATGGATATCCGTACCTTGTATGTAATTACATCCATATATTTTTGACGAACAGTTATCTATAATACATTATACACACTAATATTTTACGGGTGCTTATCACGAAAAGAGTGAACCCGAGATTATGAAAGTAAATCCTGTTATATAATACTGTAAACTATTTTTTATATATTTAATATTTAAAAGACATTTAATACGAACATCGTAAGCAGCACTCGCGTCACCGTCCAATATGGCTTTAATGTATTGATCTTGGAGAGATTTAACTGACATAGCTCCTTGCGTGTCTATTAGACCCCACTGCTGGAATGTGGAAGTATAATTGGCAACACTGTATCGATCCACCACTGGATTTCCCATTATTATTCCCTGGAAATCGTGCAATAAATTTAAACATAAGTAATTTGAGTGGTAATTTTAACTTAAAATAAACTGGGAATTTATTTAAAACCTACTTTCAAATAAATTTTTTGCCTAAAAGGATGATTTAGTCGTGATATCAGTAATTTTTTTGAAAATATAGACTAAGAGAGAGACTAATTTACCTATTTTTTATTTTTTTATTTATATATATAATTCATTGAAAAAATCATCGCTGTTCAGGGTATTGACAGCATCACTAGCATATAGAAAAGGGAGCCGTTATAAAAGAATTCTAATAGGGACATGGTACTTCTTTCATCCTTCTATCAATGTCACCTATTCATTTGTTTCAATTTATTTTAGTTTCCGAATGTTTTTTAGAATAGTTACCTGAAGATTGACTTCAAAGGTGCCAATGTTGAGGTCTTGCTCCGCCAATTTCATGGCAAAAGGTGGAATGTATCGCCCGGCGTACGACTCACCGGCAATGTACAGTGGTGCCGTGCGTAATTCGGGGAATATTATCAGGAATTGTTTCAAAGCTGTGTACAGATCCGAAGCGCACTGCGAACAGAAATATAGAATATTAAATATTATAGAATTTACTTTTAACTTTTTTAGATGGACAATCTCGCTCGTTGCCCAACTCTGGAACCAGCAGCGAATTAACACTATATTCTACCAGCTGTAAATATAGCGAAAATGTTAGATTTAATATTTTAAATATTTATTTATACTATTTGGTACCATACCTTCTAGTTACAACATTGAAAAAGGTTAAATACCTAAAAATGTTTATTTACGGACTTCGCATAGTAATGTATTATCTGTGACATTGTTAAAATTACCGCGGTTACATTTTGTACTTCTTTATCATACATAGACTAGTCGTGCTCGCCCGCTTCGCTGGGCATTTAAAATTAACATTATTATTTATTGTCATTATTATTAGGGAGTCTAACACTCATATAAATATTAGCCTATCCATTAAGTACATGTATTTTCTACACAGATACCAAGTTTCAAGTCAATCGGATGCGTTGTTCAGTAGTTATAACGGAACATCCGTAAAAACCACTGTAGCTTTATATATTAGTATAGATAGATAAAGAACGTTAACCATAGACAATGCACTTAAGCGTAAGCCGCTGCCAAAATAAAAGTGATAATCCGATCATCTCCGTTTCTGAGAATTGTCGAGCGGCGCAGAGGGCGGCTGCCCACATAAACTAAAGCCCACGTTGCATGTGAAAAAATGCTGAACAAGTGGTGCACAGATTATTTTTATCCATTACCTACCAAAGTTTTTAATTAATAATTACAGTCAATTTAAGACCGAACAACGGAGACGCGGATTCGCACAGCCACTATTTCAATAGAAAAATCGATTCTCTCGCCCAAGATTTAACCATTGTGACCATCTTAGATATTATAAAGCGGACGTCTTAAATACATATTATAAAATTATAGCTATATTGAATGGTGTTTTTTTAAATCTTAATTAACACCACTTTTTGAAACTGTGTGTGTGTGATGAAGAGTGAGGATAAAATAAAGTCATAATTTTTAAGTTATTCTGGGCAGAATTGGAACTGATAATATATTTAGGTGGGTCTAAAAACTATTCAAAGCCCCATGCGGTTTCAAAAACTCGCACGCTAATACTAAGTTAATTTTATAAAACTATGAATAGGTAACTTTAAAGTCTTAGAACGATTTTTTGCTTAGGTATCGTTACAACAAAAACCGATTCCGGCTTACTCATTACACATTATTTGACTGCATTAAAAAAAGTTATTTGTTGACCACTCAACCGTTGGTATCGGTCTGCCAGAAAAAAAAAACGAATTATGAAACTCATTATTCAATTGGTGATCGCTCGATCCGGACGATTCATTCAAATATTGAATTAAATGGCGTTGGCTAATTATAATCAGCAGTACCTACTAATATACCTAGTCAGGTCATAAATTCTGTCACATGTTTAATGTAAAATAATTGAAACAAGTTTATTCATTATGTAACCATTCATATACCAAAATGAACTTAACAAAACATAGATTCTTATGACACTAAAGTTTATTCAAAATGACCTCCGTGATTTTGAATACAGGCCTTCAATCGGCGCGGCCAGTCGTCTATCGCAGCACGAACGAGGTCCATGTCAATATCGGCCGCTGCCTTAATCAAGGATGTCTTAAGTGACTCCAAATTGGGATGAGGCTTTGAGCACGCCTTTTCCTCCAAGTGTTGCCATATCTTGTAATCTAACGGATTCAAATCTGGACTGGAGGAGGGCCAGTCTTCGTGCCGGATGAAGTCGATTTCACGTGCCGCCAGCCAGTCTTGTGTGCTCTTCGCTCTATGAGCTGGCGCCGAATCTTGTTGGAATACCCAGTGCCTGTTATTGAACATGGTATGAGAAACAGGTTCCACAAGGTTCGTCAGGACTGTATTTTGATACACAACTGCATTCGTTTTTACACCTTTCTCACAAAAATGTACCTCTGTTAAGCCCCAATAAGAAACTCCCAACCATACCATGAGCGAGGATGGAAAATGACCTCGTTGGACACGCGGAATACGGTTGCTCGCTTCTTCACTACTGTGTGCGTACAACTTATCATTTTGTTTGTTGTAGCTCTCTTCTAAGGTAAAAAATTTTTCATCCGAAAAAAGAATTTCCCGATATTTTTTTCCCGCGTACCGCTTCAACAAAGCGCGGCATCTCTTCAGTCTCAGGTCCATTAGACGAGCATTCAAACGATGTCCTGTTTTTCTTCGATATGCCCGAAGCCCTAAGTCTTCATTATAACCCTTTTCACCGTGGTTCTGCTTAACCCCATCTAAAGGGCCAACAGTTTCTGCTTACGTTTGGGATTTCTTTGAATTCGCGGCTTCACAGCTTTTATCACTGCTGGAGTCCTAACAGACCGAGGGTGACCACTTCTTGACCTGTCATCTACACTAGAGTCTTCATTGTATCGTTTGATGGTACGATAAACGAATCTCTTGGTTATATTCAAATTTTTCAGTATGTTAAAAATTTGAATTGGCGCGTAACCGCAACGATGCAACGCAATAACTGCAACACGGTCTTCTTTAAGCGTCCACTCCATATTTAAAAATGAGTAAAATTCTAAAAGTATACATTTTTACTTTCATGAACAATTCGAAATTCGAATTCAATAAACTTTTTTGTGGCCAGCATTCTAAAAGAAAAGTTTTTACTGTGTGACAATACTTATGACCTGACTATGTATATTTGCTGTGGTCGAATTTTTTTTTTCTCCTACTTATACTGATAGCCTTGAGAGGCTACTTCAGCTTCACGCTAACGTGTAGGTGAGCTCACGGGGCTCAAGCCGGAAGTGTTGCTAACACTGGCCCTAGCAAGAGCAGTACTTCGCAGAATCTACCACCGGATCGGAAAGGCGACCCACTGAAAAGATCCGGCGAGAAACTCAGTGGGCTGTGTCTATGGGTTAATTTTCTCGTCGAGCCTTCGTCGCAAGCGGGTTCGGCGAGGACGGTGACCGGTGCTTGAGGTACCTAAAAGCACCGTTAATGGACGTGTTTAGGGCGGTCGAAGGTAGACAACTTACGGCGGACCTGAGAGTTAGTGTCGTAGACATCAGCAATGCCATCAGAATTGCAAGGCTCGCTTAAAAAACGTGCCACAACCTACGAATAATTTATTCGTAGGCCACAACCTCAGAAAACTATGTTAATAGTACGTAATGGACTTTTTGAATGTCATTTTGGTTTGTTGCTTTTTGCACGTCGATTTTACCGATTTCAAGACAGTCCGATTCTATCTATATCTCCGATCTATATCTTAACTCAACATTCTGCACAGTATCAACAAAAAGAAGGAATTCACTCCAAATCCAAAAGTCCACCAGATTCAAACTACTCATTTACTTTGAATTTGTAGGTATATGGTACTGAATTTATATTACTCTATATATCGACATATGAGCTCACAGTCCATTTAGTGTTAATAACAGAGCCGGAATAATAGTTACTCCCTTTAGACCGAAACGCATGATTGCGTCACAGCAAAATAAGTAGAAATAAAATTAATAAAAATATGAAATAACTTGTTAATTTACCTCATCCATATTTTTAACGAAGCCATCGTTACTGTCTGTAAAGCTGAAGCCAGCGCCGACAGGGTTGTCGATGAACAACATCGAATATCCTTTCAACCAGGTCCATTCACGTTCTGTAACATTCCCAAAACAGTCATTAGTATTAATTGTACTTAGACCTAAGCCGCCTTGGCTTCTTTGTTAACATTCTGGATGGCTGAAGGTAATATCTCACTTGTCGCCGGATCTTCTCAATGGGTCGCGTTTCCAATCCGGTGGAAGATTCTGCGAATCACTGCTCTTGCTAAGGTTAGTGTTAGTAACTTCGTCAGGTTCGAGCCCCATGAGCTCTCCTACTTGTTAGGTTACGCTGACATAGCCTGTCAAGGCTATCAGCTTAGGTAAGAAAAAAAAAACTCACTTGGTTCCAAGTGATTACTGGAGCACATTGTCGAGAAAAACGCCACCCCTCTTGAGACGTGAGGTAAAAATCTCAATTCCTCAGTCGTACAGGTGGTAGAGCGTATTGTGAGCACGCACGGGTAGGTAACACTGCCCTACCTATTTTCTGCCTTGAAACACTAACACTTTTTAAAGGGTGGGTGGTCGTTGTACTGTAAAAATGGCGACTTAGAACTCTAGTCTTAAGGTTGGTGATGGCATTAACATTGACGGTGTCTACGGGCTTCGGTCACCACTTGAAATGAGGTAGTGACGTGCGTCCATTCATCTTAGCAATAAACAAAAAAAAAAAACGTGTGGCACTCGGGGACTGCCACAGTAAAGCTATTGCACAGCATTTTTTATCAATTTAACTACTTTACCTAAATTATAATTAGTCAATAATAATTTAATATTAAAACAATAATGAAATAAGACCACGCTATATTTATAAATATCAACAAAAGCAAAACATTAACTGTCCCCTTAGCACTCATAAGCTAGACCGAACGGGAGAGAGATGGGCATACTTTTCAAGATGCGCATGCAGTGCGACGTCACGCCGCGCGCTTATTCACAAACACTACAGAAGCGCAACGTGTGAATTGTTGAAAGCGAGCTAGCTACATGGTAGGCGGAGTGGGGGTGTTAGGTTTTATTTTCGTTACGGAATTTCTTAATTCGGTCGCCGCGCTCAAAACCCGCGATAAAAGCTATGCAATAGCTTAAAAATGTATAGGGTCCGTCTTACCCTTCAAACTAAATTAGAAGAGATAGGCTCACAAATTCCGGTTTAATGGTCAATCAAGATAATCGATCTCATATTTCAAGGTACGCTGCAGAACTAAGCTCTTCTGAATTTATGTCACCGCTTAATGTCGGGTAGATCGTTGTTTTCCCACAAATATCACTAATATCCGATATTGCCTTATTCAGTAGAACGTAGATAAAATGCAGCTGCATTAAAATGGAAACTGTATCCGATTATGGTGCATGTAATTGATATTACATTGACAAGTAGAAATACTTATTACTTTGTATTACTGCATTTCGTATGTTACTGTTTATTACCTATTCCCTTTTATAGGGTTAGATAATGTTTGTTTAATGGTAAAATTATGATAAATATAATCAGTTGTATCATAGTATGATCCCATATGACCACTTTTTATGTTGTTTTATTGTCTGTATGCGCCTTACAAAGTCTAGCACGCGATTAAGACGTAAATCTCTTTAATTACAGATAACTAAGTAGGTACCTTTTGTATTTCTTTAGTCTTATAATATTTTTCTTTATTGCAACTGTTATTTATTTTCAATGTCATATCAATTTACAACAACAACTCTAATTTTCGGATTAAGATTTAAGAATGAAATAGACAGGGTAGTAGTAGTCCATACCCGGGCAAGTACATAACACGCCCTAAGTGTTTGACTGCTTTAATTAGATTCAGATCTCTTGTAACAACTTTACAACAACAACAACTCTAATTTTCCGATTAAGAATTAAGAATGAAAGTAAACAGGGTAGTAGTAATACCCCTTCAAGCTCATAAGACGCCCTACTGTTGCCACATAAAAAAATTTTTTAACCAACGACTGCTTTAATTAGATTCAGATCTCTTGAAATACTTTTAAGATTAATTTAACTTAACTAATAAAACAATCTTAACTTTTAAGATTGTTTTATTATTGATGTGCGCTATATCAATCAAATCGAGCCCGATTTTAAGCCGTAAATCTTTATTTTTATTAATGTATTATAGGTATATATTGTATTTCCACAGTCTACAATGTTTTTCCTGATTGCAGCTATAATCGTGAATGTCAAGATGACTAACGAATATAATGTTTGAAACAACGAATGAATTGATTAACTGATTTTGAGGATCTAGTGGTTTGCAGAATTGCATGTAGAGTAAAAATCGTAGGAACATTATCAATGCGTAGGAACTTATAATTAGTTCAGTAACATTTCCCCTGAATAAAACCTAAAAGATCTAGATTCCGTTGTTTCATCCTACTTATTTGATTTTCTTAAATTCAATTCTCGTGATCTAATTAGAGCACATAATTTATTCAAATGCTTTAAAAATGTTGTGTGTGTAAATATTTCTTTTTACATTTGAATTCTCTTCTAATAACCTCGATGATACCAAAATATTAAGTTCGATTCGCAAGTCGAAAAAACGCTAAAAATTTACATTAAGAACATTCAAATCCCACGCACGGCCTTGAATTTCCATAATGGTATTCAAATCACTAAAATAATTAACTAGACGATTATGTACAATTTTACGTATTTTTTAACATTGAATAGAATTATTCAAATTTTATGCTTATGAGCGTTTTTAATCTGCTAACAGGAAGATTTTTAAAAATTATCAAAATAATTGTAATAATAATAATAATAATTGTAAATCTTATAATTAAAATCATTTTTTAAATATCGGCATATCCTAGTGTGATTGGATGAAATACACAAGTATAATAGTAAGTATTTTACCTTCTTTCTTTTTGCTTTTGTAGGTAGACGACTATACGGCCCACCTGATGGTAAGTGGTTACCGTCACTCATAGACGTCAGCAATGCCAGGGGCAGAGCCAAGCCGCTGCCTACCATTAAGTACTTTCCGCAAGCCTCGTTTGAAGAAAGACATGTCATAGCGTTCGGGAAACACCTCGGAGGGGAGCTCATTCCAAAGTCGGATGGTACGTGGCAGAAAATATTTTTGGAAACGCACTATGTTAAATATAAATACTTTAACTCACCTTCAATAGTGTCGTTTTTCTTATTGTACGAGAACGGACCGATTTCGTCAAACAAACCCGCCAAACTACTTGCCCCGGGTCCTCCTTGAAGCCATATAATCCACGGGGTCGAATCCTTTGGTTTATTCCGCACAGGGAAATACCAGAAGAACGTATTGGAGTTGTACTGTTTATTTACTGTTAAGAATCCAGAATAGCTTTCGTACTCGAGGGCTATAGAGCGATTCACGGATGACAGACGTCTTGCTTCTTCAATCCGGTTGCTGTTTATGAGAGTTGTGAGTAAAACAGGCTGTTGTGTTTGTGTAGTGGAGGCTGTGCTGAAAACAGTTTTGTTCTTAAGGAAACCGACATAAATTGATTCATTTGCCCACTGAGTTTCTCGCCGGATCTTCACAGTGGATCGCGTTTCCGATCCGGTGATAGATTCTGCGAAGCACTGCTCTTGCTAGGGCCAGTGTTAGCAACACTTCGGTTTGAGCCCCGCGAGCTCACCTACACGTTAGGGCGAAGCTGATATAGCCTCTCAAGGCTATCAGTACAGGTAGGAATTAAAGATTCATTATTGAAGTACAGACGAATCCAATACAATCCAATTTATTCAGCTAGAACGTGGTACTTTACAGACGAAACGATCATCAAAACTATGACAAAGAGAATTTAAAATAAAGAAGTTAATTGTTTGTAGTTTTAAAACAAAAATTAACTGTTTGACAAATTACTAAATGAATACGTATGGCGCCGTTAGCGAATAATAAAGAGTCCTAGAAAATACATTTGTCGCCTTCAGAACAACAAAAAAAATATCCAATCTCATCGGTGTCAGCACAATAACCCAACGCTAATTTTTTACCGTAAATTTTACATAATTAAACAACGTAGTATTGTATAGAAACTACCGAAATCATATATCGATTCAGAACCTTATTATAAATTCAAATAAGTTGTAAAAATAATTTATGCTGCTACTAAATTTATATTCATCTAATTTAATAATATCCGTTATCGATTATTTAACATATTATAAAGTCCTGTTCCTATATTCATGCTTTATTTATGAACAAATATAAAAAAATCCAATGGTAAGTTCTATAGAGTTTGGTTGTACTGTTAAATACTACAAACACCAAGAACTGTGACTACATCACCACCACGGAAATTATCGTGTCATTAATTAGTAAATAAAACTTGAGTTGCATATAACGATATAAAAACACACTAAAATGTCATAAAAAATTATCACAATAATCTGTAACCAACTTTAAATCGAAGGGTAGATGTAGGTTCTCAATTTTGTTTTATCCGTCTCTGTGCAAACTTTGTATGTACAAATCAACCGACATACGGGCAAAGAACATACTTTGTCATGCTCAGGTAATGGATTTGATAGAGAACCATTAATGTAACATCAGCCAGGGAAACTTTTCCATGAAAACGTAGATATGTATAATGTATTTAGGGTTTTCACTAATCTATACTAATGTATAAATCTACAGTGGTTTTTACGGATGTTCCTTTATAACTACTGAACCATGCATCCGATTGACTTGAAACTTGGTATCCATGTAGAAAATATATTATGTACTTAATGGATAGGCTAATATCTATATGAGTGATGGACTCCCTAATAATAATGACAATATACTAATATATAAATCCACAGTGGTTTTTACGGATGTTCCTTTATAACTACAGAACCATGCATCCGATTGACTTGAAACTTGGTATCCATGTACCATAAGATCTAGCCTAGTATACGATTTTTTTTCACAGCAGGGCAATTAATTCAGAAGCGTGTATCGTAATGCGACTTATTATCCGAGTATAGCGTTAAGGTTTAGCTAGTGTCTATTAACCACATACATATGTTCATTTATTCTCGCCTTATATAAGCTCTCAGCTTAAATCGTCTTGTTTGTTATTAGACAAGTCTTAAAGATAGCGTTGATCGAAGGTCAAGGTTCGTCGTATGATAAATTTAGCCACGTTACAAAGACAATTCGACGAAAATCAAATTCGTATCAATCAGTATTCGTGACAGTTCTAGGAAATCGGGAAGCCGTCACCATTTTTACTTTCACATTTAGTATTGCGGACAACTGTCAAGGTACTGATTTGTAAATTTAATTCAACAAGGCCAGGACTAGGCTAGCAAATAAACAGAATTACATTTAATGAAACGTGATTTGAGAACGTGGATCAAAAAATCTATCGCTTAAATGAGATGTCTTTTCCGCAGTACTGATTTATCATTTCATTTATTTAAATTCCTATTATTTCTGAAGTCAATAATAATAATCACCCGGATTCATTCATTATAATGATAACTCTATTGGCCTTGCGTGATCCACGGATGTGTTTTTAAAAATATTTCGTAATACCTAGTTAGTTTTATTGCTGATTTTTATAGCATACATTTACTTTATATCGACTGATGCACCTTATACATATTATACAAAATTCACAGAAATCGAGAATTTAAATTAACAATACTTTTAATAACATTCGTTATCCGGTTATACTATTACATTATTTTTCATATTCTATGAAACAGAACGACTAAATCCAAAAGGGTAAGTAGGGAAATCAGTGGATTATATTTTACAGTAATTCTATTCTTTCTTATCTAATATATAAAAGTAAAAGTTACAATTATACAGATAGCTGCACTAAATTATAAATGCTAAGCGAAAAAAAGTTTAGTGTTACTATGTACTTCAATAAATATTTACTTTTAATTCCTAACAAAAAAAGGTATATTGTTCTTACATTAACATTTTTTTTTATTTTTTTTTATTGCTTAGATGTGTGGACGAGCTCGCAGCCCACCTGGTGTTAAGTGGTTACTGGAGCCCATAGACATCTACAACGTAAATGCGCCACACACCTTGAGGTATAGTTCTAAGGTCTCAGTATTGTCACAACGGCTACCCCACCCTTCAAACCGAAACGCATTACTGCTTCACGGCAGAAATAGGCTTAATTGGCTTAACTGGTCTTAATATATATACCCTTTTCGTATGTGTAAATATTTCTTATCGGCAAAGAACTTTTACTGGTGGTAGGACCTCTTGTGAGTTCGCGCGGGTAGGTACCACCACCCTGCCTATTTCTGCCGTGAAGCAGTAATGCGTGTCGGTTTGAAGGGCTGGGCAGCTGTTGTAACTATACTGAGATTTTAGAACTTATATCTCAAGGTGGGTGACGCATTTACGTTGTAGATGTCTATGAGCTCCAGTAACCACTTAACACCAGGTGGGCTGTGAGCTCGTCCACCCATCTAAGCAATAAAAAAAAAAAAAGAAATAATGGGGGCACGTAAGGGAGGGATTTTTAAATTTCACAGATATTCAGTTATTTGTTTAACTAATTTGTTGTCGTTGTAATTAAAGCTGCTTAAAAAAATAAATCGACACGTTTCTTATTTAGGTTAGGCCTTGTATCGCGGCGAAACCTCGTCGCGGTGTTGGGGCAGGACCTCTCTTTGAGGGCTATCGTCGCTCGTATGGTAGAGGATCGGAGTTCGTGGGAGGCCATGGCTGGGTTCTGTGACTTGGTCATGGCGCTTCGTGAGGCTGAGGAGCGCGAAAGGGAATGGGATCCCTCTTCAGCTCCTCAGCGCAGAAGGCGGGGTGGACGGCGCGTGCGAGAGACCGCCGCTCAGCCCTCGTAGGGACTATCGAGTGCCGGGTGCGGGGGCGCCCGGCACTCGACTGTTGGTCCGGTGGTGAAGCGGTGCAAGGTGGCTCCTGTGCGCCGCTCACAGTGTGTCGCCCGAGACGACGTTCTACGGGATTTTCCCGGGGATGAAATCCCGTCTTAACATTAGTACGGGTACCGCCTAAGGCGAGACTTTCGGCGCGCATCGCGGTACCGTAAGTTTCGTGTAGTCGGTGTGGTAGAGCTCGATGGGGTTTAGTCGGTAGTCGTTCTGCGGGGCAAGTGCTTCGCGCGCCTTTTTCAAGGCGTAGTCTCCTGTGAGAAATTGGGGGAGGTGAAGGACCTCGGCCCTTCTCTTCTCCCCTTCTTCCTCTCAGGAGGCACCGGAGTCCGACATAACCCGGTCCGTTACCCCCCTCGACCGGGTATCCGTAAATGGATTCCCCAGCGTTAAAAAAAAAAAAAAAAGGTTAGGCCTTGTATGCGGTTACAGAAGTATCTGTGATTTTACTACAGATTTGGTAGGTTCATAGTTGAGAAATATATTTTGTATCACTTAGCCCGAAAACGCCGTAGTCGAACACTAAATATGCGGTTTCGAGGAACACTTGATGGTTTTCGTTAGCCTAGCATCATAGCTAATACATAAGGCGTGTTCCTGCGTTACTCAAAATGACCTCGTAGAACGCGGACTACCGATGCCATATTTTGAAACCGGGCGATGAAACACGTTTTAAATATTTTGCAAATAATTTGCGCCACTCATTTAATAATATATTATATCTTTAAACGAGCAATTCTTGTATATTTATATATCTTATCTTATACCTTTAAAAGAGCAATTCTTGTATATATATAATCTGAATCTCAGAAACGGCTCCAACGATTTTCATAAAATTTAGTATAAAGGGGATTTCGGGGGCGATAAATCGATCTAGCTACGATTTATTTTCAGAAAATGTTGTTTTATTCGTGTTTTCAATAATTAACTCTTCCCGACATCTATTGGCGAATAATAATACTATTTTTATTAATTGAGGGCAACCAACCAAGATGGCGTTATCAAAAAAAAAAAAACGAGTAAAGCTCGGTCATCATCTAGTCATACCATAATCCTCACCACGTAGACTTAATAAGGCTTAACATAAAGAACAAAAACATTTAAAAAACTGCATTTAAATATAAAGCGAAACAGCTATTACCTAATTTAATAATATTCCAAACTCTCAATTCAGTTTTCATTATTATGAAATGATTGGAAATTTCCGAGAATAGTCGTGATTTGCTGTGGTCGTGCCTGATCTGGCATCAAGGAAAAGCCAAACAATCATTTACAATTAACAGAATTACAATTGCAATTCTCATGACATACACAGAAAATTATACTAGACCTTTTTGTGTAGGTGCTATTCAGGAAATATAGTACTATTTCACTACTTAGTGATATTTTAACGGTGAATTTAGTAGCCGCAGGCTTAACGCATAGTCAATATTTTTAATACTTAAGCAACAACATCCTTAAACTGTCGAATAATATTAGATGTAAAATATTATAATCTACTCTGTGAAAAGTACTCTTTTTTAGTAAGGTAATTTGGCTGAGGCTTTTGCTCACCCACCTGTCCTTGTGAAACTGAAAAGGCTTCCGGGCTACCAGTAATCCTTACATACATCATAAAAAAAAAGTAAGGTAATTATGAAATAGCTTAACAACTTTATGATATCATTTTGCATATCATTTTGTTTCATAATTTCTTCAGTTCTGTTTAGTGCCTTTACTATGGCCTTGGTAATGACCATGACCGACATTGACCACGTCTGCCTTTCAAGGCAATAAAAGCAAGGTGTAAATAATAGTGCCTTAAATCGATAATTGCTTAATTTTTTTATAATATATAACCTAATCTATACTAATATATAAATCTACAGTGGTTTTTACGGATGTTCTGTTATAACTACTGCACCATGCATCTGATTGACTTGAAACTTGGTATCCATGTAGAAAATACATGTACTTAATGGATCGGTTAATATTTATATGAGTTTCGGACTCCCTAATAATAATGACAATAAATAATAATGTTAATTTTAAATGCCCAGCGAAGCGGGTGAGTACGGCTAGTATCTTATAAGATAAAAAGCTTTGCGAAACTGGAAACATTTGTTTTAGTAAGTTCCTATTTCGTAAATCAGAAATCTAAAGCTAAGGAGGCTGGCAATAGTACGAATCTTGACTTCCTTTATGAGGATGTAGATGTAGTACTGTAGAAGTAGTAGTTCTGCTTCTAACTGTATTAGGTAGGCGCTGACACGAAGGATGGTTTACACAGTGAGTATAATAATATGTACTGCTTTGAATAGTTTATTGAAGATAAGTATGCGTACACAAACAAACTATAACAAGAGTGGTACCATAAAGAAATAACATATAAGAGTAGTATAGCACTGACACGAACGATGGGTAGCACAGCAAATATCGATGAGTACTGCCCGCAGTTTCTTCAGATTCCGAAGTGTTAAACAACAAAAATAGATGATTGCCTGAATTCATAGGCGACAGCGATTTTGTTGAATTGTAAGGCGGTTGCCCAAGTAGTGGCGAGTAAGTGAGTCGCCACAAGGAATTAAACTGACCGAACTTACTTTGATCCCGTGAATCATTTCAAATTTGCCGAATAGAAGCTAGAATCTTCTCCTGTTTTATGAGCATCGGGAACTTAAGCGAAAAGAATCATAACATGAATTTGGCTAACGGGGAACCGGAATGACCCGGTGGCGGTGGTGCATTAGTCACGCTTCGTTAATTACAGGTTATATTTCTGTACATAGTATTACGAACAATATGAGTTTTGTCAAGCTATTTCTCGGACTTTAGGTGCCTAACAAAAAAAATCCAGACAGCTTTTTGTTGCTTGTACTAGAATATTCTTTCGTAAAATAGGAGTGTGTGTTTATCTGTGTATTTACGTTTTCCTGTTTGGATTTTTTAGCGTTTAGACGTTTAAAAATAGCAGTTATTAGTTTTTTCTCAGCGCAAAATAAATCGACCGATCTATGCATCTATTTAAAGGATCGGTGTGCTGAATTGAAGAAAACCAATCATTTAAGAATTAACTAATCATTTGGTATTTAATTTAATCAATTCAGTTTGTACGGGATTTTCCAGACAGAAAGGTCTTGTTTTTTTTTTCTAAGATGGATTAAAAGCGATTACCAAAATACCAGATTGCCAATATCGTTGCCAACCTTTAAACGCAAATCTTAGTAGATTTCATCACGTTAGTACAACAGTTTTGCTATGGATCATACCGGAATGCATTACATCGCGGCAGAAATAGGCAGACTAGTGACACTTACATGTGCGTGATTACAAGACCAGTAAAAGGCTACCACCACCATAGATAACTTTAGGGTCTTGAAAGGAAAGGGGAGACTTAGAAACCTCTACATGACGTTATCTCGGAGGGAGAGGGAAAAAGCTATTTAGTAAGATTTTACAAGTCTGAATACGCTTCTTCCAACGAAGACTCTCATGCACATTTCAGAGCAAAGCGTCAAGGCTATGCAATTATGAAATCAATTGTTTCCTATTTTAGCTATTGTACTATATAATTGAGAATTAGGTCTCATGTCTGAAGGTGGAGGTATACACGAAGTGATATCTAAAGGCTCCGATAGACAACACAAAGGTAATCGATATTTAAAAAAGTTCTGTAGAAGAAGCAAAGAACATGGATAATCAAAGTGGGGAGAGGGGTAGGTGAAGTCAGACAGTCTACCTTAACAGACTATTATTGTTAAAGATCTGGCCTGATATTTCTTGGTTTATACTCTTTTTGTTACGCAAAATTTGTGGACAGTTCACAGCCTAAAACTGGCATTATATAGATACCACAGCTACCATGGCAACATCAATTTTTATAAGCTAATTTTGAGGTTGAAAAAGCTATACGTGTTTCATTTTAGAATTACAAATTTCATGAGAACATAGCACACTCGTTAACATTGATAATGTAACAAATCCCAGTTGCTGTATATTAGTTGAATTTTTTTTGCAATATTACCACGAACCAGCAATTACGTATTGTTACTATTGAGAAGTACAATTAAAATATTGTGAGCGCTTAATTATTCGTAATCATGTATTTTGCGGTGTAACTAATATGTTTCGATACGATAGGTATTAAAATATTACGAAACCTTAATTGTACGAATAAAAAACAGAGAAAATATACAAATTACTTACAAATATACAAGTTACTGGTGGTAGGACCTCTTGGGAGTCCGCACGGGTAGGTACCACCACCCCGCCTATTTCCGCCGTGAAGCAGTAATGCGTTTCGGTTCGAAGGGCGGGGTAGCTGTTGTAACTATACTGAGACCTTAGAACTTATATCTCGAGGTGGGTGGCGCATTTACGTTGTAGATGTCTATGGGCTCCAGTAACCACTTAACATCAGGTGGGCTGTGAGCTCGTCCATCCATCTAAGCAATAAAAAAAAAAAAAAAAAAATCATAAGAAATATTTTGTGCGTCTCTAACAAAGTCTTGATTTCGACATGCCTCATGACTGTTGGTTTAATCAGTTACAAATAATCGATATACTATGGACTTTTTAAATTTTAGGGAATTGAATATAATAATAATATAATTAACAATACCGTTTTGAGTCAAGTTTTATAAAAAATTGCTTGTTGCAAAATTTAAAATGCCACTCTTGATATTTCTTTTAGGCCACAAAAATTCAATAATATTTTTTTTCGAGCAGCTGAAATTTATATTCAAATTAATAATACGATTTCAATTCCATTCCCTAATCTAACTTAAAACAACGCAGCTTAATATATTACAAGTTAAAACAACAAATAATACAACATACCCAACAATAAACAATAATCCAAAAAATGTCGACATTCTCGGAGCCAAGGATAATGACATGTGTTTTAATTTATTAAATCGAACATTGTTTTTGTTGTGAACGCGACACGTGTAGACTACGAGCCGAGCTTTGAATAACTGAAGCAAAAACTAAAGTGTTACTGCCGTGCCTTGCATATGAAACGCAAGCTGCATCACTTTGTATTATTTTTATCATCATCTTATCATTAGCTTATGTCTAGAGAATATTAATGGTAATCTGAATGTGTATGGTGGTAGTGGTGTGTACTGGTGGTAGGACCTCTTTTTACTGGTCATACGACCTCCTGTGAGTCCGCGCGTGTAGATTTTATTTTTTATTTTTTTATTGCCGTATAGTCAGACGAGCATACGGCCCACCTGATGGTGAGTGGTTACCGTCGCTCATGGACGTCAGCAATGCCAGGGGCAGAGCCAAGCTGCTGCCTAGAATAGAAGATGTTCTAAATTCGATTGTTTTCTTAGGTGAACTGATTCTGATGATTCTGAAACACCTAATTTTTTTATTATTATTATTATTATTAATACTTTATTTCAGTTTTCTGTTTTTTTTTTAAACCATAACATTTTGTTAGTAATAATTACTTATAATATATGTTAGTAACTTAAAAAATCTAACACATAACTATCATTATATACATTTTATACCATTACATTTTCTTTTTTTTTCTCCTTCCAAGTGCCTACTGCAAAGACTATTGATCAGCAGTCCCTCGATCTTGCTCAATATGATTCTCAAAAGACTGTTGCCACTGTCACGGACTCGACTTTAACTTTAACACTCGTTTTATACTTGATGAGGTTGTCGAAATTGAAGCTGTGTGTGTTGTATGGCCCCTGGTGAATACCTAATTAAAATCGTCTAAAGATAACAGAAATAGAAGATACGCTACTGTTACTTGCAGTTAGTAAAATCACATGCCAAGTTTAAAAACTAAACTAAACACGCTCAAATAGCAAACCGAACAAATATTAATCTCATCTTTGTTTTTCTTCCATTGATACTGGTCAGGCGAATATTAACTAGAGCGAACTTATCAAAATAATATCAAATGATATATATACATCGGGTAGGTCGTGAGCTCGTCCATCCATCTAAGCAATGTAAAAAAAATCCACAACAACAAACACTTGATTTCTTCGAGCAGTACAGATCACTGAGTTTCTCGCCAGATCTTCTCAGTGGGCCGCATTTCCGATCCGGTGGTAGATTCTAAGAAGCACCGCCCTTGCTAGCCCCAGTGTTAGCAACACTCAAACTTGAGCCCAGTGAGCTCACCTACACGTCAAGGAGAAGCTGAAATAGCTGAAATAGCAGTATAGGTAAGAAAAAAAAAACTTCGAGCAGGACGGTTGTATGTACTTACTTATATACACTTCTGACTCCATTTTCAGATTAAAACTGGTAAAATAACGTAAAAAAAAACCCAGAACAAATCAACTAACAATAAATATATTTATTTATTTCGAACTTAACTTTCAATACATTCACTTCAAGACGTCGGTAATATTAATTTCTTAACATATTCTTCTACGTATTTCAAATCGATGGTAGATCCGATCGGTTGGTCCAACGGTTCGTTGTGGGTCCATTGAGTTATGAAGTACGCTGTTTGGTCGGGCGTGTCCATGGGCGCCATGTGGCCGGCTCCGCGGATGATCAGCTCCGTTAGATTACCGCCGGTTTTGTGGTACCTGGGAAACAAATGACGTAGCGGAACTGAATTAATGTGTAATACAAGTTACAATTAACTTTGCAATCATTGTGGATGTACTGGACTACTCATATCGAGCTATCGGGGCAGCCGTTATACTCTCGGTTATGGTTTATCTTTAAGTTAATACGTGAAGCAAAAACTTTATACCTATTTTTACAAAAATTGCGAGGACGGGGGAGTATTAATTCGCCCTCGCTTCTCTTCGGAAACTGTAATTTATTATTGATTTCTACACTATTTAATGGATGTTATTATACATATAAACCTTCACTCTATCTATTAAAAAACCGCATCAAAATCCGTTGCATAGTTTTAAAGATTTAAGCGTACATAGGGACAGAGAAAGCGGCTTTGTTTTATACTATGTAGTGATATAGAGAAGGAGTGCGGAATGCTACAATATTCATTAATTAAAAATACATTATATCTATTAAAAAACATAACACACACACACACACACGCACACATACGTGTTTATTGTAAAACTTTTAGTCTGTGGTCAAATTGGGAATAGATTAAAATTGTTTGTCTTTAATATTATTTGTCTATAGTGTAGTCTTGGCGAAATTTGTGAATAAAGAAGTATAATATGTGAATAAAGTCTTTGACAATAGAACCATAATTGTTGTAATCTATGGTAATTTTATAATACTGATCTATATTAGTCTATAGTTATTTGTTTAAATATGTCTGTCATGGTTCCCTCTTTCTCTTTCCGTGAATATAATTGTCTTAGAACACTACTGGTCTCCTTTTAATGAAAACCTCAACAATAATAACGTCCAAACTTATATTTACAGAGACATTACGGAGGGACTAGTAGTATGGTTTTATTGTAGTTAGTTGCAGGTACGCTGATTTTTTTTTTATTGCCCTTGTAGGCAGACGAGCACACGGCCCACTTGATGGTGAGTGGTTACCGTCGCTCACGGACTTCAGCAATGCCAGGGGCAGATCCAAGAAGCTGCCTACCGCTTAATACTCTCCACAAGCCTCGTTTGAAGAAGGAACATGCTGATGCTGATTATTTCTGCTGAGGAGCCGTCATGTGTTTCAGTTTGAAAAGTAAGATTTTGTGTTGAATATCGGAAGCTTGTGGGTATTTAAATTACGAAACAAGTCTATCGGTGATGCACTCCAGTGACCTCCCAGTGCAAGCGACGTAGGGTCGCCCCAAAAAAATAAGCTGAATATATTATTAGTGTTAATTTCATTGAACACGTTTCATTGCGGTGAGTTTTAAATTAAGACGCACATACCCTGCCAATCTATTTTTAAACATGTAAGGATTTCGTACAGCCTTAATGAAGTCATCGGACGAACTCCATTTCCACGTTCTGTAATGTTCCGATGTGACCACGCACGGCATCATCTGATCCAGGTTTCCACTGAAAATGATCAATGTAAAGTAAATATTAATAACGATCCCGGGAAACGATCTCAAACCGGAGGGGACGGGAATAAAAATACCAGGATTCCAAATTTGAAATATTGACGAAGACGTTGACCGAAATGTCGTTGGCCTGGTAATAAATAACATAATGTCTGTCTTACACCCCTTCAAACATGCTTCGCGCCAAAATCGGTAGGGTGACACTTATCGTACGAGATCACTCAATCAATCAAAGCAGTCATACGCTTAATTCTCAAGAGGAATGATTATACCAATATATTAAAGATATTGATTTTTTTATTGTTTTAGGATCGGCATTCTGCTCCGTTAAAAAAAAACCTAGAAATATTTAATCAGCGCCATCTAGTGACGAAGGAGAGAAATAAATCTTACCAGTATGTCAACACCCTATAGCTCTCCAGCAGCTCTTCGTACAGAGCTTTTGAACTGCTAAGGAAGTCCGGGGCCATCTTAAGATTCACGGTAATGTTCACGTACGTGTATATTATGTCTCCGACGTGAATTGCTTTTCTTATTTCGGGCTTATTGAGAAACTTCTCATGATTCTCTAAAACGACGCGGTCTTCAAGGAAATTGTACGCATGCGTCTGATGCGATAGATACAGAAGCAACGAGACCAATCCCATGAATCTCTGAAAGTTTCCAATTTATGAAAATTCGCAATGTATTTCATAAATGTATAGTGGCGACATCCATCGTCAAATACAAGAAGCTTGTTAGAATCTTAATACCGATTGGGAAGGCGGCGGGCAGTGAAATTAAAAAAAAAGGAAACAATACACAGTTAAACTTTCAACAGTGTTCAAGGTCTCTCTCTTAAAAATTATATATTTGGCCTAGTTATGATTTCGCTTTTTTATTCCATCGTTTCAAATTACAACGGCGCGAATGAATTTCACACTTCAAAAACAGTAAATTTGATAAATTTGATTGAAAAAAAACACTAATTTAAAAATGCCCTAGGCATGTCCGCCAGTGTAATCAATACATTAAGATAATGAAGATAATACATAATAAACATGATAAATAAATAAAAACATTAAATTTGATCGATATAACTAAACCAACAAGTACGTTTTAGTTAGTGCAATGAGTGATTTTATAGCAGTTCTTTATGTGCTTCACTTAAATCTCACAAAAAATTACGAACATAAAGTGTACATTTCATTGCACCTACCACTATTCACTCTGCACTACCTTTGGTTGACTGTTAGAGAATGCTTTAGGCATTAAGTCCGCCAATGTAAATTTTACATGAAGTGTAATAAATAAATAAATACATTTTGCTCTAAAGATTAACAAGCAATTTAATTTTTTAATGGATATATATAGCTTTACAGGCGCAGGATCCAGACGATGTTAAATTACCGAACTATGACACATGCTTTTTACGGTAGACAGTGGCTTGGCTCCGCCCCTGGCATTGGTACTGTCCATGACTCACCGTATCAGGGCCGTATGCTCGTCTGCCTACACGGGCAATAAAAAAAAAAGAAACATGATGTGAAAGCCTCAACAGGACGGTAGCGTATAGATAAATAAAAGACATATTCTCACGTTCTTAGCCTCAACACTTCGATTAGCGGCAATGTCCTCTGAGAGCGCTGTCAGTAGAGGCTGTATGGCCCTTATCTCTTCCTTCTCCAGCATTCCGAAGTAGTAGAACGGTCGCGCCATGTGAGATATCATTTCCGGATCAACATAAGCGTTACCGACTATCAAGCCCTGTAAACATAAAAATATCCTTCTGTTATCAAATATATAATAATATATAAATAACTAGCTAGCCCGGCAAACGTTGTTTTGCCATATAAATTATTTCTAGGAAAGATAAATAACCTAGATACCGACTGCAGCGCCATCTGCCGGGCTGATTTGCGAGTCTAAAGTTTAGATTGGATCTGGATGGTTTAGATTCTGAACCATCCAGGATACCACCCAAAGGCATACAAAAAAAATCATTCAAATCAGTCTAGCCGTTTAGGAGGAGCTTAGTGACAAACACACGCACAGAAGAAATATATATATTATTATAAAGATTGGGTCCTACACGGTTACCTAAACCCAGCCTAAGTATTCCCTATACTACGAAAACCTTAGCCTTGTTTTGCTTAGAAGGGTGGACGAGCCACTGCCCACCTGATGTTAGGTGGTTACCAGAGCTCAAAGACATCATCAACGTATGTAAATACCGCCACCCGTTTTGAGAAATGTATTCTAAGTTTAATTTTTTCGGGGGGGTTCACGAGCATAGATCTATATAATTCAGTGTTCACGAGACACCCAACCAGGGAGAGTGAGAGTGTGTGTGTGAGAGAGAAAGAGAGAGAGAGAAATAGAGAGAGAAATAGAGAGAGAGAGAGAGAGAGAGAGAGAGAAAGAGAAAGAGAGAGAGAGTAGGAGATTGCGTTGACGTGACTCGTCGATACATCACGGCGTTCCAACGGACTATGAAAATCAATCAAAGTACCTATCATGAGGTCCATACGGGCAGATGATTTTATAACCGTCTGGTATCAAGAGGTTACCAAAGCCTATCAACATCCTGGGGTGAGACTTAATGTCGAAGTAGACGTAATGCGGGTTCATGTGTATGTGTTAGTGTGTTCGAATAGGTAATAAGAGCTGTAAAAAATGTTTATCTTAGCATCTTATCGTGCTATTGAATCCAAACAGTCACTGCCTTAATCCTGGAGTTAACTCAACGGTATTCTGTTTGACGTCATTGCTGGTACTTTAATCAAAAAAATAGGTGCTATACCCTCAAGCACCGGTCACCGTCGTCGTTGAACTCATAGATTACAACGAAGAGTTCGGCGAGTAAACTAACCCATAGACACAGCCCACTGAGTTTTTTAGCCGGATCTTCTCAGTGGGTCGCGTTTGGGCCAGTGTTAGCAACATCGTCAGGTTAGAGCTTTGTGAGCTCATCTATTCGTTCGGCTAGGCTGGCATAGCCTTTAAAGGCTACCAGCTTAGCTAAGAAAAAAAATGATAGGGCTAGTGTTGGCAAATTCTCTAAGGGTTGAGCCCGTGAGCACACGGGAAGCTAGAATTTTCATTTTTTTATTTTTTATAGCTTAGATGGGTGGACGAGCTCACATCCCACCTGGTGTTAAGTGGTTACTGGAGCCCATAGACATCTACAACGAAAATGCCGCCACCCACCTTGAGATATGAATTCTAAGGTCTCAGTATAGTTACAAGGATGCCCCACCCTTCAAACCGAAACGTATTACTGCTTCATGGCAGAAATAGGTGGGGCGGTGGTACCTACTCGTGCGGACTCACAAGAGGTCCTACCACCAGTATTACATTGTCTCTTAGGCTACTAACGAATACCTAGGGAAAGAAATAATTGAAGAAAAACAAACTTACCTGAAGATTTATATTGAAATCTGGGTCGTCTTTGTGCCTGTGAAGTTGCATGGCCAAAGCTGGAACGTATTTACCAGCGTACGACTCTCCGGCCACATACAATGGTGCAGTTTGCAATTCCGGATACACTGTCACCAGTTGCTTCACTGTTAAGTACAGGTGGTGACCATACTGAAATTTAAACGTGCTCTGCGTTACTACTTCTTCTGTATTTCAATATTTCTTACCCATGACCAATACCGTCTTTACCATAAGGGCACACGGGGCCCGTGCCCAGGGCCCTCATTCTTAGGGGGCCCCGAAGGACCGACAAAATCTCTCACACACTTATTCTCAAAACATTTTTGTCGGGCACATTACACTTTTTTCACAAATCCATAATCTTATCAGAAGGTATTTTCAAGGCATATACTACGCCATTACATCGATGACTGCGCCTATTCCTACTGTACTAAATAATAATATTTCCGAACGCATCCTACCTAATTTACTAAGTACACCATCTAGCGATCACGATAAAGGTTTGCGCTATCGTAATCGTAACCAGAAAACCAGCAGCATTCTAATATCATTAATGACATATTATATCATACTGTATTTGATTACCTATAATAAATGGTCATAATCAGTAAAAAAATTATTTTTTCTTTCCAAAAGGGCCTCAAATTTTTATGTGCCAAGGGCCTAATTTAAGACGTCCCTGCCCATGACCGAAAAATATATTTATTTTGTAAATGATTTTCTTTAAGACAATCAGCGAGAAGAGAATGGCAACAAATAAAAATAACAATACGGTAGTATATAGAGTAACATTATTTAAAAATCAAGTATCTACATACATTATGTATGTTTGTTGATTTTGCACGTCAATTTCACCGACTAAAGGCGTCCGATTAACTTCAAAATATGCATACGTATCAACGAACGATAACAATATATTAATTTTATAACTTCGCTGTAATATTTCTCCTGACCAGTATCAATGGGAAAAAAAGCATGAAATTAATATTCGTTCGGTTTGTTATTTAAAGGTGTCTTTTTTAGGTATGTTTTTGTTTTTAAACTTATGATATTACTAAGTGTAAATAAGGGTAGCGTGTCTTTTATTTTTTTATATTATCTGTAGATGATTTTAATTATTCATTAGGGCCACACAAAACAACTTCAAAATTGACAATTTCACCAATTATACAAAAAAAAAAATTGGTATTTTTGCTGGTGGTAGGACCTCTTGAGAGTCCGCGCGGGTAGGTACCACCACCCTGCCTATTTCTGCCGTGAAGCAGTAATGCGTTTCGGTTTGAAGGTTGGGGCAGTCGTTGTAACTATACTTGAGACTTTAGAACTTATATCTCAAGGTGGGTGACGCATTTACGTTGTAGATGATTATGGGCTCCAATAACCACTTAACACCAGGTGAGCTGTGAGCTTGTCTACCCGTTTAAGCCTGGTGGAGGCCCGGCTGTACGGCGCATTTCGCGTCGCGCAGAGGGCTTTGCAGCTGGCCATCAGAAGAGCCAAGGATCAACACATGGAGGGTCTCTTGGAGACGCTCGATGGGGATCCGTGGGGGCGACCCTATCATATGGTGCGCAATAAAATGCGCCCATGGGCCCCCCCAATCACGGAGCGTCTCCAGCCTCAGCNTCCTCGACCCACGCTGGTTCTGACCCAGCGGGGTATTCCGTAGGATAGACCATTCTAACCGGCGCCATCTAGGCGGGCTCTGGATAGCCTGCCGACCGAGAGGGCTGGTGGTCGTGGCGCCGACGACCGCCGGTCCGGCGTCCCGAGGGGGAGGGTGATGGGAGAGATGTGCTCCGCACTAAACGCTTCACTTTCCCCCCTTTGCCTTTGCATGGGTTCTGTCCCATGCGAGGTTCGGACGCGGGTTGTTGAGCAACAGGAGGTTTTAGTCAGTTCGACTCCGACATGCCCCGCCTTCCATCCCCAGGGGAGGGCGGAAGTCCGGCGATTTCCTCCTGACCAAAAAAAAAAAAAAAAAACCCGTCTAAGCAATAAATAAAAAAGTTTGCTATTTACGCTAGTTTTTTTTTTGTTTTAGTTTACTACATATAAATTTTAAAAAAAACTGCCTTCGTATACATTAAATTATGTGAGTTAGTAAGCCGTTTGTTGAATCTGTCCTTATAAAGAACAAGTTTTTAGTCCGTTCGCTTCTATATATTATTACTTTCCTCTTGCCCAAACGTTCAATGCGAAAAAGTTTTTTGATCCCGTTGTACACACAAAGTGGTACGTAAATTCGATAAATGTAATGCCTCTTAATGTAAGACACGTCTAAAATCCAAATCAATTTAACAAGTAAAATAGTAACCAATAGTAGAGTCATTGTTTAATTTACTTAAAAGGAAGTCACCGGTCAAAAAGAATACTTTTACACTTTCCAACTCTTTTAATCCTAATTTTATATTTAATCATGGTATCAATCAAATTGACTACTCGATTTTTATATTGTATACTTATAATCTAATCACAAATAGAAGAGATCAACAAAAAGTCGTGCTACTTAAATATAATCTCATTTGTCTTCTAAGGAATAAAAAGTAATACACAATATCAGTTCAATAATATTATTTATAATTATTAACTACATTTTATGTTGATTTTTTTTATTACATATTTACAGCCCACCTGGTGTTACCGGAGCCCATAGACATCTACAACATAAATGCCGCCACCCACCTTGAGATATAAGTTCTAAGGTCTCAGTATAGTTACAACGGCTGCCCCGCCCTTCAAACCGAAACCCATTACTGCTTCACGGCAGAAATAGGCAGAGTAGTGGTACCTACTCGTGCGGACTCACAAGAGGTCCTGCCACCTGTAAAAATTGTTGTTAAAAAAATAATTGGCAAAACGTTAAATCCAAAATAGTCCTCTCGACCGGTAGATGTAATTACCTAGCACCCTTAAGGACAGAAACAAAGCTATCTAAATGAAGGAATAACGGTCCACTTATCTTCAACAATAAATCGCTTGAATTGAACTGCGAACTGTAATAGCAGGTTTTTTTTCTAAGATGAAAGAATTCGTTCTGGTACTAGTTCAAACCTCACCAGAGTCGAATACTGGAGCCTGAAGATTTAAATCCAACTAAATTGGCGCAACGATTGTCCTACCATACCCATCATAATTGGACTACAAAGTGATGATGACTGATGTGTTCTAACATTTTAAAGATAAAAGAGAAGACGTTATTTAGGAATATGAAGATACAACTGACGACGGATTATACTTACAGGGAAGTCTTAGCAATAGGTCAGAAGGTCGCGGCCGCGCCTGTGTAATAGCCGGAATAGACTCTATCATTTAGATCTTCCGACACAATTCACATTTAACCTAACATATATTATTATTCGCTTGGCTCTGATAGTTAGTTGTTACACTTAATGTACTGAGCACCCAGTAGTCGATTATAATCGACCTAATTCAATAAATTTTAAGTTTGAATGTCATTGAAGAAGTGCATTTTTCATCTTTCAGATTGATAGAGTCTGGATTAGGCACACCGCAGGGATCAAGTGTATTTATTTATGTATATTTCACGAAATCTCGCGATACGCCGAAAACTGGTCATGCGTAAATAAATAATAATAAAGAACAGTAAGAAGAGTTAATGCTCTGTCTATCTCATAAAAAAAACTTTAACCTAAGATTGAATTTTACATTTCTATTGGACAATAATCATTCAAATAACTCCGAACACTGATTAATGTACATGGCTAATGAACCGATAGGTCATTGTGACCCAGTGATAAATGATAGTGTTTATAACTTTTTTTAACGTATTTTAAGTAACACATATGACCACAAAACTTGGTCTTAAGCGTTTTTCTTTGGAAACTAACATGAATCTCATCATTCACTTCGAAATCATATCAACTCTACGTTTCAATCAGCAATGTAGGTATAATAAATACATTTTCTCTAGCCTCACTTAAAATAAATTTAAGTTCCGTGATCCACACCGAGCTGTAGACCAACCACATTTATTTTGATTTCTATAAAATATTAATTTCCCTCTTTTAATTTTTTATTTTTATTGTTTTTTTTTGTAAGTTTGTATATGCAGTTTTTTGTTTTCTTTGTCTTAATTTAATATTAGTTAACGATATTTTAAGCACAAACGCTCTTAAGCAAGATGTGTTCACACCCAAAAGGGTGAACTCTATAATGTATTATTTTATGTAAATAAGTTCAATGTTTATGTGTGCAGATTTCATCCAGTTGTGTGAAACTAATAAAAAAAAATATTATAAGACAAACAGCCAAGCTCAGAGATTGCTATACGATGAAAACAAGAAAACGAAATGAAATGGCATTACGTAAAAACCGATTATCGTGCGCGACTACATTTGAAAAGAAGTAAACAACTTTGAGGGATCTCGTATTTCGATTTTATGTTATAATATACACATTTTAATCACTTACCGTATCCATATCGTGTACATATCCATCTTCGCTATCAGTAAAACTGAACCCAGTCCCGATGGGGTTGTCGATGAACACCAGCGAGTGATTTTGCAACCACGTGTGGGGGTAAGCTGCAATTTAATGTTCTAAGAGGTCAATAAATACATCGTTATGACGTGCTTATTAATATGAACATGCTTAGCAATTCAATTAAAACAAGGTCACTGACATCCCAAAATATCATTGGACGTAAAATAATTATTTTTGTATTGTTTTAAGCAGTAGGCATCTAGTTTTGTAAAGGTACTCGCCAATGTAGAATTATTTCTTTGTAGATTCTTGATTAAGATTTATAGGCAAAACTATTTAACAATCTATATATATATATAAAAATGAATTGCTGTTCGTTAGTCTCGCTACAACCCGAGAACGGCTGGACCGATTTGGCCAATTTTGGTCTTGAATTATTTGTAGAGATCCAGAGAAGGTTTAAAAGGTTAGATAAATATGAAAATGTTCAGAATTAAATAAAAATAACAATTTTGTTTTTACTTTGATGTCTCCCCCATCGGACGGATTCCTTTTGTTTGCTTTAAGTTTATTTTATACAAAAGTTTAGGTCTTTTATTTATCGATTCAGGCACTACGAAGTCTGCCGGGTCAGCTAGTAAAGAAATAAAATTGGGTGTTGAGTTGGTAACTTCTTACGTGCGTGTACGTAAGTACACCCACGAATTTTATTAAAATCACTAGAGACCTCCTAACAAGGAATTCAATTGAGAAACAAACGAGAAAAGGTTATTATTAATCTATTATGTCTTGTTAATTTTAAATTTAGTATTATATGTGTTCTTGTCTCCAATGCGTTTTCCCGGTGTGTATATTGTAGGCGTAAACAATGACGTCATTATTCAATACATATATATACACATACTAAAATATAGCAAGATCTCTTTCTAAAACGAGTTTTAATTTTTTTTTACTTTAAACCCTTCCGAAAGTACTTTGCTTTTATTTTTGTTAATCAGCTGGGTTCATAGTTCGTTTTTACGAGACATAATCAATCATAGTGATGTACTCATGTAAGGAATTATGTCATTTCCGACATTTCTTCAACCCGACGATGATAAGCCCACAACAACATGATGTTCAAGTTCACATGATATTAGTATTTCAAAATAATAATCTATCTAACTATCTCTATATATAAAAATGAATTGCTGTTCGTTGGTCTCGCTAAAACTCGAGAACGGCTGGACCGATATGGCTAATTTTGGTCTTGAATTATTTGTAGAAGTCCAGAGATAGTTTAAAAGGTAGATAAATATGAAAATGCACGGAATTAAATAAAAATAACAATTTTGTTTTTCCTTTATTGTGTCCCCCGTCGGACCGATTCCGTTTATTTGTTTTAAGTTTATTTTATACAAAAGTTTAGGTCTTTTATTTATCGATTGAGGCTCTACGAAGTCTGCCGGGTCAGCTAGTTAATAATAAATAGTCATTAGTATTTCGAATTAACTAAAATAACTTACGCAATAAATTCCCTTTATGAGTGACCTTGTACGGTCCGATCTCATTGAACAACGACGTGAGACTCGACGCACCAGGTCCTCCTTGCAGCCAGATCACCCACGGTGTCTTTTTCACTGGTTTCTTCACAACAGGGAAGTACCAGAAAAACGAATTCGAATTGTATGTCTTGTTCACCGTGAAGTAACCAGAGTAACTCTCGTATCCAAAGAATAATGACCTGTCCACTCGGCTGTCCTCGCGGGCCTCATTCAGCCTCCCTTCTTCAATATACGGAGTCAAAATCAGTGCCACGCCATTATCGACCTTAGGGGTATCGGTCGCGGGCGTCTCCTCGTCCTGATTCTCATCATTTTTTAATTCTTTCACTTTAGAATCTTCTAAGCTGTTTAGCGATTTCGTTGATTTATCTTTGACCGCTACTTTACAGCAGACGCTGAAAGTGAATCGTTACGTTACGGGAATGCGTTTCTTAGTCAGACTCGAAACACGTGGCCTCCTTTTTTAGCCTTACTACGCAAAATAATATGTATATGATACACCAAACAATGGGTCCTTTGTTCTTATTAATATGATCATTTAAAATTAATTATTCGAATAAAATCTATTGTTAACACCACTATTATTTGTAATTAAAGATACTATTTATTGGTTTTGTGTGAAATGAAACGTAAAAGCTTACATTTTATTTTTAATAGTAAAATAGATGTGGTGAAAGTTCAGAAATAACAAAATCATTAAAAAACAGGCGTGAAATAACCATAATTTTTTCTGTTACGTTTAAGAGTCGCGAAATTAAAGAGAATATTATAATGATTATATAAGTTTAGTTTAAATTAATGATAGCGAATTGCGTTATATTTCTATAACATTGTTAATTACAGCTGATTGCAACGAAGAACACGAGGCGGGGAAACGTCTTGAAAAAATAATCACTTCAGATAGTAAAGAGATGCTATGTATGAAATCGTTTTGTAGATTTTACTAATTAGTACTTCCAATTTTAGCCAATATCATTTCATTCAATAGGTGCCTAAGACTGAATTGTTGAAAAATTTAACAATCAAAGTGGAGCCTGCCGATGCTGTGCTTCGATAAAAATGAAGCTCTTTATAACTTACCTGCATATAAAAACAAACAAAAAACAAGTCAATAATTTCATTTTGGGCACTATTATATTGTTTTTTTTTATTATTATTTTATAACACGAAAACAGCAAGACTACATGTCTTTGAAGAGTCGTGAGTACTGACCGCCGGCCGCTCCGTATTGTCTTTTATATTATCATCGATATGAACTTCTTGAACTATTTATATTTAATCGTGTATTTTTGTCAATGAAAGATTACGTTGTCGAGCACGAACGTTGAAAAACAGATACTGCTAAACGATATTTCATCTTGAAACAATTTTCGATAATTATCGCAGAAGATTGTTAAGAATTCAAAGGTTTTTGCATTTCAATGCAATATTGTAATACCGTTCGTTGCCTGCTCTTTGTGAGATTTCACATACAGATAATTTAAACATTTTATTCGATTCAAAATTTAAAACCTCCGTGGAATTTGGCACATCTGTTTTTGGCGACCGCGATTCGCGCCGGTTTTTTTTTTTTTATAGCTTAAATGGATGGACGAGCTCACAGCCTACCTGGTGTTAAGTGGTTACTGGAGCCCATAGACATCTACAACGTAAATGCGCCACCCACCTCGAGATATAGGTTCTAAGATCTCAGTATAGTTACAACGGCTACTCCACCCTTCGAACCGAAACGCATTACTGCTTCACGGCGGAAATAGGCGGGGTGGTGATACCTACCCGTGCGGACTCCCAAGAGGTCCTACCACCAGTGAAAAACCGATCAAAAAAAAAATGACTATCCTGACAAAGTTCAGAAAACTTTATTTATATTTATGATTTCTAGATTTAGATTTTTTTATCATTCTTAATACGAAAGTCCATTTTCGAGAATTGCTGTAGGTTAAAATATAGTTAGAAATATTTTTGCAGTCACAAAAAATGGTGACAACGTTACGCCGGTCGGTAGATCAACGCTATCAAAAGAGTATCAATCGTTTCAATACTTTAAGAAGAAGAAGAAGAAGAAAGAAGAAAATCTTTATTCGCCAGAAATATAGTTTACAAGATATTGTGGATATAGGACATAGTTTCATATATTTCGCCTGTTTAGGCATGCGAAAATTTAACTTATTTTTATATTAATTATAACACAAAATTTACTAAATCTATCTATTTTTACATTCTATCACTTCTTATTCTAATATTTTATTATGTACAACATTTATCATTTAAAAATTCTTGCACACTATAATAAGCCTTATCTATTAGCTATAAATATAATTTTCTTTTAAATTGAGTTAGTGGAAGATCTCTTATGCTGTTTGGTATCTTATTAAATATTTTTGGTCATCTATAACTATCTAATTCTGGAATATCAATTAACACCCTTTTATTGGCTTGGTATTTATATGTATTTGTATGAATGTAACGAAGTCTTTGAACATCATTTTCACTGACTCCAAGACGTCGTACAATTAACTCAAAAATTATCACACGCATCAAGGTTAGTTGACATTATAATAACTAGATAATGACCGAGCTTTTCTCTGGGTTTTTTTTTTGTTGTTGTTGATATATGTATTGTGTTTTTTAGAAATTATATTTAAATACGTATTACATATTGATAAAATGATGAAATATGAATAATATTTTTCGATATTAACGACAGAATAATAAAAATATGAACTGGTTATTTAAAGAAAAAAATCAAAATTATCGATAAAGTTGATTATTGAAAACACGAATAAAACAATATTTTCTGAAAATAAATCGTAGATAAATTGATTTATCGCCCCCGAAATCCCCTGTATACTAAATTTTATGAAAATCGTTGGAGCCGTTTCCGATATTCAAGTTATATATAATAAATATATATACAATAAATGCTCGTTTAAAGGTATTTAAAGGTATAAGATTTTATAACTTCGCTCTATTAGTATCAACAGCATGGAGAAAAGATGAAATTAAGCTTTAGTTCGGTTTCCTGTTTAAGCATGTTTCTTTTAGTTTAAAAACAAGATATTTTGTAAAAAAAAAACAGCTATGTTTAAATGCATTAAATTATGTGAGTTAGTAGGCCGTTTATTGCGTCTGTCCTTTTAAAGAACAACTTTGTGGTTCGTTCGCTTATTAATTTCATCACTTCCCTCTGACTAAAACATCCAATAGTTTAATATAAAATAGCTTTATTCAATATGAAAAATATCATTCCAGTGTGTGTGTCTGATCGTGACGTAGGTACAACCATAACTTCAAGATGATACTGATTTTTCTTAGCACTCGGTGAAAATACTGATCTTGTATCTATATACATATACATATACTTTAACCTTTACCTAAACCACTACACTTGAAATTGCTCGATCATTGCCATAACGTGTACCATTTAAGAGCTGCACAAAAAGATGGTCTCCATGCAATTTGGTAGATTGGTGGTTTTTACTGGTGGTAGGACCTCTTGTGAGTAGGCACGGGTAGGTACCACCACCCCGCCTATTTCTGCCGTGAAACAGTAATGCGTTTCGGTCTGAAGGGTGGGGTAGCCGTTGTAACTATACTGAGACCTTAGAACTTATATCTTAATGTGCGTGGCGCATTTACATTGTAGATGTCTATGGGCTCCAGTAACCACTTAACACCAGGTGGACTGTGAGCTCGTTCACCCACCAAGGCAATAAAAAATAAATAAATAAAAAACTGCAGTCTGGATGTTGCCCCAGCGCTGTTGATGTCAATAATCGCCGGAGAGCACTCACCATGAGGTGGCCATATACTTCTCCGCCCAGAAAGGTTTTAATTATTTATTTATAACTGGATTCTTGCCAAAGTTCTCCAATTGGTTAACTACTGATTTAACTGATTTGAGCATTCGTATTTATTGTACAAATATTAGGTCAAGATAGGAATTACGAGCAGAAGAGGACGTTAAGTAAAAAAATATGTTGAGGGTATTAATTATTAGTAGTTAGGAGGACATTAGGGAAAAAAATATATTACATATTACATTTTTATTCTGTTAAATACCTGAACGAACTTTTCTTATTCCATAAGTGGGTTAGCGAACTCAGAGCTCATCCGGTTTTAGCCGATTACCTGAGCCCGGAGAAAACGCAACGTGAATTCCGAGACCTGTCTCGAGTTATGAGTTCTTATTCCCAAATGCCTTATATGCTAAACCGGAGCTAATGTCACACTTCGCCACAGAAATGGGCGGGTGCTGGTACCTACTTTTGCGGAGTAACAATTCACCGTACGACCCAGTGATTACGGAAATTAATAAATCTTCCGTGTTATATTTTTATTGCTGCCATTTCTTTACCGTGAAGACCGATTGCCGTATTTTCTTAGAAAATTGAAGGGAGGTGAAGGAAAATTAAATAGTCTACGATGTTTTCAATTCAATCTCAATATATTGATTTTTTAAATATTTTTTATTTATTTTATTGCTTTGATGGATGGACGAGCTCACAGCCCACCTGGTGTTGAGTGGTTACTGGAGCCCATAGACATAGACAACGTAAATGCGCCACCCACCTTGAGATATAAGTTCTAAGATCTCAGTATAGTTACAACAGCTGCCCCACCCTTCAAACCGAAACGCATTACTGCTTCACGGCGGAAATAGGCGGGGTGGTGGTACCTACCCGTGCGGACTCCCAAGAGGTCCTACCACCAGTGAAATAGATAATATAATATATTAATTTTGTAGATATAGTATTATACTAATTCGATTTAATTTTATACCTAAACTAGCGACCCGCCCTCGCTTCGCTTCGGAAACATTAAAACACAAATGAAACCAAAAAAACAAAATAATTTTTTTTTTTTAAAAAGTAGCCTATGTTCATCAGGGACAATGTCGGCTTCTAATGGAAAAAGATTTTTTCAAATCGGTCCAGTAGTTTCGGAGCCTATTCGAAACAAACAAACAAACAAATCTTTCCTCTTTATAATATTAGTATAGATAGTATAGATAAATCATGATACAATAATACATATCAAGTGTTCCTACGTATATACAACGTAACGAAAATGTATTCTTTTTTGATATATTATGCTTAGATAGTGCTAATAGAATTTAACAAATTTAAAATTAACGACTCTAAGTAATATTTTGAATACTATGTTAGTTATTCCTGCAATGTATTAAATGATGTAGTTTAATTGAAATATTTCAATACGAAAATTTTCAATACATATTGTTATTATTTTTCAAGAAGTTATTTTTCTAACAACTGTGAATGCTCATGACTTGGCTTAAGGCTTGCCACAGGATAATATAGGTAGTATTTCGGATTCTCAATTAGAAAGTACGAGCTTACGGTCTCAGCCCGACTTCTTTGGGGGTATGGCGTATTATAAGGAGTATGACACGGGAAACCGTTGTACGTTATTATCGAGAACTTGAGCTTATATCTGTATCATTACCGGAGCCCATTAAAAAATACCAATATATGTCACTCACTGACTTTATTGTCTGAAGTCTCTTAAGAAATCTCTAGATCATTTAGTAAGACCGGTACCCGAGGATACCTCAAATGGATCTGTGTACTGAATTCCCTAATTCTTTGTTTCTTAATATCAATTTAACAGTGCTTGGAGATAAGCACCTTGCTATTTAATTTAAAATACTTAAATAATACCAGTCTTAATAACTAAATTGGAGAAATGGAAATAATGTTAATTACAAAAATCCCGTTATATTGTATTATATCACCAACAGTTACATAAAGAAAATAGTTCTATTTTTATTTTTTGTAATTAATCTTAATGCAAAATCTTTGATTAAATATACAATTATTTACAAGGATTAAATACTCATCCTATTATTCATCAAAAGGTCTCGTATGTGCCCCATCACTTCTGTGAGTTTAGTTACTTCGGTTGCGATGGTTTGTATTGAATCGCCTATCCTCTTTACGGTTTGCAATTTATCCACTTCTATGCGTAAAAATTCGGCAGCTTCGTCTTCAACTTCTGTAACAATAATTATATAAAATTACTTCCTGTCTATAATCCTATCATTTATAGGATTAGTTGATTCGTGAGAAGTAACCGCAGTAGATGAGACATGACCACATGAGTGCTTTTAAAAGTAAATAATGGGGTGCTTTTCAGGATATTATCAAAATAGCCCTTCTACTCATATTTGTTCATAAAATATTTATAGCTACTGATACCATGCACCCCACGCTTGTTTTACAATAATTTATTCATCAAATAAAATCATTTATTCTTACACTATTTTAAATTCAAATTTATTAAAAAAAAAATCTATTTTTTAGTTGGATTTTCTATAAAATCTTATTTATTTAGTTTAGTTTTTTATAATTTAGTTTTTTAAACTATTAATAATATATTTAATTTTTTAGTTGAATCAGAAAGGGGAATGCCCATTTTAGGCCCAAAGCGGACAATAGATTAGAGAAAAAATACTTAGTGCATTAATTTTGTCATAAATAAATATGCATTTACTTTCTTCCAAATAAGCGCCACTACAGTTTAAAATAAGTAGTTTAAAAAAAGTAACTCCATTGAAAAAACAAGGTTTTTGATGTTTGCGGGAAAAATATTGCCAACATCAAAACTTTTTACGTATTAAGTAAACATTTTAAGTATATAAATAAAACATATAAATAAATCATTTTAAGTATTATCATTAATCAATCGATTTCAATGGATTATAAGCACATAAAATAACATCAAGGACATACCCATTGGGCTTTAACTAGTAACTATACTTGAGACGTTAGAACTTATATCTCAAGGTGGGTGGCTCATTTACGTTGTAGATATCTGTGGGCTCCAGTAACCACTTAACACCAGGGTGGCTGTGAGCTCGTCCACCCATATAAGCAATAAAAAAAACTTTACTAGTATTGTTATTTAAATATGTACAACTAAAACAAAAGCATAAAAAATAATGTGTACTCGTAAAAAAAGATTACGAAATAAATCAATTATCGGTTATTTAAAAAAAATATCGATATATGAATTTCATGTAATTATTTTTCTTTATACTGACAACACTGAATTTAATTTGACTGACTGACACTTCGCTTGCTGCTTGTGGTGTTGTGCTTGCGTTCAAAATGTGTTTTGATTTTTCTTCAATTTATTTTACTTTTATCAATAACGTTTCATACTACGACTGAAAAACATTGTTTGAATTGTGGTTTTAACCTGACCGAGATTTAACACCGTGTATATGCTCTCCTGTGCTATTTTTAGATGATTTACTAATTGTGTATGAAGATGAAGAAAATATAGATATTTAAAGAAGTATGTGTGTTTTTTATACCCTAATAACTACAATTGGATAAAAATACATTAGGAACATCTTAAACATTAAAAAAAGAAAAGTTCTTGAAGTATTAATATAGAAAATTAACCTCAAAACGAGTTTTTATTTTTCAAGTCAATTTCAATATATTTTTTAGATATCTAATACATTTAAGAATTTGAATCAGTCCATTTTTATAGTAATATTTGATGTCCACCTTGGGCCTAGCACACTATGGAGAGTGGGCATTCCCCTTTTTCACTTTTTTTTTAAGTTTTTTAAATATTTAATTGTCATCGATCCCTAATAAGTATACCAAATTTCGAGTTAATCCGACGTTTTGAAGGGGGTCAAAATCATGTTCAAAAATTCCGTTCCAAACATACATACGTCTGAAGCTAATAAAAACGTATTAAAATATATTTCAACGTTAAAATGGAAGTTCAACTATAATTACAGTGCTACTTTTTTTGTTGCCTTTGAAGGAAGACGAAGCACATAGCTCTTCTAGCTGGCTCTGAGTGCTGAGTGACCAGTGATGAGAAAACGTTAGTAAGGCCACATTCTAGTTAGCCAAGCCACTGCCTGCTGAAGACACTTCTCAAACCGCCTGTGATAAAGCATAAATAACATGTAATAGACGTAAAGTAAATCGAGAGTTTCATTCCCTATACGGACGGCACGTGTTATATAAGGTCATTAAAACACACACTGGACGAAGTTTTTCCAATGTTCCACTTGTGTGTAAAAAGGAGATTGAGTGATCATCTCAAATAATTCTACAGAACACTCCTCATGGACCATACGGTAGAAAACAAAGTGCACTAAAGTCCAGACAGAGATTCCAAAAGAACTGTTAATTGAGGGCTGTAAATCCGAAAGTTCTATTCTGTATGGAGTTACAATATTGTAATTGATACATAGGAGTGGCAGCCCAGAGATGAAGCCCAAGCTTGTGCTTTGTAAATAATGAGTCGTGGTCCAGGTGTGAGGTACTGCTACATTTTATTATGTATTGTTGTATTGAATTGTAACATATAGCGGGAGGCACGAAAGATTGTTTAGATATTTGAAAATAAAATTACAATCGTGAACCGCATATGGAATAAGCCCGTAAATACTACAACTCTGTTGAGGACTTCCGACAATTTATACCTTAGGATATTGACCTCATTTAACCATGGTTCATGATCTTTATTTTTTTATAGCTGCGCGAACAATATCACAATCGAACTAGTTGTAAATGGTTACTTGAGTCCATTTATATTGTGATTGCCATCCATATTGAGATTCAACTGAGGTTGAACTATCTAAATATTCTTACATAAAGTCGAAATACCGCACACTCATCACGAAATCCTGAAACTATTCGTGAGAGAGACTTTAAATTTGGCCTACATAAAAATTATTGCAACGAAGCGCACACAAAAAAATGAATATCACCTAAATCCTATCCACATTTTATTTTTTCTATACTTTAGCATTCTTATGCCGGTCACTCACCTGCGCGCAAATATTCGTACATTGTACGAATGTTTGCGCGCATATGAAAGGGCCGTCATATATTCATTCGCAAACTTAGCGGCTGTGCAAATGGGTTCGGTACTCAATTTGCGAACCCGTTTGCGCTTCCTCCCACACTTGTTTACGAATGTCTTACGAATTTCTCTTCTTTTTTAATTCACCAATAGAACATTGAAGAGAAAGGGAGTTTTTAATTCTTTCCCAGGCGTCCCTTGGCCGTTAACCATTCTGTTTTTATGGGATTTCTTTTGAGGGTCCCATATGGTCGATTCATTTTACAGGAGTTCAATGAACTCCATCACCTTAGTGTTGTTCCAATCCATGATTAAGGTACGCTACACAGTAGACGTCACGAATTATGAAAATTGCGAAACGTCCGTTACCTTCGCAATCGTGGGCGCAACTGGTCACACGAATGTGTGGGAGACTACACGAATAATCGCGGTTCGCGTGCTTTGATGTCCGTTGAAAAACCGACACAGCTTGGAAAACCACGCATGCAGCGAAAACTTTGCATAATCATTTGCAAATGTCGTCCTACACTTGCGGGTTTGCGTATTCGTGCGAATGTGAGTGACCGGTATTAGTAGCAATGGGTGTGCATTGAAATAGTTGCCATGGTAACCGTCGTTGTTAACCACAACTCTTGTTTCCAAGAAAACATAACGCTTTCATTAGTTCTGAGAAATTTAAAACGATTAAAACCATCAGTCACTTCTAGCATTGTACATAATAATATAAAGGCTTTGCCGCCGATGATTGGTGTATAAGCAGAAATGTAATAGATATGATCGTGCGGTCTAAGCTGCGATCTAAAACGCCCTATTTGCCTTATGGTAATAAGCGCAATAAAAATAACTACCAGATGTACACCCAAAAATTGACAAAAAAAAATTGGACCGAAAATATTAAAGAAGAATAAGAAATAAAATAAAAAGGCTTTTTAAATATAATAGAAATATGAACTCGTGTGGGGAGACCTTTCCAAGAAACGTCCCAAAACGACCTCTTTCGTTGAAAAATCACTTGAAACTTACCTTAAAATAAAAGTGAAAATAAATAAATAAAAAACTACCTGAATCTTCAATGTGGGCATTACTAGTATTGCGTTTTTTCTGAATTGGACTGGAACATCCGCTTCTATCTAAATCCGAACCTTCTTTTGACGAATACCGTTTATGCAATTTTAGAGTCTCTTGAGGTGTTACTGTAATCCACAGATGTTATTTTAAGTATATTAACCGATGAGTTCATCAATCATGTTTTATCAGAAAGATATTAAAATACATTTAAATGTTATTTCATGTCTCGACTTGTTGGCCGCTATTAGGCTGGGTTACCAATTCTAATTTTCGCACAAAATATTTAATATTATTCTCGTAATGCGTTTCGGTTTGAAGGGTGGGGCAGCCGTTGTAACTATACTGAGAACTTAGAACTTGAATCTCAATGTGGGTGGAGCATTTACCTTGTACCACTTAACATCAGGTGGGCTGTGAGCTCGTCCACCCAGCAATAAAAAAAGAAAAGAAACAATAATAATTCACCATCTAAACTTAAACAATTATTATATTAACTTCGCATTTATCGAAACAGCGGGTATATAAGACCGTGTTCTTGTATCTCACCTAATTTTAATTGTGATAGATAGAATGCAGTGCAAAAAAAGATAAGTTTTTTTTATTGCCCTTGGAGGCAGACGAGCATACGGCCCACCTGATGGTGAGTGGTTACCGCGCCCTTGGACTTCAGCAATGCCAGGGGCAGAGCCAAGCCGCTGCCTACCGCTTAGTACTCTCCACAAGCCTCGTTTAAAGAAGGACATGTCATAGCGCTCGGGAAACACTATGGAGGGGAGCTCATTCCATAGCCGGATGGTACGTGGCAAAACAAAGTAAAATATATTTTTAAATTAATATATTCGATTCTGAATCATAGAACACTAGTACCCGTGTTTGGTTTCGAAAACTGTTCAGACTTTGTCTATCTCAAATTGACTCGGTCATCGTTCTCGTCGAAACCGTCGCACGCGACGAAGGGCTCGGCGAGTAAATTAACCCACAAACACAGTCCACTGAGCCGGATCTTCTCAGTGGGTCGCGTTTCCGATTTGGTGGTAGATGCTGCGAAGCACTGCTCTTCCTAAAGCTAGGGTTAGCAGCTCGTCAGGTTTGAGCCCCGTGAGCTCACCTACTTGTTAGGGTTACGCTGAAATGACCTCTCATGGCCATCAGCTTAGGTAGGAAAAAAAATCAAATTGACTTGATATAAATTGAGTACTTTTAATGCTTTTCTTACCTTGGTACTGATTATCGGCATCATTTTCAGTATCAGCATCAACATTGTTATCCTGTAACCCAAAAATTTGTATTTTTTCTTATTAAATTCGTTCAATTGTTATAAGAATATTTTTTATTGACTTTGTAAGGAGACGAGCTTACAGCCCACCTGATTGTAAGTGGATATTCCACACGGACGTCAGCAATTCCAGAAGTATATCAATTGGTTTCTTGAGACTTTAATCAATTGAGATTAAATTAAAAGAAACGAGATGAGATGGAATCAAATAGTCTCAGTAAAATGATGCTTATTTACTGAGACTTTTTCCGTGGAGTTTTTGGAAGAACGCGAGAAGATACGTCTACCGGCTTTGTTTCATTTTCTCACATTTGTGCACTCAAACACATGCTGAACAGTTAATAAAACAACGCTGTCACACATTTAAGCCTGGAGATACACTAAATTCACTAACAGTAGGGGTACATATGGTGAGTGCTTCTATCTTGCTATTATCTGCAATGATGCCATCGTGTCTTATTTTTTTTATTGCTGTAAATGATTAAAGCTCCCGGTCACCTTGTATTGAGTGGCTATAAGCGTCCATAGGCAACCAGGAAGTGAACCTCCTATGTTGTAACTCGTGTTTGAAGTCTCAATTCAATATCAAATCCCGCCCGTGCGTAGCTGATATAGCCCCTAGACTACCAGCCGATACGTAGGGAGAAAAATATCGACTTTTCCGTCCTTTATACCAGAACGAATCTGCTCCGTGGCCGAAATAAACAGGGAGGTTTCTATTTTTTTTTATTGCTTATTTTTGTGGACGAGCTCACAGCCCAGCTGGTGTTAAGTAACTGGAGCCCATAGACACCTACAACATAAATGCGCCACCCACCTTGATATATAAGGTCTAAGGTCTCAGTATAATTACAACAGGTACCCTTCAAACCGAAACGCATTACTGCTTCAAGGCAGAAATAGGCAGGGTGGTGGTACCTATCCGTACGGACTCACAAGAGGTCATACCACCAGTAAAATCAGTAACCAGCTTAAATAAACCAGGTTAAATATCGCTCGGTAGCCCGACGGTCCAAAGCTTAGCCTTATCTAGCGTTATACACTCTGCCACCAATAAACCGGTATCATCACCAATAAATAATATTACACACTGAACACTTACTTGAGCAAGTGGATCAGTTTTAATGAATATATCATCAATGCAGCTGTGACCGATGATACTTAGAATTGTCTCTTCGGTTGAAGACAGTTGAGTGAAATCTTCGGGCAACGGTTTTTGGTTGTTCTTGGCAGCTTTTATCTCTAATGCTCTTCTTTTGGCACGGTACTTCCAATCACACCAATACTGGTAAGATAATAATTAATCAATACAGTCACCCCATTCTATGATATTATTTTGCATATGTGCTACTGTTTTCAGATGGGTTTTATCTATACTAATATTATAAAGAGGAAAGATTTATTTGTTTGTTTGTATTGAATAGGCTCCGAAACTACTGAACCGATTTGAAAAATTCTTTCACTGTTTGGAAGCTACACTATTCCTGAGTGACATATTTTTTGAGAAAATTAGGAATCCTTACTAAAACTCCAATAATGTAAACCCAAGGTGTAAAAAAATTACCTAACATATTCTTTACATCGCGTGCCCTGCGAAAACTATTGATGATAGAATAAAATAATGTACTACGACTTTGTAGAACACATTATTATTTACAAAAAGTGTCGCGACAGCATATGTGTAACTATTATAGATATGTCAGAATAAGTGTTCTTTTATCTAAAAAAAATAAAACAACGTCAAATATCGTTGAAATTTTTGTTAAAGACCCGAGCGGAGCCGGAGCGGGCCGCTAGTTCTTAATAATTTCATTAAAGGTACCCTTGACCACCCTTTCCCGTCCTTTACGGCACCGTCTCTGACTGTGTTGAGTTTTTTCGCACATAAATTCCACAATTTCACAGGGCTGAACTTGGTTCGATGCCGCCTCACTTTGCCTTTAGCTAGATCAGGATGCTCTTTGAGGAAATCCAATAGCATCATTAGTTGGTCAGTGCTGACTTGTCGTTTTTTCACGTCTACAAAAATAAAAAATATATATATGGGTGTAATGAAAGTGAATATGTACTTTATATATTTTACATTTTCCATTTTCGATTTGTATTATTCTGGAAATTCTTATCTATACTCAATGTTATTAACTCGTTAATTTGTTTGTTCACATCGTTACTACTAAAACAATCGGAATAAAACTTTGCATACATATTCAGATATTTCAATAAAAAATATATTATTTACAAAGGATACTTATTTCTTTAATATATTAACGCGAGTACAGCCGCATTTAAAAGCTAGCATGCAGTAGTTTTCCAATGCCAACCAACACTTCGAGGGTTTTCTATGAATATCTTAAAGTGAGCAAATGGCACTCAAGTCAAAGTACTTCGCTAGCTTCTTGACATTAGAATTGAAAAATTTATAGTTAATATTCTTTTTTTTGTAGTTTACTGTGGATACATTGTAATAAAGTTCAATGTTTTATTCAGTTTTTCAATATAGAGACGAGCCAATCACAGAAAAATAATAGATTATAAGATACTGTTAAATGAAATCTCAGGCTTTTAAATAATAATAATAGTATATAATATGTATAATATTAAACAACGTCTACAATAAGTTGGTTATCGAAAAAAACTTTTCTCGAACTTTATTGAAGTGTCTATTTAAACAAACGATATTAAATGTAGATAATATATTAAGTATACCATTACCTCTACTCATGGTGAAGATATCAGCACGAAGAAATTTGTTTTAATTTAAAATGAAGTGAAGTACGATTGCAAAGTTCTACGTAAAACAGCACATCGGTATTAATGAAAGCGAATATGCTAATCGCACATACATTTTATTGTTACAATTATTTATATAAATATTGTCTCGAAATCGTCTCGTCGACCAAGAGTTTTATCATCGACGTGCGATATCTGTTTTACCGACAACTGCGGTGGGTTGCGCGAAGCTGCGCGCGCAACATTTGATTTGATTGATTATTTTCCACCTTCCAGCTCTTTCAGCGCTGTAAATACTGTGAATATTTTTATTTTTATTTTTAGACAAAACCCTCGTACTTTAGATTTGATTGACATTAATGGAACGATTTGTCCTAGTAATTTATTTCATCCACAATTTCAATTTCGGTTGTAACAAATATTTACTAAATAACTGAATTAGTAATAGACTAAATAAAAAAAATGTGATAATTAGATATATTCTATCGCATTTATTATGCAGTAAGTACATACCCATATATATAGGAACGAAACAATAATAACCACCGCTTCTAAAGGCGCGAAAAATGTTGCGTATCAATTTCTTCAACAAAAAGCGCTTAAAGGGCTGAATCGTTTACACCCTATGTTCAGTGTGATCGTGGGGATCACAACAAATATTTACTTCCCGCCTAATGTTCATGATAATACGGAAAAATTGTATACTAACTTGATTTTACCGCGAAACTCTGAACTTGTGACCTACTGAAAATAGCTGTATTACAATCATTCGTACTAATAAAACTGACGAGTGTCGCTGCAAAGGTTTCGGATTTCGTTTTTCTTTACATTACTAGAAAACTACACATATTAATAATGGTGATTTATTAAAATTTGTTGAGTGCTCTGTATCGTGCAGGTAGCTTTCAGAATACAACGAAAATGGTTTTTGACGGGCTAAAGCTTATGAAAGGGGTGAGTACTAGTACCCAGTATTATTAATATGTATTGGTAGAGATTAAAAATAATTCCAACAGAAAAAAATAATTTAAGAATATAGGTACAATGTTCATCAACGCTTCACAACGTAAATTTGTTGAATGATTTAGTAGGTTGATTATAGACAACAATATAAAATTAGCTTTTATTTCTATTGTGACCGTGATTTAGGATAGATAGCTGAATCTTTCCTTTTTTTTTCATAAATATATAGTTTTCACAGAATTTTAACAGAACAATGAACAGAATTGTTGAACCGGTTAAACGCGATATTAACTTTGTTTATGTGTATATTACGTTAAATTTAGCCAATGAAACTAAGGAATTAATCTGACAAAATGAAAAAAGATACGTCATAGTAATCTCCGAAGGTCTTTTTGAGACATTAACTCACTTTTAACCCTGTAGTATATTAATTATATTCGAGTATTTTATTATTTTTAAGTAATTATTATTTGTAGTTCTATGTGTACCAGGTACCAGGGTGTATTATGAATATGCATCGGTATGTAAATCCGTTTCGGTTATTTCAGCCTTGAAGTAATATTGCCGTAAGATCGGTTATTGTACTTACTTAAAGTAATATTTAGAATGTGCATGTTCTATTTTGCTTGAAGTCGTCATATCCTAAAGGCACGTCATTTCGGATCCCCCCGACCCACTAACGGTGCTTTTAGGTACCCCAAGCACCGGTCATCGTTGTCATCGAACCGGTCGCTTGCGACGAGGGGCTCGGCGAGTAAATTAACCCACAGACACAGCCCACTGATTTTCTCGCCGGATCTTCTCAGTTTCCGATCCGGTGGTAGATTTCTGCAAAGCACGGCTTTTGCTAGAGTTCGTGATAGCAACATCGTCAGGTTTGAGCCCCGTGAGCTCACCTACGAGTTAAGGTTATGCAGATATGGTCTCTCTAGACCACAGATAAGGTAGGAAAAAAAAACCCTAAAGGATAAAACGCCTGGTGTACATATTATTATAACGAGCGATACGACTACGAAGGTGTTCTAATTCTGCAGAATCATTTTTCCAATATACTCGTTTTATATAATAAATATTAACTACTGGTGGTCCGCGCGGGTAGGTACCACCACCCTGCCTATTTCTGCCGTGAAGCAGTAATGCGTTTCGGTTTGAAGGGTGGGGCAGCCGTTGTAACTATACTGAGATCTTAGAACTTATATCTCAAGGTGGGTGGCGCATTTACGTTGTAGATGTCCATGGGCTCCAGTGACCACTTTACACCAGGTGGGCTGTGAGGTCGTCCACCCATGTAAGCAATAAAAAAAATAAAAACATGTTCGCGAATTCCATTCATTATTAAGGAATAACATCGCGGAATAAAATTCATATCCGCAAAAGTTATAAATTGCGTGATTACCCTAAATTAAGACCTGCCTTCAGGTATCAAGGTAGGTGATAATATTCACGTTTCGATATCTAAAGGCTGGGTGGGTCATTAACTCTACGCTATCTACGCAATACAAAAAACGGATGAAGTGGTACTAGGACCTCAACTCAGAGGAGAAAAGAGACCGCACGAGGCCTAATTTGCTGAGGATACCACAAGTTTGAGCTGACGTGAAGTACAAACTGAAGATATTGGAGTAAAAATTAAAAAAAAAAAAAAATTCAGGAATGCTACTTAGCTAATATCAAAGGTTTTATTTTATTAAAATAAGTTTTTAGTGTTGCTTTCAACTTTTACCTTTCGTAAATCGACAATATACAATAAATTCTCGATGCAGTTTTACCACGGAAAATGTTCAGTAAGAGAGTAGAATTAGACAGACATAAAAATGAAAGAGCCGTAATTTTTTTTTTTTTTTTTTTTTTTTTTTATTGCTTAGATGGGTGGACGAGCTCACAGCCCACCTGGTGTTAAGTGGTTACTGGAGCCCATAGACATCTACAACGTAAATGCGCCATCCACCTTGAGATATAAGTTCTAAGGTCTCAGTATAGTTACAACGGCTACCCCACCCTTCGAACCGAAACGCATTACTGCTTCACGGCGGAAATAAGCGGGGTGGTGGTACCTACCCGTGCGGACTCCCAAGAGGTCCTACCACCAGTGGTTACGCAAATTATAATTTTGCGGGTTTGGTTTTTATTACACGATGTTATTCCTTCACCGTGGAAGTCAATCGTGAACATTTGTTAAGTACGTATTTCATTAGAAAAATTGGTACCCGCCTGCGGGATTCGAACCTCGGTGCATCGCTACATACGAATGCACCGGACGTCTTATCCTTTAGGCCACGACGACTTTGTAAACAGCTTTTGTTATTGCTATAGATGAATGGAGAAGCTCGGCCTGTTTGATAAGCGGTAACCGATATCATGTATTTGGGGAATGCTGAACGACGAAAGGAAGATCTTCCACCGAGCCGGTGATATTGCTCGGTAGACCGACGGTCCGAATGTTGTTGTTCGGAACTTGTATATATGCGCTTTATCTTGAAAATGTTGTAAGCGAGATTCAGGCATCTATCAATTATCTTGCGTTGTATGATGGCTACCCGCCACATCACTCCCCTCCGAGACCGGAGGTCGTGTCATTTAGTTAGCGTTGTCCATGCTGAGATTAGCTTGCAAGTGCCAGTGCTAATCGAAGTCTGCGGTGAGTTGAGACTGAGGATGAACGCTGCGTGAGTGTCGCCAGTGGTGCTCGAAGTTTGCGGTGAGTCGAAACTGAGCTTGAATGCTACGTGAGTGTCGCCAGTGCTGCTCGAAGTGTGCGGTGAGTCGAGACTGAGATTGAATGCTGCGCGTGTATCGTGAGTAATCCATGTGATGCAGAACTGCCACGCCAGAGATGTGTGACCCCAAGCGTTGATGATCCGGTCGTGAGCTGCGATGGATTGTAGTGGCGTGATGAGGCAGTGTAGGTGCGTGCCGTAGGACCAGGAAGCGCGGTGAGTCGGCTGCGATGGTCCTGTTGAGGCTGCAAATGCTGGCTTGCTGTGGGACGACTGTTGATGACTTTGTTTTTATCTGCAAGAATGCGGGAATCGTGGTAGCCGAAGTTCTTGATGCGCTGATGATGTAGGCTGCAGTTGTTCCATCGCAGGTCACCAGTTTGTAGGGATACGACAAAGGGAAGATCTTCCACCGAGCGGGTGATATTGCTCGGTAGACCGACGGTCCGAATCTTGTTGTTCGGAACTTGTATATATGCGCTTTATCTTGAAAATGTCGTAAGCGAGATTCAGGCATCTGTCAATTATCTTGCGTTGTATGATGGCTACCCGCCACAATGTATAAGTATTTCCCCACCCTACAAAACGAAAAGCATGGTTTCTTTGCGACAGTAATACGCGGGATGGTAGTAGGTTCCGGTACCCGCTCACAATTGGCTCCACCCGCAGGAATTAATCAGTATATAAAATAAGTAGTTTTCGCTGGGACAGAATGAACAATGACGCTTCCACGAAGACTAACTCATCCAAATACATCAGCATCAACGGCTTAAACGTTAGACAAACGGCTTAAAAATGACGGTAATCCCCGTAATGATTGAACCATTTGAATTTTTAAGAAATAGTTTGAAATAAACTTGAATATGAAGATGCTTCTTTCCACACCTATGAATTATATAGTACATGAATAAAATAAATTAAATACAGTGTTTGAGGCAGGTAGTAGAAATCAGTCGGAGATATTATGGGAATTATATTATTTATTAATCATATAAATTTATCTTGATTGAAAACAGATTCAGACACATTATTTGTATTTGAGATTTCAAAATAAATAAAAGTAGATGCAGAGTTTCCTAATCCAGGGCATAGATTTTTTTCATTTCTACAACAATAGTCAAATCATAGTTAAAATATCGGAACCATAGACGGTAATAATGTCTATAAATTTCATATGTTGTGCTTCATCATTTGTTGGATAGTTTATTGCATATTTAAACTTTATTCGTGTTGCTATCGTAAAAAAAGTGCGAAGAGTCCTAGAATACTTTTAATTTTTTTTATCGTTGTCTTCAAGATAACACAGCATATTGTTATGCTGCATCGCAATGTAATAAATTATAGATCTCATTTTATCGTATTCTTAATTCTAAAATCTAAAAAATCAGCTAGAATCTATTTGAAATCGATTGAATTTTACGGTATTTAAAGTAATGCTATACGTGCTATTTATAACATGCACTCAAGGGAATCCCTGAGGGAAAAAATTTAAGAAATTAAAGTTCTTACTGTGCCATCCCAGAACATTTTTGAAAATTTGATGTAGGTATGTTCGTAAACATATTGAGGAGTTTCCTAAAAAGTCGGACATACATCATAAAAATATATAGGAACAAACACAAGCTTGTTGTGCCGATGAGTAGGTTACATAAGATACGAAATTCATTCGGGTGTTTGTCTGTGCGCCTGTACAACAAAATCCCACAAGATGTTCAGAACCTACATATACATAGGTTTAAGAAAACTATTGAAGAACATCTGTGTAATAAAGCTTAATATAAAGTCAATGATTATCTAGAAGATTGCACAAAGTGGGAATGAGTTGCTCGCTCCGGGCATTTCAATATTGTAATAATTGTTACTCATTGTAAAAACGAATATTTAAAAAAATATCTAATATTAATTTTTTTTATCTAATATTTCAAAAAAAAGAAAAGACATGCCCGCTGAGTTTCTTGCCAATTCTTCTCAGGACGGAGGCTAGTTTTTGTGAATTGGCGGTAGTTCTTTTGACGTTCAACAAGTACCTATGTACTTTCATTTATGTTGAATAAAAATTTTTTTTTTGATTCGATTTGATTTGATTGAATGGTAAGCAACACAGACGTATCTTGTAGCTATCAAGGCTTATTATCTAATTGTTTTTGCACAGCGTCTATAGGAATTGCTCCGCAATCCATTCATAGGGTTTCCTAGCAAGGTAGCACAAGAAACATCGCGAATCTAGATGACGATGTCGGCACTTTTCAAAAACACTGTACTAAATTTAATTGGTTATCTTAAGCGAAATTTGGAACAAATGGAGAAATTAAAGTATTGCGACATTTTATGAACCGTAAATGAGTTTCCATTTAAATGAAACTAGTTAATTATTGAGAGGTACCTGCCTATTCTACGCAAAAACGGCCCTTCCAGTCGTTTTAGTGGAATTTATTTTTTTCCAATCGACAAACAGCTGTCTCGTTGTGTTGTCCAACCTATAAAAGGTGTGTCGTAAAACAATGGCATTAGCGGATGCCAGAAGAATTGTTTCATTAATATTTATTTATGACTCTACGTACTTATTAGTTAGTGTCATCTCGACCTAACAAACTTATATAGGTCCGAGAGTACGTTGAATGTCTGATCAAATTATTACAAAAAAACACCATTATGTTATTACATATATTATATTCAAAATAATAAATGTAAGCCACATGTAAAGTTTTTTGTTTTTGTACATTTTTGAGCTTAATTGCAGTTAAACAAACAGGTTTAATTTATTTAGTACGTCTTGTTACTGGTAGTAATAGGGCGTCTTGTGAAACCGCACGGGTAGGTACTACCGCCCGGACTATTTCTGAACGTGAAGCAGTAATGCGTTTGGGCTTGAAGGGTGGGGCAGCGGTTGTAATGTATTAACTGAGACATAGAACTCATGTCTCAGGGTGGGTTTTTTTTTATTGCCCTTGTAGGCAGACGAGCATACGGCCCACCCGATGGTGAGTGGTTACCGTCGCCCATGGACTTCAGCAATTCCAGGGGCAGAGCCAAGCCGCTGCCTACCGAAAGCATGCATTGGCATGGCATTAATTACGTTGTTGATGTCTGTGGACTTCGATAACCACTTAACAAAAAAAAAAGAGATTGTATTTGGGGTGCATTGAACGTCCTTACAATGTTTGTTGCACAAACTAAAGCAGTATGCTACTATCAGTAGGGATAATCAATATTGTAAGTTTGAAGGGTTCTTAAATTTTTTTATTAACAATAATCAAATCGCTATCGCACGATGCTCCCTCCATTAATGTGATAAAGCCCTAAGGCTACCAGTTTCTTCGTCCAGTGTATTAAGCAACATCGGTCGGACCGGGCGTGTTTGCACGCGGAAAATTCCGTACTCGAATTTTACCACGACATGTTAATTTTCCCGCGTCTGTTTACGTGCTGCGTAAATATTTAGGTGGCAAAATATGAACAATGAATGTGCGATGTTTTGAAAGAATAAAATGGAGGTAACAGTCGATGTGGTGAGTTTAATTTTGATTGAATGAAACTTGTTGTTTCGTAACGTGATATCCGAAACTAATTGTCTAATGTGTTTTGTTTTTTTTTTCCTTATGAACCTACAATGACATTGTTGAAAACATGTTTTTATGTTAATCGAAAGCTGACTGCCTAGTTTATGACCTACACCACATATTCAGGTCCTCACTTTTGTTAAATTGTTTCCGTGCTCAGAATATTTAACATAAAATTTCAATGTAGCCGCGATGTCCCTGTATTTTTTTGAAATTTAAAATTTTAATTTTAAATTTAATTATTTTCAAGTACATGTCTGGTCATAGTGACTAGCATTAGATGTAAAATAATTTGTAGTTCAATTGCAATTAATATCCTCTACCCATAATTCTAAAGGACGTAATAGTCTTATCATAAAAACCCGATCGTGATAACAAAACCGTGAAGAAGCACAACACAACAAAAAAGAAGGTTTTTCAATAAGATTTTGTAATCTTTAATCCGGTATTCGTGTCAGATCTTATAGTGTCTAAATGATTAGCAATTAGATTAGCCAGATGTCAATTACAGACACGCAAAAAAACGTTTTTCTTCAATGCTCAAAGCTTAATTTGGTGTTTGTGGTTGTTTTTTTTTTAAATCTAAAAGGATTTTTTTTATTGCTTAGGTGGGAGGACGAGCTCGCGGCCCACCCGATGTTAAGTGGTTACCGGAGCCCATAGACAACTACAACGTAAATGCCGCCACCCACCTTAAGGCATGAGTTCTAAGGTTTCAAGTTTAGTAAAACGACTGCCCCACCATTTAAACCGAAAGGCGTTACTGCTTCACTACAGAAATAGGCAGGGCGGTGGTACCTACCCGTGCGGACTCACAAGATGTCCTACCACCAGTAAAGAAGGTAAAATATGTTAGTTAAATGAAAACGATCATCCAAACATTATGTGAAATACTAGCGTTCAGCCTCATTTAGCAAATCTTAAGTAACAATTTGGAAAAACAAGAAGAGTCCGGTTCCCTATTTAAATTAAAAATACAATATAAACAAGAATATAGCATAAGGTTTTGAATAATGTACTCTTAACGAAAGTAGATAAAACTGCGACGCACATGATGTTCCATACTATCATTGTTGTTCCTAGACGCGACAAAGCCAAACCACTACTTACCGCGAAGAACTCTTAAAAATATATTTTAAGGGCGTCTTAGCGCTGCGGAACAACACCCAATATTTTAATAGGTATTTCCTAGAATATCTGTTTAAAGCCTCCGTTTTCTTTTTCTATTTTCTATTTTTTGCAAGTTGTCGTGGCCTAAAGGATAAGACGTCCGGTGCATTCGTGTTGAGCGATTGCACCGGTGTTCGAATTTCAGGCGGGTACCAATGTTTCTAATGAAATACGTACTCAACAAATGTTCTCGATTGACTTCCACGGTGAAGGAATAACATCGTGTAATAAAAATCAAAACCGCAAATTTTTAATATATGTAATTACTGGTGGTAGGACCTCTTGTGAGTCCGCACGGGTAGACACCACCACCCCGCCTATTTCTGCGGTGAAGCAGTTATGCGTTTCGGATTGAAGGGTGGGGCAGCCATTGTAACTATAGGTACTCTATACTTATTTATACTTATTTTTTGACTGATGGATATAAACTTCGCTTTAAACACATCCTTTAACCTTTTGCGGTCCTAAGACTAATGCAATGTAAGACTTTAGGTTAAATACATGTGGATTCTGGATTTCAAAGTGTATAATTCAAAGGGATATTTTCTTAAAATCCTCAACACTGAAGTGTGATGGTTATTTAGATGATTATGGTTTTCGTTCATAACTGTCTTATCCATTTTGATAAAATATACATAGGTCGGTCCCTGCTAATTCATATGACCCGAAATAGATCTTAGTATTCTTAGTCCATCTTCCCTAGTATTTGTAACTTCACGTGGCAGCCAAATGTGAGTTTTACGTAGGTACTTGAACGTTGAAAATCGATTGCGAATTAAAAAAATAAAACGGTTTTAACGTGCAACGAACACTCTGATAGATGACTACATTAATTTGCCGCGCCCTCCTTTAATCACTTTATCAACTTGTGTACCTACTGAATAAACCTATAGAATAATTATCAAAAAAATTGAAAATGCTTCGACTAATTGCTTTTATACTTATTACCTAATTAATAAAATCAGTTTTGGTATAAGTCTACGCGTAAGATTGATGTGTCTGAGGCTTTATGGGTACGACGCACAGTCAGCCATACGGATGGCTCCTTTTTTAAATATTTTAAATACTTTCCTTTAAGTTACTTTGTGTATTCTACCTAACGGTGTGTCCGAAACTGAAAATATGTCCTTCTTCAAATCTAGTTTGAACAGGTTCATCTGGGATAACTAACGATTTCATTGTCCCCTCACATTGTTGATATCCGTGAGCAACAGTGAGCATCTAGAATTGGAAGGGGCCAATACTTCATAGGCGATTGCATTTCAAATAAAAACTGTATTTAAACAAAAATACAGAATTGTTATTACGATGATGTTACTGAATGAATATCAAACAAAGTCTTGCTGTTTTCCTACCAAAAACGGACAATCGTTTCTCGTCGAACCCGTCGCTTGCGACGAAGGGCTCGGCGAGTAAATTAACCCACAGACACAGCCCATCTAGACCATCAACTTAGGTAGGAAAAAAAAAGGAAGGACAGACATTCTCATGGCCTTCTCAATGTTAAATAGTAATAAAGCCCATAGCTATCATAACGGGAACGCTCTTTAGCTCCTTAACGAATAATGTTGAAGTCTCAACTGTATTATGAGAATAACTGTGTGCTTAGTGCGAGTTTTCTAACGTTCTCGAAAGCGTAAAAGTTAGCTCATATTTGAATGGAATGGGTTCGTTTGCCTACGTTTATCTACGGTTATCGAGAACGTTAAAGAACTCGCACTAAGCACACTGTTCTACACCAAATGGAAATTAGGACAGCTTCACATTAAAGACGGGTGCAATGCATGTTATTACTTCTCAAACGTTCGAGTCCTTCGTCAACAGCTGACTTGAATTATGTGTTTATTTGAAAGTATTTCAAACTTGCTCCAGAATTTGAACCATGGTACAGTCGCTTGCGCCCTTTTCAGCTAATAAAGCTGTGACTTTAAACTTACTCTCAGAGTATGATACGTCCTACCACCAGTGATTACGCTGATTATAGTTTTGCGGGTTTGTTTTTATAACACGATGTTATTCCTTCGCTGTGAACGTCAATCGTGAACATTCGTTAAGTACGTATTTCATTAAGAAGTTTTGTACCAGCCTGTGGGATTAGAACACCGTTAGGTCGCTTGATACGTATGCACCAGGCGTCTTATCCTTTAGACCACGACTACTTCAAAGACTAACTTGGTTAACATAAAAAAAACTGTTATTAAAATTGTTATTTGGGCTTACGTTCTCGTATATTCGAGACGTTAACAAAACGTGAAACGCGTCGTCATTAGTCCGTCGATTCTCATCAAGTTTAACTTTAAAATTCGAGTACCAGCTAGGTGCCTTCGATGTCAATGAAGCGAGGTCGCCATTAGCCGCCACGTCTCTGTGATTTGAATACGAAAGCGTCCTTAAGTGCTTTCGAACGGTCGTAAACAATAATTGTTATGAGCGTCGAACAATATGCATTGGACGAAATAAAATTACTCGTGAAACGAACCAAGGTTGAATGACTACCTGTAACCGCGGTGTACCGGCGTTTTTAATATGACAATCAAACTAATTGACTTACTCGGTAGTGGAGTAGTTAGCGCTCCTAATTGTTAGGCTGTGGTTAACGGATCCGACTCGATGAACAAGTGAGTCGTCTATTATCAAAGGTGGCAATCTGTGCATTTGGACAAAAAAGTTTTATTGATATGTCAATACAGATTTATTTGAATATAATCGTCTCCTTCAAAGAATACGGTTCAAAACCTGCATTAAATAAAGGTTAATAGTTAACCTGTTATTTATCTAAGATGTCGTTCCGAAGAGTTTTGTGACTGCCAATGGAATACAAAGTCAATAATTCGTTTTTCTGATTTACCAATCATTGTCCAAAAGTCAGATTGCCGCCTTTGATAATAGTCGACTCAAGTATATCAGTCTCAGATTCCCATAGTACAGGGAAGGGAAGAGAGTAATTTAGGGCTAAGTGACCGTATGTGACTTGACCCCGGTTATTATTATTCTTAATTCTAAAAAAAACAAACTATTTGCTGTTCGTGAATTTGAAGGATGCCGTATTGTAGCGTTAGAGAATTTATGTTGGGTCTGCTTATTTGCAGACTGAAATATCTGTGACTGAAATACTTGCCATCTCAACTTCGGCGATGAAGTAATAACATCGGGGAATAAAAATCAAACCCAGGGAAATTTATATATTTCCTTAATTCACCTTTATCTAAAATTCTAAAAAATCTAATCTAAAATTATTAATCCCTGCCTATTTTATTGGCAAAACAGTAATTCGTTCCGGCTTGCAAGACGGGACAGCTGAGATGCCGGCTGATAATAATATGTCTATGGGCCCCAGTAATTACTTAACTTCAAACAGGCTGTGACTTGAATCGACTAAAATCTGAGTCTTCTTCTTGCCCTAATCCCACATTATGTGGAGTCGGTGTAACATATCTTCTCATCAAGCTGTATGCAGGGATTTGCCATCAGTTTTACCACCGGTCTTCTGCCTGGTGTCAACCCTCCTAGTCAAGTCTAGTTCTAGAAGGCCAAGAAGAAGCTCTAGAATTGACAAGTAGTAAAAATTATTATAGGCACCTTATCTATCATCTGTCTCACCTCTTCCGCCTCAAGCCAAATGTCTAATCTCGAAGAAATCAGAAGACTTTTTAATTATATCACATTAAATACACTAAAAGGTTTACACAAAATAAATTATGCAGTAATATGTATCGTAATACAAACGACACGAAATCTATATAGGATTAGTAAATACATCATAAGGAGTGGACAACGTTTATGAGTTATGACTTTATGGCATTGGACGAATAGCTCGTAAACTTTCGTCACGATGGTCTTTCAAGTGTCGCCCAGAAAATTAGGATGGATTGATAGTCCGATTTAACAACTAGGCGTAATAACAATGCCAATACCTATATATTTAATATTGTGTGTGTTTTATGGAGACATTAAACGTGTCATTCGTTTGGTAATACTAAAACTTTGGAACGTAGTTTTGCCTTTGTGAAGTATTTTATCATGTACATATGTAGGTAATATGCATTAATGGCGTGTCATCAAAGACACACTTCGTAGTAATATCGCAAAATGGTACATGAAATATTAACTATCTATTGAATGTACTCATCGTACATTGATGGTACTGAACTAAAAAGTACTCACAAGTTTCAGTGTACAAAGTATCAATATGGATAAACGACCCACTGAGTTTCTCGCCGGATCTTCTCAATGGGTCGCATTTCCGATCCTGTGGTAGATTCTGCGAAGCACTACTCTTGCTAGGGGTAGTGTTAGTAACGTCATCTGGTTAGAGCCCCGTGAGCTCACCTACTCGCTCAGTGAATTTAATATCACCCCTCGAGGTCACTACAACAACGCATATATCACTTACAAACAAAGCTACAAATATTATTTTAAATATTATTTTGAAATTATATATATAGTGAAAAATATATATATGATTTTGCATTTTTTGGTCAAGCTAAGACTGAACCAATTAGAAAGTGGCCTTCAATAATAACTATATTAAGGTATTGGACCAACCAAATGTTAATCATTTTTTTATGTAATGTCATTAAATTTCTTCGACAAACAGTTAACACATTAAACTGATTTTAAAGCACGCGTTGCGGCTTAAGCAGCCTTGTAGTCTGATTTATATATTTTTTTTATAAATTACACCAATATTACGAACATCGGTTCATAATGTTATAACTGAACACAATACTGCGAGCACATGTTTAGCCCTTGTAAAGGTCGGCAACTCCAATGTCTTTCAAAACCTTCAATAACATTGTTATATTATTAATTTAATATACTATAAAACATTTTATATACTTTTAATAAACATTAAGGATGTCAAATTTGCATTTACAGCACACAGTTCATCCTTCAACATCAGACCGTGATGTTAAATTTGGAACTAAGACCCCATTGGCCCGTGGGCCGTATGGTTCTTGGTGTACGCCAGAGACCTCGCCCATTCATCACCCGTAAGTTTAATCAATGAAATTTATTATAAAAGGTTTCCTTTTTTCAGAACTTTCAATCTCAACAGTTATATAAGCCTTTTAAGTAAAAATAAGGTACATTATTATTCAAATCTCGTCAAAATAAAATTAATTTGCTTTTATCGCATTCTTCAGAGAGACGGCGGTAAATTGCATGCCCGCTTAATGTAATCGTTAATCCGACTTTAAAATATTTTAAAGTTTCCGCGAACGCGGTTTAAAACCTACCAACAATAATCTTCAAGAAATTAAGCAATAAATTTTTCTCTGAATAATTCTAAAAGAACTTGCTTTTGTTAGGGCGTATTGGACGCTCGCATGCATTTTAATTTAAAGGGTGATATACTTGAGTTTGTGGCTTCATGTCTCAAGATGCGTGACGGCATCCACTTTGTAATGTCTGCAGGAGCTAACACCAGGTTCACCCATCCCTACCCACTCTTTCCCTCGAAATCCAGACTCCGCCCAGGCTTAGAACCCGGCCAGAGTAAAGGGTTCCTGCGGTCATCACTACAACCAGACTCGCAGCGTCCCCCGAGGATGCCTGACCAACGGGTCATCGAGGCGATCATCGACAACCAACGACGCCGGTCTCTGCGGTACGGTAACCAGCCCGGGCGGTGCTGCTGGTGTTTGAGATATTTCACTGGATTGAAACCAGTCTGCCGGGTCGGAACGTGACATAACGCGGGGGACTCCCCCACCAAAACATATTTTTTTTAAAATTTAATTGCAGCAAAGTCAAGTATTAAAGCGTATCTATTTTGTTTGAAGGTTGACGCAAACAAACTCGAACATCGAAACGAAAACTCAGCTTCAAGATCAGAAACGGTTTCTAGAAGCAAACAGGTAAAATCGCACATTGATATTTAAATAAGTCCCTAATAACATTCATAAAACGGACCTTTATAATACAAAAAAAATGTTTTCAGTACTGTCTTCCCGCTGCAGAAAGTCAGGCTTTTCTCTACAAGCCCTCCTCCGGACTATATTTCGAGCATTGAAGATAAAAAGGCCATAACTGAACTCAAAGAGCTAAAAAAAAACTACATCACCAAAACAACTTCTGGTGATAAGTAAGTTCGGTTATTTTAATCAAACATTTCCAGTGGCCGTCTTACGTAAAGATAATTTCATGAATTATTGAATTGTTTTCAAGACCACCGCCTATTCAAGAGGAACCGGATTGCGAACCGGAGTATCCGCAGAGTCCTATACCGGCCTCCCCGACGCGGTACACGAAATGCAAGGGATTCCTTCTATCCACATTTTGCGATCCGTACATGCCAATCGATCCTCAAGGTAATTAAGAATTTACTGAAACCAAATTAACTGATGAATACTTCCAATTTTTATTTATTTATTGCTTAGATGAGTGAACGAGCTCACAGCCCACCTGGTGTTAAGTGGTTACTGGAGTCCATAGTCCCACCTTAAGATATAAGTTCTAAAGTATCAGTATGGTTACAACGGCTGCCCCACCCTTCAAACCGAAACGCATTACTGCTTCACGGGTGGCAGGGTGGTGGTACCTACCCGTGCGGACTTAGAAGAGGTCCTACCACCAGTAATTACGCAAATTATAATTTTGCGGGTTTGATTTTTATTACACGATGTTATTCCTTCACCGTGGAAGTCAATCGTAAACATTTGTTAAGTACTATTTAGTTAAAAAAATTGATACCCACCTGCGGGATTCGAACACCGTTGCATCGCACGACACTAATGCACCGGACATCTTATCGTTTAGGCCACGACGCGACGACTTCAAATGTTAATTTTTTTTTTGTTGACAATTGTTCTCACAAACAGATTACCAAAGTAACCAATTGGCCTTTTAATTTCGAACACCACTACGGAATTCGTTGTCGAATAATTACTATCCATGAAACAACTTGTCTAATTACCACAATTGGCAACATACTGAGCGCCAATTGTTCAACTTTAACGACTTCGACTTAACCTAGTTTACATCATAAACCATAAATATTCAATGTTTCAATGACCTTCCTTATGGTAAGAACGGTCAGGCAGTATAATGATTTGGCTAAATGTCACGGTGACCTTGATATCTTTGAACCTAGACTTAGCGGATCTGTCAGATGTGTGAAGGATATCCTATTTAACAATGGCTAGTTATCAATTTAATATTCATGTTGGTTGTATTGTTATCTATTTATGTGGATGCCGTTTTTTTGCTATTTTTTTGTTTTGCGTTTTTTTCCCTGAATCCCCTAATTTTATTGTCATTTTATTTGTAATTTTGTTTTCAATAGCCAAAGCCATATACGTTAATACGGGCTTACTGATTGCATATAGCATTTAGATTGCAATCCAGATTAGATTTAGGTAGTACTTGTACGATTTAGCTAATATGTACTGTAATGATTGTAATTGGTTTTGTGCATCAATAATTTAAAAAAAACGATTTTTACACATTAGAGAGAATTCAATATGCATAAACATTTTATTTAAGAATTGTGTGCGTTTGAGTCTGCTTTAAGATATTTTCACCGACTGTGATAATTACAGGTCGTCTCTACATAGGATGGCTCTGTCTAGTGACCTTCTGCTACAGTTACAATGCTTGGGGGATAGCTCTACGCTCTACATTCCCTTACCAAACGCCAGAAAATACGCCCATGTGGTTGGCAACCGACTATTTCAGTGATCTAGTGTATCTGTTAGATGTCGCATTCGTGAAGCCAAGGTTGATGTACTTGCACGAAGGGTTCTGGGTCGATGACCCCGTCGAAACCAGGAAAAATTATAAGAGGAAAGTGCAATACAAGGTAACGTAGATACAGTTCTGATAGATTATTTTAGTTGCGCCTTTTTAACGATGAATTATTTTTTTAATGGTTAGTTCCTTAATATCCGCCCCAGAATTTTAAAAGTCACTTTCGTGTGACTAAAAACAGCCGTAGCGTCTGGGCAACACCGTTGAAATAACTTAAAAACCTATCCTTGGAACAAAATCCAATTGATATCTAAGTGATTTGAGAGTTACACATAAATCTAAAGTTGAACTTTCAGTTCGATGTCATCTCGCTCACACCCCTGGACGTGCTATATTTCTATTTCGGCACGCAGAAAGCGATCCTCCGGTTCCCGAGGTTGCTAAAACTGCAAACGTTTTGGGAATTCAATCAGGCGATGGATCGAGTGCTTGCCTCGCCCTACGTTGTAAGTAATACCTCTCAGTCAATTGTCTAGGTGTGCCCTATGTTCTGAAATATGTATGTATTTTTTATTATTTATCTCTAAGCACAAGCCGTCGGGCTCCGAACGCGAAATTTATTTTAAAAAATACAGGGTGTTTCATTACTTAGTAGAGTGTATTGATGTTTGACTTGTCACGATTATTACGGTTAGATAGCAGTGTGTAATAGAGCCAGTCGTTTACTAACGGCAGAGCTGATATAGGTGGTAACTACCCGTGCGGACTTGTAACTTGCCCTACCGTGATACCTTACTGCTACGTACGAATGGTAGAGCAATGGTAATTCAAGAATTCAACCTGGTTGCATACTTGTCTACACTAGGACAGCGGTACTCAACCGTCGTATCACAACGATTTATTTTATTTATTGGGTACCAACACGTTATACATCAGCACAGAACATTATAGGTAACATTGATCTCAGACTAAATGCTAAGATAATTACAGGTAACGACTGCATGAATTTGTAACAAAAAAAAAACGGTTCAGTGTATAATACTAGAAAAAAAAACTACATTGTATATACAAACATTGCACGAAAATTAACACATTTACTACCAAATACGCTATTACATAACTGAAAAAGCTCATTGAGCAAGGTAGAAGTCTCGTCTAAAACTGTCAACAGTGCCAGCAAAAACGTCCAGAAAATACTTGCGCTTTGGTGTGCGTATGTGAAGGTGTCCCGAAATTGTAAATAGTATATTAGTGCGTCCCTGGGTCAAAAAGATTGAGAGTCGCTGCTCTAGAAGCCAGGATGATTCGACTATGAATAGTCAAACTAGTCGATTAAATAATTTTTAATTTATTTGCCTTTTGAATACAGAACACTAAAGTTCATTTGGTACACACTTATTATATACTTATGTAGATAGCGGCCCCCAAAGTTTTTAGGTTTATTTTACGTCACTGCTTCGAAATGTGCGTCTGCAAACTGAAATCGTCGCTTCCAGGTCCGTATAGGCAAGACGTTGTGCTACATATTCTACTTGATCCACTTGAACGCGTGCGCGTATTACGCAATGAGCGACCACATCGGGCTCGGTTCGAACGGTTGGGTATACGACAACGAAGGCATCGCCTACATCAGGTGTTTCTACTTCGCAACTAAAACGGCCACGTCCATCGGGAAGAATCCGAAGCCGGAGAACACGATCGAGTACCTGTACATGACCGCGGCGTGGCTGATGGGCGTGTTCGTGTTCGCTCTGCTCATAGGCCAGATCCGGGACATCATCGCGACCGCAACAAGGGCCAGGGTAAGTTAGAAATGCGTGATGTTTCACTTCGATGGACCGACGCGTCAATGGAAGTCGCAACACCGGTCACCGTCCTCGCCGAACCCGCCGCTTGCAAATTAACCCATAGACACAGCCCACTGAGTTTCTCGCCGGATCTTCTCAGTGGGTCGCGTTTCCGATCCGGTGGTAGATTCAGCGAAGCCCTGCTCTTGCTAAGGCCAGTTTTAGCAACACTTCCAGTTTGAGCCCCGAGAGAAACTCATTGGGCTGTGTCTATGGGTTAATTTACCTGTCGAGCCCTTCGTCGCAAGCGACGGGTTCGACGAGAACGATGACCGGTACTTGAAGTACCTAAAAGCATCGTTAGTGGATCGGAAGGATCCGAAATGACGTGTTTAGGGCGACATCGACTGCTTACCGCGTGTAAAGCGATCTACTGGATGAGCTGAGAGTGTGCGTCCGCAGACAGAGTACCGTAAGGCGCTGGACGGGTGCGCGCGTTACCTGCGGCGACTCAACCTGCCGGCCGCACTGCAGCGCCGCGTCACGCTCTGGTTCAACTACACCTGGAGTCAGCAGCGATGCTTCGGTCTGTGTTGCCAGTGCGATGATCACCTATACTTTTAGTCCATACCATACTTTTTATTACTCATACTTTTTACAACTAGGTACCGTAAAATGGGGGTAATCGGGACACTTTTTAATTCGATATTGATTTTTATCCTTTTATTTTTTGTAGTTATAATAATAAAACGGAGATCATAATGGTTCCGGTAGTTTAAATTTTCATTTATAATGCATTAAGATGTAGTTTATTATAGAATAATCATAAAAAGTTACAAAAACCTCCCTTGTCTCTATTCACCCAAGCGTTGGGTGAATAGGGTCGCTTAAGGGGATAATAGAGTGTTTCGATAGGGCTGGAACTATTTAGTTGTAAGGTAGGTAATTAACTTTTTAATATATTTAATGAGCTACAGAACTTTCATGACTAAATTAAACTATTTAATATTCTTAAACACTAAATAAAAGGCATTTTCAGTTCAACAAAGTTAAATCTAACAACTCAACAAAAGTATTGTGACATCCCAGATTTGTCCTTCTTTCTTTTTTATGAAGCCACCTTGTGTCACAACGTGAATGCTGGCTACAGTCTCAGTTGAACTGATGACTCTCCCTTTAAATCGGAACGCATTAATGTTTCGCGAATAGCATAGTCAGGGCGGTGGTACCTACCCTGACGAACCCACAAGATGTCCTACCAACTAAATTCCACTCAGTAATTTTAGGCACGTAACAATTGACCACAATTTGACCAGACTATAAGCAATAAGAAAATTTTGACAATAAACGTGCATACATGCGCGTGTGTGTCAAATACATGGTAGTATGTGTAATGTTTTTTTTATTAATGTAACGTATTATTTACGCATAATTAAAAAAAAATTATTAACATTCTGCACTCCCTCTCTACATTCTCTATAAGTGTACAAAACTTCATACTCCGCGCAATTTTCGTAAAAAGGGGTACGTAAAAAGTTTTTGCTTCACGTATTATTAATATATAGATAGAATTGAATTTACATACTTCTTCTTTTTTTACAGACGAGGCCAAAATACTGAACTGGCTTCCGTCGAACATGAAGCGAGACGTGGCGTTGGCCGTGCACATGTCCACGCTCAGCAAGGTGCGATACGATCCTGATTAAAGCCACTCCCTGGAGTATCTATCTACAGTGGTTTTTACGGATGTTCCGTTACAACTACTGAACCATTTGTCTTGTCGACTTGAAACTTGGTATCGATGTAGAAAATACACGTACTTAATGGATAGGCTAATATTTATATGAGTGTTGGACTCCCTACACCAGTTGCAGGGGCGTTAATGATGAGAATCTTTTTGGGGGTGAGAAATAATAATGTTAATTTTAAATGGGCAGCGAAGCGGACGGATACAGCTAATCCCCAAATAATAATAAAATACTTTTCATCAATTACTTATTATTGATACAATTAAAAGTAAACCGTACTTCAGTTACTTTTAAGTGCATAGTTGGTCAATCTTCGTCCGTCTGGTGCTTAACTTCGATTTGTCTTGCAACATTTTTACAAACATGTCTGTCAAAACTGCACCGCATCGTTCTGTATGCTTAACGTTCTCGATAGCGTAAAAGTTAACTCAAAGTATTCAGTTGGAACAACGCCCCTAGCGGCGAACGTAGGCAAACGCACTAAACACACTGCCTAGGTCAACAAAAAGTGACACATAAAGTGGTTCTTTAAAATTGCTTGTTTATTACTATAACTGTTTGTTCTATTACTCTTTTTTTCTCTTTCTACTTTTATTACCTACACACGCAAACGCGCGTACACATACACACCCTGGTGTGCGCGCACACACACACACACAATCTCACAGAGAGAGAGAGAGACAAACACACCGGATTCTACCGTATCATTACATATAATATAAATTTATAGGTGCAATTGTTTCGTGACTGCTCGGACTCTCTACTCCGGGACTTGGTGCTCCAGCTGAGACCCGTATCGTTCCTGCCCGGGGACCTGGTCGTGAGGAGCGGAGACGTGGGGCACCAGATGTACATCATCAAGACTGGAGAGTGCTGTGTAAGTCGCCACTGAGTGGGCGGGAGTGGTGGTGGGCTCTCACCACTTAAATAGTCGAATCTTTCACAGATATTGGCACCGGTCACCGTCCTCGTCGAACCCGTCGCTTGCGACGAAGGGCTCGACGAGTGAATTAACCCATAAACACAGCCCATTGAGTTTCTCGCCGGATCTTCTTAGTGGGTCGCGTTTCCGATCCGGTGGTAGATTCTGCGAACCCTGCTCTTGCTAGGGCCAGTGTTAGCAACACTTCCAGCTAGGGCCAGTGTTAAGATCACTCCCAGCTTGAGCCCCGTGAGCTCACCTACACGTCAAGGAGAAACTGAAATAGCCTTGAGAGGCTATCAGCATAGGTAGGAAAAAAAAGAAAAAAAAAGGAAATTGGCAATTCTCTCAGGTGGAGCCCATGAGCTCACCTAGCCTCTTAGGCTACCGACGAATAGGTAGGGAAATAAGAATTAAAGGACCAAATCACCATTTAAACTATATGTATTTTTATAATTTTGTAATATTTCATATTTTACTTCATACTTTACAGTTTACACCGTTTTAAGGATAACGAAAGATTTCAAATATTATTTTGAAAATCCCAAATATTTACATTTTGCTAAGTTTCGTTTAGAAAAGTATCGACTTTAATTTGATACTAAATAATTTTTCAGGTAATGTCCCAGGACGAGACCGAAGTGCTGGCGACCCTGAGGGAAGGATCCGTCTTTGGAGAAATCAGTTTATTGGGCATCGAGGGACTGCGACGGCGGACGGCCACAGTTCGGTGAGTCGGAGCTAAGTGTGGACGAAATACAAGTCACTTTTTTTGGAACAAAGTTCCTTATGGGACGATGCGGAGGGGTACGCTAACCGGGAAAAAAACTTCCGTAACGTAAGATTTTTATTAGTAATACACTCGGTACGACTTAACTTTGTAATAACGTACAAAAAATAACATATTTTTATCATTCATTGACCACGATCTCAGAGCGTTCTTTTGCATAATACACTAACTCTTATGAAAACAACCGTGAATGAAGTGTACCACAATAAGTTCGCACGTTACCGAATGACCGTGGGTTGTTGCGAAACCTCCAGTTTTATTTTCTTTATACCTCGAATAGAACTTGAAATTAATATTTTTATAATAAGGAACTTCGTTCCTATCCGGTGTCCCACGACACCACACATCTTTTTTGTTTTGTTCCAATGGCAAGTGATAGCTGTTTGATACAACCATCGTGCGACCGTACTAACAGTCTGCAAGTCTGAGCCCCCGTTATACCAACTCACCTCGCTTACATTATATTTATGTACCCAAACTCGAAGAAACACTCTTGCCGCTTGATAATGAGTACGTTGATTTAAAAACTACATTGTTATTGGATTAAGTGGCACGCAGTCAAACCTATATATCAATTTTAATAATTAGTTGATCTACGTATGGTCTCAACAATTTCGTCAGCCCGCAATGTAAAGCATTCAATGAATGTTTTTGGAGTATAAATAGTTTTCGGCGTTGGGGCTCTGCATAAATAAAAATTCTACCGAATTACATGTTAATACTGTATTAGCACTTAGAAAACTTAAAACACTCAACAAACACTTTAAAACTCTCAATTCGCTCCTTTCGCTTCGCTTCAGGTGATCCGTTCGCTGTTTCGCTTCGAGTAGTTCCGATTACTGACTGACTGCGTGCCATCTCTGCGACGCTTTTATAGCCGATAACACATCCCTAGAATTATCGAGAATATTCCACATATCTCTATTGTGTTTCCGCTATCTGACAATAGATGGCGTTGTACTGCTCGAGCGTTCTAGGTGCTACTAGATCCTTCGATATTCGTTCGATAGTATTCGGCGATAGATGGCGTTACCGATGTAACAATAGATTAATGAAACGTAAATCATTCGTCTCGCATCACAGGTCTCGTGGATATTCGTCCCTGTTCGCGCTCTCCCGTAGCGACTTGGACGCAGCCTTAGAGTACCACAAAGAAGCAGCCAAGGTGCTTCGCATAAGGGCGGATCAAATCATCAGGGAGAATGCAGCAAGACAAACCAAACAGAGGCTCGCTGCGTTGGAAGCCAGGAAATCCGCTGAACTAGCGAAAAGACAGGAATCGGCGCTTAGAAGGAAATCTACCGTCTCTGGTCACAGCAATGCCACTGAAGGACGGAGACTGAGGGCTCCCAGTGCGACCTCCAAGCGAAGGTTGTCCACTGTCTCCGAGAAGAAGGTAGGTATTTATTTAAGTAGAAAATAAGTGTTGCCAATTATTGACTTTATACTGTCCGTTCCACAGACAAACAAAATTGATGAAATCGAATCATCTTCAAAATCAGTGCACGCTTCTATTAGTAAATCTTGCAGTTTAGCTATAGACATTTTGTAACGGGCTACTCGAGTTTGATATTAATATTAAAATCATTAACTATAATCGATTTGATTTTTCTTATAACAAACTACTCTCTAGCGAAGGACCCAAAGAAATCAATATTTAATTCGGAATTTCCTTTCAGAATCCTCGGGCTAGAGGTTATCGAACTTTGGCATCGACGTGCACCGGAATACGGACTCCGCTGCCTACCATTGTATTTACAGCTGAATAAAAATATAAAATAAACGTTTCTAGTCATATAGACTCTTCATTAGTATGTTGTGTATCCACTCTAATAATATCTAACTCTAACTATAATTATTATAATTGGAACAAAGTATTAATCATATTATGTAAAAAATATACGTTTTATGACATTAACATGTCCACATTACATGTCCATTAGTTCCTTCAGGGGTGTGTTACGTTATAAGAATTTCTAACAACATATTCAGTGCCAAATATTATTTTTCAAATAACTGCAATTCGCTTTTTTTTGTTTCATTTATATCATCAAACATTTTTAATATCATGCCGTTAATGGAATATGTACTTTAATTATTTAATTCATTTTCTATCAGTTATTGACATTCACAAAAACGTGTTAATTTTGTTTTAATCAATTAACATATGCCAAAGATGACGATAAATTAGACGATGCTATTTAAAAAATTTAAAATAGTGTCATTGGAATGCGTCCGTATCGAGTTCTAACTATACATAATCCAGCTCAAAATAAATGGCAATACGTTACTTTATATAAATACGTACGGTATGTACTTATGTGAAACTTTTTGGCGGGAACGGCATGTATTTCATTTTGACAGTTTAGTATTTCTTCAGATCATAGATAATAAATACGCTTAAAATGTAATGAAGGAGGCTCATTTTTCGTTCAGTATTTGTAACTTTGGAATATTGCTTAGCTAATTGGAACAAAATCGCGGGACATAGATTCCTATGTAGTTTTATATGGAGCATGTAAAAATAATTAGAAGAATTAACAAAGGATAAATGGTCGAGTTACGGTGGGCGAAAACAAAATTTTAAAAATATGTGTATCATTACTTAATTCATCTGTGAAATATACGCTATACGTAAATAGATGTTTATTTTTTAAATTTTTAGATTCTTATACGTAACTATAAACTGCAATTATCATTTATGTGTGTGATGATATAGATAATAAAATTATTTGAATTAAATGTTCAAAATATATTGATGTTTTTTTGAAACCCGAATTTCGTAACTACCAAACAGAGTAGGTAGTAACCATGGAGTTAATAAGTACCTAGTAGTAACATAGAAGGGTAGTAATTATTATTTTATTCAAATCACACTAATTGTCCCTGGGGTAGTTGAGATAAAACTCATATTTATTGAAGATTGTTCAAAATAAAAGTTCAGAGGAGGAACTTCGCAGGAGAAAAAGAAATTCTATCCTGTTAGGGACAAAACTAATACATGTAATTTTCAAATAAACTAAGTTATTGAAAACAATAGTGATCTCAGGAATCGTTCTGGTAAACTGATTACACAGCATATCGTGTTCTTTTTCTATTATTTCTGCAAAAAAGTTTCTGGAAAACAAATAAAGTTAAAATTACACTGTTTTCTATTGTCTTGTTAGCAAGTTTCAAGCTTAATTGAATGAAATAACTACAGAAGCATAAATAAGTCGTGGACTAAAGGATAAGACGTCCGGTGCATTCGTTTTGAAAGATGTAACAACGGTGTTCGAATCCCGCAGGCGGGTACCAATTTTTTGGATGAAATACGTACTTAACAAATGTTCAAGATTTACTTCCACGCTGAAGGAATAACATCGTGTAATAAAAATCAAACCCGAAAAATTTTAATTTGCGTAATTACTGGCGGCATTTACGTTGTAGTTGTCTATGGGCTCCGGTAACCATGCATGCAATAAAAAAAAATCGATGAGCGCTTTCTATAGAGTTCTTACGTAAAGTAAAAAAAAAACATGTAATTTAATTACTTCGATGTTGATTTTTGAATTGAGCTGGAATTTTCACGCTACAAAATTCATTTGTAACCTTGCAATGAATTTCCTATTGGAACGAAGCCCAAAACACTTCTGGATAAAAGCGAAGTCTAAGAAACGACAACACATGACCTTTTATACAAAAGTGCATAAATTATCAGATTTTAAAATGTTCCTTAATAAATATGAAAAGTAAAAAAATTTACTCAAAGTAAAACAAGACTCGATACAGCAGAATCCATTATAATCGTAAGCTATGATGTTTAACACCCTCCGAATTCCTGACACGAATAAAAGCATACCTTGGCATGTTATCTGGCCCCCGCTTTTACAGTCGATAAGAAAATGTTTCAAATAAACATGCCGTTGTCCCCTTTGCTACTACGATATTAATTACAGTTATGACAGACTCGCGTGCATCAAATCATAGCCTTGCTTCACAAAAATATAAATAATACAATGATTTACAAATCTGAACTTAACCGCGTGAGGAATACAGACATTACGTTGGCGTTTTGAATTAATGCAGTTTTCATAACTTATTATTAGATTTTATTTTCGATTGGAAAGTTTCAAGTCTATTATTCATTCCTAATTGTAATTTATGAAAAATGAATTGTTTATTTTGTAAAAAAAAATATCAGTACAAACTTCTACGTGATACTTAATGTTGTGTAAAATATTCTTAAAAACATAATAACGTAACTGAAAAATTTTGCACGATTAATGTTATAAATCCTTCTAGGACGTTATAGACTAGGTAATTTTTTCACGAAAAGCTTAGGTCATACAGGTACTTGTACCGAGCGGGCTGATTTACCAAAGAAAAATCACAGAGATCAAAATATGAATCCCACCACGCTTGGCACATAATATGATCATGTAACCTCGATATGATTTATGATGTAAATCTTAAAAGAGGTTAATATGTTATAAAGTTTTAATGTACTATTCCAGTAATGGAGTATAAAGATAAATCATATAGAGGTTACAATCATATAATACATCAAAGATTTTGCTGATTAATTTAGCTCTGACAATCTACTATCAATCGGCCATCAACTGCCTGCTACTGCCCCTCACCTCCACCCCGCTCTATTGACATTGCGTGACTTGATTCATTCCTTTACCGAAACAAACACGGAGCTGCGTAATCCCTAATAATGCGAAAAGTAAATAAAAATTAACTTTTCCTAAGAATTTTTTGCAAGAATTAGCAGACATGCAACTACGCATTATTAAAAACGTTTACAAGGCGAAAAATTCTGTAACAAAGGCATTTTCTCTACATAAAGCTCCTTCGTCTACATTTTTCAATTAAATCTTTTCAATCTAACTTTGTTTACAGAGTAATGGTGTGTTTATTCATTTATCATAAACTATATTTAAAGACAATAAATTGCATATAAATGAGTAGTAATAACATTAAGAATATAAACATGTCGGATTACTTCAGTCGATTATAACTAATATAATCAGTAATATGCTAGAGTTTTATAATTTAAATTATATTGCTAGTATAATGTAATTTCTGTTATGAAACTTTGTGGGGTTAGAAATATCGCTATGCTATTTACCGGTGTTGAAAAAAATCGGACACCTTAGGAGATCCTGGTCTACGGAGAAGTGTTAAAAGTACATTGTGTGTATGCGCAATGTAGTAAATTTTTTTGTAAAGTCGTACCTCTGTTAAAAAATCGTGTTCGACAAAATCGCTGAGTGTGAACCAACCCTTTCATTAGTGAGGTTGGCGGGAAAACTACCGAACCACTGTTCAGTTTCAAGTTACCCTGTCTGAAAGCTAACCCGCTCGGACGAGCGCTAACCTTTCATTTGCCGAACGAAAATAAACAGATCTAATCATTTTAAATGTAATCAATAATGTTTTAAGAATAAATTTCTTTCAATAAATATGCTTTTCATGGATTTTTCGTGAACAGTTTTATAAAAACAGATTTCATTTCACAAATTACATTAGGTAAGTTTTTTTTTCGATAGATTTTTTTATTATGACCCTTTAAAACGACTACTGAGACCAAAATACCTTAAAAATTAAGTGTATTAGAGACTTGATAACGCAAGGTCAGCTACCGTTTCTAAGACCTGTCGTATTTGTATGGTACCCCACGTACTCTTTAAAATCAAACTCATTGCCTCACACAGGACATCAACACGAACACGGAAACGTTTACGATCGAAAAAGGTATTTATTTTATCTAATACATTTGATATTGAAAATAAAACAGTTAAAATCACTAGACGCGCAGATCCCACAGTGTTGGATCGCGAAATGTCTGCGTTTTATCTTCCCTTGCACACTGAAGCAAATTATAATGTAATTATAATAATTAAAAATTTATTGCTGTAGTACTATAGACTGGCAAACATATGTGCTAACAGAGCTGTTGCTGATATCCATTTGCGATGTTGGCTACTTACCATGAGGTGCGTCACGCTCGTCAGCTTACAGTATCAATTAAAAATTACATAGAAATCTTAATTGAATTGTAGATCGGTTGTCTCATCGTACATTATTCTCACATCGAAATATCGCACCTTTAGAATTATAGAGACCCAACTCAAAATATGTGTTTTTTTTTTTAAAACATCGAATAAAGTTTTCAAGCCGAAAAGACGTAGAGGAGGGGGGCGGTGTGAAAGAGACCGATAGATAAGTTTGTCCCTTTATAAGCAGCTACTTTTGATCATTTGATTGTTAACAGTCGCTGAAAAAGGTCGTTCTAGGTAAATTTTTGAATTAAAGTCGAAATCCAGAAATTTCAAAGTACCTAGGTATCTATAAAGGTCTACAAAGGTGCGATATGTAAGAATTTGGGAACTACCATTGCGAGCTGCTATATTGAATGTCCCATGACCACACAACCAATAATTAAGCAAACATGAAATACCAAGGAATATCCTGGCGGATTTCAAAAAGATTTATGTGTACTTTAAATAATAATTATAAACAGTATTATCTCTTTTAATTTAGATAAAGTTATAGAGCCTCTAGGTACATATATAAACAGTTTGAATGAATTCCGGGAAGTTTATGGAATAGCTGAAAGCGATATTTAATATTAGGAAAATAGATATAAAACGTTATGTTCACAAACGGATGTCGTAAAAGTCGTTTAATACCCGAAATAATATGTCTCTAATTTCATTATTTTTGCGGTCATAAAGCCACGATATTGTGGCTTCGCGTGATTCACGATGTAGCTCCGAATGTATACAAAAGCATAACAAATTAAGTATAATTTGTTACGTTCTGGTAATGAGATGCTGAGCCGCTGAGGGGACTCAATACATTTCATGATTTAACATTGCTTAGGTATTTACCCAAAATCAATGACTGAATTCTGTGATTTGTGAAGCCAATAAAGGTCATCAGCGAAACAATTGAATGCTGTACTGTGGCCGCCATTTTTTTTTTTGTTTTTATGCCCAATGTGACTTTGAAAGTTTAACGGGTATTAAGTGGATATTGGCATGGTACCAATATAAAACACCTTCTTTTGTTTTTTTCATCGCGTAA